TTGTTATGGGCAGGCAGCATAATAAGACTGGTATTAAAGTGTAGGACCTAGATATTAGAACATACAATAAGCTTTATATCAGTTCATAACCCGTAGCTAATAGGAACTCGCATTCCTATTTACCATAAAACACGCTACCAAAGATAATTATGGTATGGTCGTTACATTTTGCACTTTCTTCATCCTACCAGGGTGATGAGAGCTGCTAAAAGTATAGCAATATAGGGAGCACCTGGTTCTGATCGCTATGCAATTCGCAGACTTCTAATTCAAGCACATAGCAGAGTCTTTTGTATCACAGTTAAGCAATGACCAGTGGCTTCGTATTCTACAGGTGAAATATAGAATGCCGCTATTTGTATAATTTTTTTGCACACCTCAATTAGTTACCTACGATGAATGTGTCTTGAATTCACCAGAGATAGGAAATTAGTAAGGGATCTCCCTATTATGAAGCGAGAATGATGCTTCGCTTAGAAAGATCCATTTACTGCAGGCCTCTATACATTCAGTCGGTCATTATCTATGTAAATGACTTATGCCACACACTTCACGTAACGAGAAAGAAGAACATTAATGTAGACAAGAGATCTGGTTTGTAATCTCACCTTCCATGAGGTACCCAAGAACACGATGGAAACTGCTATCTCAAGTTATCATATCAACTGCAAGTGAGTAACATGTCTGCAGGAGACATAATGACACACTATTGTAATGCGTATACACAATAGGTATACTGCAAACTGTCGCAAAAATCATTTATGACGTAGACAATTCTTTTGGCTTCAGTATCAGACCAAGAAGACTATTAATACTATGTGCAGATGTTACAAGTATGCAATATCTGTTCGACTTAGAGCACTTACTCACTGCATGCATCCTGGTTGTTATATTATAAGTTCAACGGTCACCAGACTTTGATAGCCGGCTATTCAAGGCAGTATCTCATACCTCCAAAGACGTTAAGGGAATCAAAAGAGGAGAAACACAGTGTTCTCGAGCACATATTCTTTTATAGCCAGTTTTCGTATAATGGCTGGCCTTGCGCTAAATCGTTCTTCTATTTATTGGTGTCTAGTTTCTGTGTTCTTTTTTTGTATTAAAATTTGGTTTAAGTTATTTTCACTCTACCTCGTGCTCGATTGTCACAGCATTTCTTGAATTTTGTATATCTTTGATTCTGAGACCTTAGTCAGACTCCGCGCATTCGCAAGTACATTAGCACTTCTTATTAGTTGGGAAGCAGTGTGGTAAGATCTGCATGTTATGGACTTCTCTCTCAGTGAATAAAATGACTGATATATGTTCCGGAACTGGAAGAAATTGAGATACAGGTTAAGAATATACTCCGCAGGACGATTCTAATTTAGCGGTAACCTTATACTATCCAGATTTAAGCCAAAAAAAAAAGCCATATCCAACATGTATTATGCGAAACACCATGTCAGCGTCTACATATTATCTCGTGTTTCTATTGTAGCTAAGAATTCTAAAAGCTCCCTCGTCTCTCTTAATTTATTCTAGAATGTATACACTAAGCTATTTGGATGATGATAAATGGAGGAGCACCTCTTTTTCATTGCGACATTATGTAGGTATTCTTTTAAACGTGCGCCTCAAAATATTACTACAACATAAGCCATTAGATACAGAGATCAGGTTGAGAGCCACTCCTCACGCTGTCCTTATTGTCTATTTTTTTTTTTCTTTTATTTGTTCAAATGTATATCTATAATATCGTCACCGGATGAGCGAAAGGAAAATAAACTAACTTTCAAACTTGAGAATGATTGACAAAAACGTAATTACCATAGCAAATATGAATAATAATCACAAAACTGGTTGAATTAATTAACGCTTTATTTATACATTAGGCGGATAAGAGAAACCTAACCAGTCACCGACACAAACCGATTTCAACCCACTTATTATATTGCTATCAGAAAGTATCAATATTCTATTTTATAAATTGGTATATATAAACATTACATGAAAAACTTAGAAGCGGTTATACCTAATGTACAATCTATCGCACTTACACGAGACGCCACTAAGTTCCGGCTCTGTAGACTATAATAAAAATATATACATAAGTAGTTATTCGTTCCTCGTTGACCCATATTAAAATTCGTTAACTTTTAATCTGTATAACTCATCATATTTACAAATAGATACTTGAATCAAATATCTATAAACTAACACTAAATTCTTTCAGACTTCTATAATTAAACACAATAAAATAAATCATAACAATTAAAGCCAGAAATCAAAATTAAATATTGTTATATTTCAGTTGAACGTTATAACTTATAGTATTCGAGACACCTGTAAATAAAAAATCTATACTCGCATATACAAATGAACAGGTTCACTCTCCTAACACATGTATCAACACTGCTATAAAAACAAGTGATATTTATGATTCAGTGACATAGAATGCAAGTAAACCTGTATACTAACGATGCACACAGCAGTTTAAACTTCAAACTCCTAACCAATTTAATTTCACGACGGTAGAGGCGCGAAAAAGATCGTCAGTTCGCCAGAGTGTGCGTAACTCCAATTTCCTGAGACAACCGAGAGCTAGGTATGACCGTCATAAAAAATGCTCAACAAAATTCAATAATGTATTTTCAATTTAAGTTGAAATAATTTTTGAGATTTAACTAATTATAATCTGAAATACCAGAAACTTAAGATAAAAATCTTTCAGTTTTATGTTATTTTACGGTAGTAGATTTTAATATTAGAGAGAGGTGTCACGTTTTATTTAATTTAGAAATAATTTGATGTTATTACACTTATTTTAGTGTACGTCGCTGATTTCCTAAACTATGTGGAATAATCTATTACTTCTGGGTTTTTTTCCTTTTTAATTAATCGTTCGCACAGTACGTTCTTGTACAGACTGATGGATAAAGATGTATTTTATTTTTATTAATAAATAATAAAAAAAATAAAAGGGAGTAATGGCAAAACTACTTTGTCTTTTGTCAAAGTATATAGACGGCTACATATAGAATAAGTTACCGGTGGACATAGCGTAGATAGGTTAAATGCATGCATGATGTGACAGTGGTTTGAAATCTCCATTGCCATCACGCAAACGTCACATCTGAGCATGAGGAATAATACCATTATGTTTAAAATTCATCCACATACTATAGAATCATTGATCTATAGTCAATTTCACAGATGTGATGATGGTTCCAAAAAATACAATTAATGGGACAGTTAATGAGAGTCATCTTGATACTTTTGTTATTATTTTTTTATCCATTCAAATATGACACACTTAGATAAATCAATGATCTTAATTAACTTTTTATCTCTAAATTCTATCCTGCGGCCTAAATAATTTTAGAATCGCAACCGTGTATATATTTAACATGTAAAACAGAGTAAAACAGGATAATTAGTCAACATTTATAACTATATGTACAACGAGCGATGAATTTATAATTTTGTTAAATTTTTTTGAAAGGACATCAAACTCTTGGATTTGACTTAGAGTTAGCAAGTTGATTATTTTGAATATTCCCAGATCAACATCCGAATTCAAATAAAGAAAAATCCAATTTCTTGAAACTATCAGATAACGACTTCTGAGTGGTTCCAAACGTCGAAACGCTCCACCTGAGCGCTGACCAACCCGAATTACTAAGATACTTTAAACATAAAATCCACTGCTTTCAATCATAAAACAGAATTAAACAAGTATAAAATGATTCTTAAAACGAGTCAATCGACTCACTTGACGAGCTGTGCGCAAACAATGATCAGTCATAACTAAGACACCAAGCCTAGCAATTTCGCCTCTTCCCTATACGCACGGTCATTTCCGTTTACTTTTAATTTATCATTTAAAGAGATCAAAGACAACTTAGCTTTACACAAGCGAACTAGAAAGAATGTCGGGGCTCTAACATACTCTTTGCGCCTCCTGATAAATAGCGCAAATGTACAATACTCCGTTCCTCCGTGGCAGTCCGTCGTAAAAGCGGTGGTATCCTGTCCCTTAAAAAATCAGCATCTACTGCACATTTCCGCCTTGTGATTATCTCTATACCTTCGATCCTCACCGTCAGGTTTTAAATCGCTCTGACTCTCTTGAACGCCAATGAGAATTAAATCTGCCGGCCGACTGCACGACTGTAAACCCGCATAGTGAGTACACGGTACATTTCATTGTAGGAAGGTCTCCTCAATGCTGGATAGTCTAAGAAATTAAATATTTTTTTATTTTATGTATATGATTTAATATAAATTGTTTATTTATTTGAAATATTAATGTATTACACTTATTTAGTGTAGTGTGTTCTAAACATGTGGATCTCTTACTTTTTTTTTTTTTTAATTATCGTATCGCATACGTTCTTGTACAGTGTGATAAAGTATTTTTTTTTATTAATAAATAATAAAAAAAATAAAAAGGGAGTAATGCAAACTACTTTGTCTTTTTACGTATATATACGTATATATAGATAGATAATGTATGCATGCATAATGTGACAGTGGTTGAACCTGCATCACGCAACTCATCTGCATTGATGATCCTTATTTAAATTCATCCAGACATATATAAATAATCAATTAAGTTGTTCATTTCAAAAAAATCAATTAATGGACAGTTAATAATCATCTTGATACTTTTTTTTTTTTTTTTCCATTCAAATGATACTTAGAAAATTAATGTAGTTAATTATTTTATCTCTAAATTTATCCTCGCCTAAATATTTAGATCCAACTCTGTTTCAATTAAATGAACATGAGTTAAAAAGGATAATTTAGTCAATTATCTATATTAAGATGATTTTAATAATTTTTAAATTTTTTTGAAAGGACTCAAACTCTTGGATTTACTTAGATATAGCAAGTTGATTTTTTGAATTTCCAGATCAACCTCCAATTCAAAATAAAGAAAAATCAATTCTTGAAGCTAATCAGATAACTTCTGGTGGTCTGACCCTGACCCTGACCACCAATTATAAATATCAAATACGTTCAGTAAAATCGCTCACCTGCACTGCATGACCATTCTACCAAACCTAATTTCCTTCCTTCCTTCCTTTTCTCTAGAGATAACCTAAAGCAAATGGATTCCTCCTCAAGGAATACCTCCTCCTACGTCGTAAATCTGGTATTCCTGTCCCTAATTATCGCCGCCTTTGTTTATCTCTATATTTCGTCTCCGTCAGTTTCAAATCCTCTACTCTCTTATCGCCATGATAACTCCTGCCGCCACTCACAATCTGTAACTGTAAGTATATACATTTTTTAATCTTTATTTATGGACTCCTACATCTACCTGTTCAATTAACTTTTTGCTTTTTTTTTTATCATTTAAAATATTATGCAGTTCTCCTTAGATGAACTGGAAATGGCCTTGCAAAAAGCTTCAATGCCAAACAAAACCGTCATCATCGCTGTTCTCAACAAGGCCTACGTAGAGCCGAGCGTTAAATCGGAAACGACGATGCTGGATCTTTTTCTAGAGAGCTTTTGGTATGGGGAGGACACCAGGTCACTTCTCGACCATCTACTTGTCGTTGCCGTGGATCAAACGGCGTACGATCGGTGCAAGTTCAAGCGGCTAAATTGTTATAAGCTGGAAACGCAGGGTGTAGATTTCACCGGAGAAAAGCTTTTCATGTCTCAAGATTTTATCAAGATGATGTGGAGAAGGACTCTTCTGCTCTTAGATGTCCTCAAGCACGGCTACAACTTCATTTTTACGGTACGTTTATCTTATTTAATTAATTGTTATTTTGTTTAACTTTAATCAATGCCTTCAATCTATGCGATTGAGAAGGAAGAAATTAAGAACTGGCAATTAATTTAATGTCGGCACGTAAATTGAACTTTGACCTATATGGACTTTTTTAAGCGAAAATGATACTAATACGTGTAGTAGGGGGACAGAAAATGGTCACGTAATTTTTACGGCACTGAGCTGTCCATGGATATGGGCGGTAGGCTTAATGGCCCAAAACTACTGGAATCCATTTAAGATTTGCTTACCCTTTTTTCTGAATGTTCACAATCATATCTTTGAACCAGTCTCTGCATGATACTGAATATTCTAAATTTTGATACAAACACAGGATTCGGATGTAATGTGGCTAAGGAACCCATTTCCGAAGCTGAGTAACAACCAAAGTATAGATCTCCAAATTAGTACCGATTGGTTCAACGGAGATCCACTGTCGGAAAGAAATTTCATTAACACGGGTTTCTATTACGTGAGATCGAACAACAAGACAATTGCATTATTTGATGCATGGTATTCCAGGAAAGATAATTCCACTGGTAAAAAAGAGCAGGATGTTCTGCTAGACCTAGTGCGGGAAGGTGCCTTGAGGAAACTGGGCATTAATGCAAGGTTCTTGGACACCGTCTTCTTTAGTGGGTTTTGTGCAGATAGTAAAGATATAACGGCCGTATCGACTGTCCACGCCAATTGCTGCAGGAGTATAAGTGCTAAGGTGCTTGATCTAAGGTCTGTTCTCCGCGACTGGATGCGCTTCAAGGCAGACCAATCTCGCATCAAGAAAAATCATAATGATACTAATCCCACGTTGTCTTTCAGGTGGTCAGGTCACTTTGGATGTTGGCGTTCCTGGAATAATACTTCTGTCTAGAACTACTATAATGTCTATAGTTTAATTTTTCATTTTTTTTTTGTTCCTAAGAATGGTATAGTGTTGCATAGAAACGCAAGAAGGCATATTTATATTTTAGAATTTCTTATATCGGAACTTGAATGTACAAAATGGATTGTTTTATTTAAAAAAAAATGATAAAATAAATAGTATATCAGATAAATATTAAGTCGTCTTTGCGCATAGTTAATGGCTAGCAGACAGCTGTTAAATCTGCTACCGCTCTTATTATACTCTTTATAAAAACTTAAATTATTTTCTCGAATATAGCAAATCATGTTATTATATTTAATTCAAATATTTTTTATTTATTTATAAAGTTATATACAAATATAAAACTTTTATGATATATGAAATATAAATATTGTTCAAAAATTACATTACAATATAATTTTAGTTGAAACTCTCATTGGTGTAATGGATAAATATATTTAACAGTATAACTAAGATTTTTTTTTTTTGTTGGAAGAATTTATAATTTTGAATGTTATAAAATGTGTTCATAATTAAAAATATTAATGTAATTATATTTTAAATATGTTATTTTATACAAAAATTTATTTTTTCATCATATGAGAGTGAAAGTACTTCTATACGTATATGGGAAAGTAGGTACCAATGAAAATTGAATTAATCCAAGATCCTATCATTCGGGCAACAAGCAAGTAAAAAGTATAAAACATCACTGTTCTATATTTTTGTGGAAAAAAAAAATCACTATTATTATTATTATGTTTAAAAAAAATAAAAGGAAAAAAACATCGTCGTTCTTTGCTGATATTGCACCTGTCAATAACTAATCACCAATGGGGTTCCGGAGATAAATTCATGTACTTCCTGGAACACCATTATGCGAAATGGCACCTAAAATCATTAACTTTCTTACCAATTATAATTTTCCACGTGTACTAATGAATGTCCACACAGAAACTTTCCCACTAAGTAATACACTCAAGAGTCAAGACGACCTAATCTTTACCACATATAAATAAAGACTTCCATGTCTTCGTCCTGTTCTAGATTTTATCAGGGTTTTAATTCGTTTGCGTTTTAGCTCGTGTTAATTAGAGTTTCTCTTGCGAGGTCAATTTAGGGTTTCAATTGGTAGGTAATTGCATTCTTGCTGCTCGATTGTTGCGAAATTAGGGTAGTTTATTCCAATCAGTTAGGGTTTTGACAAGCAATTCGTGCAATTTTTGAATATTTAATCTTTAATCGAAACAATGCCTCCACGAACTGTGAAAAGGGGTGCTGCGGCAGCGGGCCCGAAGAGGACGGTGAGAGCTTCGAGAGGGGCAGCCAAGGGACAGAATCAGCAACCAGAAGTTGCCGAAGAGACATCAAAGGCGGAGGAGAGGCCAACCATTGATAAAAAGCCTGTCGTGGGCGATAAGCATCTTGATGAAAATAATTCAATTACCGAAGGAAAGCTGGGTATCGAAGGAGAATTTGGAACCAAATCGGACGCCAATGGCTCGGCTTCTTTGAAAAGTAAGTATTCCTTTTTCAATTACGAATTTTATTTAGATCTGATTGGTTTGTTACCTTTTATATTTACCAATGAAGGGGTGTATTTTTTGTAAATATTTTCTCCCCCTCCCGGATCATGTACTTCCTAATATTGTTGGCTCTTAGTTTTATAACGTATTCGCTATATGATTTTTGAGACAAATGCCCAAATTTTAATTCTTTTGTACCGTTCCCAATTCCCATATTACATATATTGCGTTTTGGACATAAAAAGGTCTAAACATGAGAGGGATATTGATAACTTTGATGATTCTTAGTCCTAGAAGGAGAAGGATTTCTAACTGTGTCTAATAACTAAAACACATAACTATTTATTTTGATGCTAATGGGGAATTCAAGTATTTCTTGACTCGTCTGGACCACCTTCCCTTTTTTTCATGGCAGAAGGGGATGAGGTTAAGGAATCTGTAGATGAATATGAAAAAGATGAGCGATTGGAGCTTGATGACAATGAACCTGAATATGAAGTGGAAGAATATGGTGGGGTGGACTATGATGACAAAGAAATTGAGCAAGAGGATGTTCAGGAGGTGGAGGTGGGAGTTGAAGTGGAGGAAGAACACGAGGAACATGTAGGTGAAGAGGAAGAGGGTGATCTGGTGGAGGAGGAATTGGAAGATGTTGCTGAAGAACTCGAGGGTGAAGAGGATGATGAGCATGCTGGTGAGGAGGTAGATCATGCTGAGATGGTTGATGCTGAGGAAGAGGACCACCATGAGGTTTTTAAGGAGAGACGTAAGCGAAAAGAGTTTGAAGTATTTGTTGGAGGTTTAGACAAGGACGCTACAGAGGATGACCTTCGGAAAGTGTTCAGCCGAGTTGGTGATGTTACTGAAGTGAGGTTGATGATGAATCCTCAGACCAAGAAAAACAAAGGCTTTGCATTCTTGCGTTTTGCAACTGTAGAACAGGCAAAAAGAGCTGTGACAGAGCTCAAAAATCCAGTGGTAAATTTTTGATAATGTCGTTTTTGGAATAAAAAGTAATTTACTTAAATGACTTGAATATTTCTTTTCTTCACTACGGTTCCAGATTAATGGGAAACAATGCGGTGTTACTCCAAGTCAGGACAGTGACACTCTTTTCTTGGGTAACATTTGCAAGACATGGACAAAGGAAGCTGTAAGTATATTGGATTACATGCTGTTAAGTATAGAGTTTTCTCCGCCGCTGATTACTGGAAGCTGATATATTCTTGACTTTTTCATCATTTGCTGCGGTTCCAGTTGAAAGAAAAGTTAAAACATTACGGAGTCGATAATGTTGAGGATTTGACACTGGTAGAGGATAGTAACAACGAGGGAATGAATCGGGGGTTTGCCTTTTTGGAATTTTCATCTCGTTCTGATGCCATGGATGCCTTTAAGCGTCTTCAAAAGAGGGATGTTTTATTTGGGGTTGATAGGCCTGCAAAGGTTTCATTTGCAGATTCCTTCATTGATCCTGGTGATGAGATCATGGTGCAGGTAACTTTTTATTTGACCATTTTGCATTGACTTTGGATTCAAGTCTGGCTGGATTAAGTGTATGCCTACTATTCCATGTATTTCTCTGTTTATGGTTTTAAGTATCTGATTGATGTTAAGATCACTAGCGTAAAGCCTGAATTCTTGGTTAATCTGCATGCTAGCATTAGTTAATGTGATAGATTTATATGTAATGTTACATGTACTGGCTCCTAAAGATGGATAAGAGTCCTACTGAAATATCCTTTGGCCTTTGTTTGTTCAACATGGATTGTTCATTTTGGGCTATTTGTGTAGTTGTTTTTATTTTGTTGATAAGCATTTTTTAGTCTTGAAAACTTGCTTATTCTTGTCTTGTTTAGAATGATTACACTTGCTTTATTGTATGAGTTCAGGTGAAGACTATATTTATTGATGGTCTATCTGCCTCGTGGGATGAGGATCGTGTTAGGGAGCTTTTAAAGAAATATGGGGAGATTGAAAAGATTGAGCTTGCCCGGAATATGCCATCTGCCAAGAGAAAGGACTTTGGTTTTGTTACGTTTGATTCTCATGATGCTGCAGTGACGTGTGCTAAAAGCATTAATAATGCTGAGTTGGGTGAGGGAGACAACAAGGTTTGCCTGTTATTTAGAGCTTATGGTTTGTGCTGCTGATTATGAAGTTATATCTATATTTTTCTGGTGCTTTTTATGATAATTGTTTTTGCACTTCAGGCTAAAGTTAGGGCCCGATTATCTAGACCACTTCAAAGAGGAAAAGGGAAACATGGAAGTCGTGCAGATTTCCGAGCTTGGTATGGGGGTAGAGTTGCTAGAGGTCCATGGGTTCGTCCAACAAGAGGAATTGGTGCTCGTGCTGGACCAGCCAGTATAAAGCGGCCTGTAGGATTTAGAGATAGGCGTCCGCCTGTGATGTCAATGCCAGCAAGAGGCAGGCCCTTGCCGCCTCCTCCCAGGTCCTATGATAGAAGAGCACCTGGTATATTCTTTACCCAGTTACTCTTGTTGACTATGCATTATATGAATATTTAAATGGTAACCATAAATTTCTTACAGCTCCATCTTACCCAAAGGGTGCTGTAAAGAGGGACTACGGTCGTCGTGATGAGCTTCCTCCTCCAAGGAGCAGAGGTCCTTCAGATTATGTTTCCAGGGCTGTGCCGGAGAGAAGGCCATCCTCCTATCGTGACGAGTACGCTTCACGTGGCTCTGGCTATTCAGATATTCCAAGAGGCACATCTCATACTTCAGCAAGGAGAGCATATGCAGATGATAGCTACAGTCAAAGGTTTGAGAGGCATCCTCCAAGTTACCGTGAAGGGCGTGCACGTGATTATGACACTGTTTCTGGGTCAAAACGTCCATATTCTGCGCTGGTTGGTTTGGTTTCAGTTAATTTGTGTTGCATTTCATCAAATATGAGGAATAGCTAAGTCATTTGTTTTATTTATACAATTTAAGGATGATGCTCCTCCACGTTATGCTGATGCTGGTGCTCGCCATTCAAGGGCTCGGTTGGACTATGAACTCGGCCCTAGTGCTTCTCAGTATGGAGATGCATATGGTGACAGGTTTGCTGTTTTCCCCTTTGTGTATCTAATGTTTAATTGTTAAATTGGCCTGGACTGGTGCACAACTCATATTTTCCTATTGTGTTTAGTAGAATTGGCAGATCCAGTGTAGGATATGGGGGCAGCAGAAGTTCGATCTCCAGTCAGGATTCGCATGGGCTATATAGCAGCAGCCGTCAGGGTATGGGTTATGGAGGTGTGTTTTTGAGTTGTTGATATATTGATGGAAATGAGATTACTATTAAAGATGTTAAACGTACTGCACTTTGATGTTGTGTGGTTTTCAGGTTCATATGGTGGCAATGATGTTGGTGGAATGTACCCCCAGTCAAGCTATAGCGGTGATTACATGCCTCGTGGCAGTGATGTATGCTCTTTGGCTTTTCCTTTTTGTATATCGATGATGCCGGTGAGTAATATTTTAGCCTCCTATGTTCTAATTCTGGTGTTCACTGGCAGGTTGGTGGTAGGTCTTACTCATCAATGTACTCCAGCCGTGGGATGGGCGGCAGCAATTACATGGGTTCTGGTGGTTCAGGAGCGTATTATTGACGTAAGTGGCACTGTTAGTTTTATCTCATTTCTTTCATGAAGTACTCAAAGAAGTGGATGACTTTTGGGCCTTGGCTAATTTATTGGAGATCATGATTTTCTGAAGATATTGGCATCTCTTTGATTCCTAAGAGGTGTGATTGGACAACAAAAAGGAACTTGTGGTCACGAGTTAATTTGTCTATGGAACAGATTTGACATGTCAAAGAGGCTGCTGTGGGATGTGTGCTATTTGGAGCTTATGCATTATGATGCTTACATTTTGGGACAGAGCAGTTTGTCAGGTGTAATAGCCTCTATATATTGTGGAATGTTGAGCTTAAAGTTCTGTCACAAAGAAAAGGCTGCTTTGGTTCAAAACTTTTTTTTAGATATGCAGACTGGATATTTGTTGAGTTCTAAGATCATGATGTAAGGAAATTTCACTCCTTTTAAGGATAAAAAACAAGAACTGCTTAGTATGTTATGTATGAAATTGATCTTTTGTTCTCACTTTAAGTTCTCCAATCGATGGAATTGGAAAATCAATGCTTTTTGAGATACTGAGGCATTTTCTGTGAATGTTAAGGATTCTGGATTCTTGTTGTGCTAAATTCATTGGATAAGCGTAAGACTTGGAAGGTAGTTTTTGTTCTGGTTGGAGCTTGCACTCTTTGTAGTTCCGCAGCCTTGCATTCATGTGAAAAGGAGTTTAACAGCAAGTTTCTGAAGATCATGGGAAACTGATGCTCACGTTTTTTGTAATTCCAATGTAGTCTCTTTGACCTGTGAAAATCCTGGAGCCTTTTTTGTAGAGCATATTGGATCTAATGGGTGTCCCCATACTGGAAGTTCATGATGATATTTATGGCTCATTAAGTATTCTGTTATTTCAAAGCAACGTGTATCATTTCATATTTTGGGAATCTCAATGCTGATATTTTTTTTTAGGTCATTAGGTGTGTTTTGCATTTAAGTGCAAGAGCTGATATCTGAAATAGCTGGTTTTGTCATCTTGCATATAGTTATAATTGTCTAAGTGGGAATATGTTACATGGAGTTCAATGATAAAAGTGAAGCCAGTTGCAAAAGCATGGCATTTGCCTTGCTAAGGACACTTGCCATTTTATTTTGGTAATGGCATTAGTGGATTCAGGCTTGTTTGCGGCTCAAACTGTTTGATTTGTATGAGGAAATCATATTATCTCGGTGCTTTCAGTGAGGTTGCGAAAGGTGTGGAAGTAATCATTTTACATGGATCTTCTTTTGTATAAACTTGGAATTATTCTTTGGTTTCAGTCAATGTTAGAGATCATTGGTATGCTGTACGCTGTTATCATGGCTGAAAAGGTTCCATCCATCTGAAATATTAGATAATTAGTAATTGAGTTGTTGCATTGTGACTCTGGAGATCCTAAACATACTCGACTGGAAACCGTATTCGAAATTGCATTTTATATTAGCAAGTTTGATTGACCAAATACCTAATTAATGGTTCATAAGAGTTATTTGTTGAAAATTTCAAGCACCATAAGTTGTAATTATAATAATTTGACTTGGAACTTGGTTTTCTACAGTTTTGCTTAATGCATATTTTTGACGGTTCAGTGTTGAGTATGAGAATGTAATCTTGGTGGTTCCTAGAATTGATTCTTTTGTACCAAGTGTTCCATAGAAAGGACTAATATAGCAAGTTATCATTATATTTGTTGGGTATTGTGTGTTTATCTTGATTTGAAGGCTATTTCACGTTTTTAGGGCTTTGGATTCAGTTGGAAGGACTGCTTTCTGTCAGGCTATAACCCTTCTATCCTCATCCTGTATTAATATTTATTAAGATCACCTGATTATGGTTCATGCATCGCTCATTTTTTTTTTCTGACATCACATGCTTCTTTTACGGGCAACTCTTGATGGCCTTATTCGTTACCAGTAATGATCAATTCTAAGCGTTCACTTTTGAAGAGAGAATGATGGTTGTACTGTCTTTAGTTTGGTTTCAGTTTGAAGGGTTTGAGCGCATTTTTTTATAATTTGCCTTTAGTTCCTAATGCTCTTAGATTTTGTACTCTGAGAATTTCTTTTGCAGGTCCACTCGGCTTTGTGGATACTTAGTGATTAGTCATTGTAAACAATCTTTAATAAAGTCTCTGAGCTATTGGTTTTGCAATTGTTATGTAATCGAGAAAGAGCACTAGTTTACTCCTATGGTTGTTGGTGCTGTCTGTTTTGAGGGCTGTCGGTATCGCAATCTTTTTTTGTGCATTCTTCTCATTGCGAAACTGTCAAATTGAGGAAGTGAAGTTGGCTTGCTAGTTCCAACAGATTTTTGGCATGGGAGATTTTTCTGGTTGGTTTACAATGAAGTACGGATCTACTTGTGTCTGAAGACAAATTTTATGATATTACAACATGTTTTGTGCTCTTCTTACTGTCGTAGAAGCCAACAGTTCAATTGCACAGCCTCCCTCCCATTATTGTTGTTAGGCTTTTTGCATCTGTAAATTTAAAATTGTATATTGACCTCATAGGTTTATTCATATTTTTGTCATTTGTTATTGTTATTTTTGCATTTTAATCCAAATTAGCAAACATCAATTTTAAAAAAAAAAAAAATCATATTCTTAAAAATGAGTGGACATAGATTGAAAAATAAAAAGTTTAATTGAATTTTGTGTTTTATTATATATTTAATTTGAAAAGAAATCCAACTCTACAAGTGGGATTCGGCCAAATTTGATTGAATTTTAGTAATTAATGGGTTGATATTTTATAATTTTACTATTAATTTGAAACTTCTGTTAAAAATGGTAAATATGTAGACACCTACTTATAAAATTTTCTTGTAAATGCCGAAAATAGCGTTTTGGGAGATCCTTTTATAATTTTTGCTCAAACAAAGGGAAAGACTTGAATTTAATTGCGTAAAGAATTGAGCCCAACGCAGTCTGTTAACATAACACCGGCATCACAATGACAGCTCTGCAAGATGCCAAACGGAAACTACTCTGTTTTGATTCTCACCTATTTCAGTATTTCCTATTAATCAACAACAAAGCTCTGCAATTCACTTCAATGGGCCGCAGGCAAACCGATCCAGATTTCGGTCGTTATGCTCTTCTCATCCTTTTCTCGATGGCTGCAATCTCCTGCTGCATGGTTTATCTCTGCTTCTCTTTAGTCTTCAGACCCAGTACAGGGTCTTTGGATTCAGGTGTCGCTGAATTAGCGGAGAGTGAAGGAGAAGGAGAATATATCGATTGTTGCAGAGGGATTGAGCATTTGGAGCTCTGGGGTGATGCTGTGAAGTGGGGCTCTGATTTTAAGGTCAATTCTTCTAAAGAATGTTGTTTGGCTTGTAAGAATATGTGTAGTGGTGAAGATGGACCTTGTTTGTGTGATTCTTGGGTGTTCTGTGGAGATAAAAAGGCTTGTGGGTCTAAATTCGGCGAGGTATGACTATGATCTCTCTTTTTTCTTTGTTTTTTTTTTTTTTTTTTTTTTTTTTTTCTTTGTTTTTTTTTTTTTTATTTTTTTTTTTTTTTTTTCTTCAATGTCAAGGTGGCTAAATCTCAGATATTACGTCATATAAATTTTTTTTTTTTTTTTTTTTTTTTTTTTTCAATGTCAAGGTTGGCTAAATCTCAGATATTACTGTCATATAAATTTTTCTTACTTCTCTATTAATGGAATGAATGGCCAAGTTCGCCTCGTCAAACTTTACATTTTATGAGAAGCTAATTGCTTGAAAGTGGATACATTGAAAAATTGAGTTGCGGACTTGGATTGTTTTTTAGAGTTTTGAGCTTTCTAACTCGCATCAATGGCGCTTAGATTCCATTCATGACAAATGATTTAAATATTGCGTTTTTTAGAGTTTAACTGTACTAACTGCTTACGGCAACCTTGGCTGGCATTCACCCTTAAATGCATTTAATAACATTAGTTTTTGGTATCTGTTTTAGATATATCAAGCAGCAGAAAGTTATGGTGAAAATTAACAACTCATCTTATTCTACACGTAATTTTGCTTTTAATCCCATCTGTGCATGTCCTGATTCTATGATTTGCCTTCGCTTTCTTGCTTAAGTGTTGGTTGAAGAAACAGAAGGATTCCTTGGAGCCTGATCGGCGAGACTCTGGTCCTCAAGTTATGTGGACTTCTGGACTAGTTTTTGGGAAAGGAGAGGTGCGTATTTCCAGTGACCATCTGACTATCACAACATTCAGACACATTATGTGATCTATGGTTATTTTCTCAGTTTTCTAAAAGCAACAGTGTCTACTTCCATTCTCAGAAACAAAAATGAAGCAAAAGCCACTGAACATTCCTTGATTTGATAGTAACTTACTCGAGGGGCAACTAGTCGGAAATACCATTCTATAAAAGTAACATCAAAGTTGTTAATAGCATTGAAAAACTTGTTTGTTTCAAATGGTGAATGCATTTTGAGAACTGTGTGAGCCTGCAGTATTCTGCGAACTTATTATTGTATTAATGTAATACTGGGTTTTCCTCCATTTCACTTGAGATGTGAAAAAAATCCATGCTGAAATGTTTGCAGATGTCTTCCAGTATATTTTATTACACAATCTTCTTCATTCTTGAGGCACGTTGTAGTTTCTCTCTCTTTTCTCTTTTGAAATAACTTGGTGAACAAATTTTATAGATGCCATCATGCCACCGTCGAGAGATACAGCTAAACCAATTTGTAACTTACCCTTGAAATCTGTTATTGGCCCACGTTTTAGGCATTGCTATGCCCTAGCTGCTGCAGTGATCCCCGGCATACAGGCTAGAGAGTCACTTCCTCAGTTGCATCTTTCATGTTCAGTTGCTTTCTTTGTTTTAGTTAATCTGTAATAATTGTAATTTGTTTTTGAAGAGTATGAAACTATCATGCTTCGCAGTTTCCTGAGTTATGGCCATATTTGATTCACATTAAAATTCCTTCATTTTTATAATAGCACTATAACATGTGGTTTAGCTGATTATATTAAGAAATTATATAATTATGTGTCCTATGAACTCAATATCTTAAGAAATCCTGAATCAACTGGTAAACCTGAAGAATATTTGAACTCATACATATATGTGCATAACCAACCACCTTAAGTTTATAATTTATTAATCCAACTTGATATAAAAGTATCAGTGCATATTTCTTCATTTTTGTATCAGGGCATAATTGGACTGGAAACAGAATATGGGATGCTTCATATAAAAGTAAGTGATTCATTGACACTCTTAGTTCCTTAACTTTCCTTTTATGGCAGTCTTTACCATAAATTCCATCACTGTATATGCATGTTATTGATGTCAATCATTGCAATTTTCTTGAATAGTTTGAACATTTTTTTTTCGCTTTGTTCATTTCATTATCTTTTGCTAATCGCAGACACAGGCCTCAATGCAGCTTGTCTATTGGTTTTTAGGTTGCGAAATAGCTTTTATCAATATGATCATGAGTTTGAATAACCAACAGCAATCAAAAGTATCTTTTACATGCATTCATCATCATATTGTCTTTTCATTTGCATTGTAAATGTCCAGCCCAAATTTAATCTTTGCCCCACTCATCCAATTTCAGGAGTTCTGTCACTCGTATGATAACAAGGTATGGGAATTACAGATGCCTAAGTAGTCACCTGCCTGAGTTCTTTTTGTAAACTGTATAGTGTAAGGCGGAGGGGAGATAGGAGGTCTAGGGTGATTGTATAGTGAAATAGTATAGGAACTGTTACTTATCGATACACTTGCCTACTTCCTAGCTAAGAAAAGGATTAATCAGGAACAAAAAAACTCAAACTCTCATATTATGTTTTTTTATACTATTTTAGACTTAATAGTATTTTATACTTCCAAGTCCTTATTCACCTGTTTATTCTTCTCAGTAACCCCGTGTACAATTATAGGATAGTATTGGTTGCACAGTGCTTTAAGGTTTATAGATGACCAAATGGCATCCCTACCCCTTCTTCTGTCTTTACTTGTAATTTATTAGCTCTGACTGTAAAACTCAATACCTGCAGCTTTTACCAGACTGTGCCCCGCATTCTGTTTCTTATCTCCTTGAACTGTTGGCATCGCATCATTGTGCGGGTTGCCATTTTTATCGTTCAGAAAGTCGTGGAAGGTTTTGGGATCCAGAAGGAAATCATATCAAACAGGTAAGCTTTTCACATTATCATGTCTAGAATAGGCTACTCAAGTTGCTCGCTGATGAATGAAGTTTTAAGAATCTTTTAATTCTATATTGTGTTACGGACTCGTATACTTGGAGAATGACATATCTGGAAGCAAACTGCTTTGAGTGCTCTGTCATATTTAATAAAGAGCTGTATGTAGTTGATTTTAAGTTTCTAATTGAAAAGCTTCTCATGAACTGTGTAGGCCCCATATGGCCCACCTTTTGCACTAATTCAAGGAACACTTGAAGCGCATGGGACAGTATTCAAGGATGTTCCAACAGAGGCATGCCCTAGAGTAAGAAGAGGCTCAATTGCATGGGTTGGTTCTGGCCCGGAATTCTTTATAAGCTTAGCTAACCACAACGAGTGGAAAAAGGCATACACCTTGTTTGGGTTTGTTCTTCCTGAGGATATGGAAACTGTAGAGAAAATTGCAAATCTTCCTACCAAAGCAGAGGTATGGAGCGATATTAAAGTTGCTGTCTTGGAAAAACCCGTTGCATTTCATTTCCGAAGAATCAGAAGTCGTAGATACGTGGATCCTAGTTAAATATATTTGAATATTGATACTGGAATTACCCTTGAAACTCAGTTGATATGTAGTCAGAAAAGGAACAGAAACAAAAACAAAAACAAGGGAGAGCAGAATCAATCATTATCAGCATCATCTATGCTCACCAATTGTAATATGTGTTGATTGCTGAGAAATGATTATTTGTAAATGGAAGGGCTTGTCGACGCCATTTGTCACTGTCTTGAATCTTAAGAATTTTATGCTCAATGATGTAGCCTTTAAACGATCGAGCATTTTAGAACAGAGTAACATTTGGTTTGGCATCCACGTTTCTCTTTGCTTGTAAACAAATAAACAAATCCTAAGTATTGGATGCAGCAGCCATTGTGTTCTTTATCATCTACTCCGGGCTTTAATGTCCTTCGCACAGAGAATCTACGACGATGTATGCATCGATCTGAATGTTTTAGGATGTTATTTTCAATCCCCATATTATTGAGGAAGCAAGATTTTTGCTTGCTTCGTGATAAATTCGTTAACAGTTAAAAATATATTTTTAGCTAGTTAAGAAATCAAATTTACTTTTATTTCAAAACTAATAATCCGCAAAACAAATTCTCTTGAATCCATAAAAGCTCAGTCAAGAGCTATGATGCACGAAACGGTAAAACAGAGAAATGCGGAAACGAATAGGGGAAACGGCTTGGCTTTTTAAAAAAATATAGGAAAATATATAAATATAAAAAATAGAAGTTTATTTATAGAATTTAAAATATAGGAATAAATATAAAAATAATTTGGAAAGAGTATATTTATAATTTTTAAAAGGACAATCAATTTATTAGTTTCATTCCTAATAAAGAAAAAAAATAAAATATTCAGATGTCAAAATAGAAAAAGATAATAAAATTTTGTTAAATTTAAATTTCAAATTTAATTTTTTTTAATGCAAAAAATGTTTTTGGCAAGGGAAAATGGGTGTTCAATTTTTAGTATTTATAAAAATGAATCCGACACATTTTCAGGTGTTTCTATTGTCGAAACGTTTCCAAAACGCGGAAACGTCGAGCTCCTCACGTGTCCCTGCATCACAGGTCAAGGGCGTTAAGGAATCTGCCAGTATTAGCCACAACACGATATGCATTCGTTGGCCTCCTCGATAATTCTACGATTTATAATCGGAATAATACATTTGCATACCATCCCAGGATCCGTGGCGCAATGGTAGCGCGTCTGACTCCAGATCAGAAGGTTGCGTGTTCGATTCACGTCGGGTTCAAATGCCTTTGACTCCTTTATTTTTTTTTCCTCTCTAAATTATCATCTTGATGCTCTTTGTTATTTTAATGCTATTGATAGACGTCAAGCTAGATCCCTAACAGACACCGGGTAGCCGCTGACCTGCTACCAGGGAAATTGTCAAAGTGACAGTAGTAAGTATGGCTCAAACCCTCCAATTTTTTGGGGTCTTATCTTATGTTGAGAAAATCTTTAGATAGAATCTGTTGACCGGTTAACTGTAAGCTAATTCCTATTAATAAATATTATTAGGTGTTGAGTTTTTTCTGGAAGCAGAACCAAACCAGACGAGAATGAACTTACAACTGATTCAGCTGTGCAAATGAACACCCATCCTTACTATTTCAATTCAAAAGCAGAGTACCAATACCATGTCTGATGACAAACTTTAATTCTGTTCCTTAAAAAAATTCAGATTACAAAAGTCTTTCAGCAAAACAAAAAGCTACATTCTTGCAAAAATTAGGCTAAAGCTAATCGAGTTTCACATCTTCCTAATTACTCAAAAATTAAATTAATCACAGACAAAAGCCATAACTGGATGACCAACTGAACATAAACAAATTTAAAAAAATATACTATATTTAATAATAATGCAGGCCGTCCTGTTAATCCTTCACCACTAGATGACAAACTATGACTCCGGTGAAGGTATTCTCTTGGGCTTCTTCTTCTTCTCCGAGAAAGCCTTTGCAAAAGCCTCTACAATACGCTGCTGCGACTCCAGAATCATCTCCGTGCGTTTCATTTCCATCTCCATTCTCATGGTCTCTATCTCCCTTGCCATTTCCATCTTCATCTGCTCCATTCTCACAAAACCATCTCCTAACACCTTGACTGCCGCCACCATCTCCTCCATCGGTTCTCTCTCCCTCTTCTTCCCAATTTCATCTGAACCCCTCAAAACCCTACTACTCCCCAACCCGGATCCAGACCCAGTCCCAACTCCAAAATTAGGCTTAGAATTCGAGTTAGAACTCAAATTAACCTCCACGGGTCCGGTCCTCATGGGCTCCGGAGATGGTTTGTGTGCAGGCGCCGAGTCTGCGAGGGAACTTCCTAGAGATTACTCAAAGAAGTAAATTTAATCACAGACCAAAGCCATAAAACTGGATACCAACTGAACATAAACATATTTAAAAAAAGATACTATTATTTAATAATAATGCAGGCCGTCCTGTTAATCCTTCACCACTAGATGACAAACTATGGACTCCGGTGAAAGGTTTCTCTTGGGCTTCTTCTTCTTCTCCGAGAAAGCCTTTGCAAAAGCCTCTACAATTACGCTTGGCTGCGACTGCCAGAATTCAGTTCTGCGTGGCGTTTCATTTCCACTGCCATTCTCATTCCATCTCCATTCTCATGGTCTCTATCTCCCTTGCCATTTCCATCTTCATCTGCTCCATTCTCACAAAACCATCTCCTAACACCTTGACTGCCGCCACCATCTCCTCCATCGGTTCTCTCTCCCTCTTCTTCCCAATTTCATCTGAACCCCTTAAAACCCTACTACTCCCCAACCCGGATCCAGACCCAGTCCCAACTCCAAAATTAGGCTTAGAATTCGAGTTAGAACTCAAATTAGGGTTTCCAGTGTACTTCTGATCAACTTTGGCATAAAACTTGGGTCCTGGTTGAGCTATACTCACTTCGGTAGGTATTCTAATTCTAAAACCACTGCCAGCACTCCCACCAGAACCGCTTCCGCTCACAAAAACCACTGCCAGCACTCCCACCAGAACCGCTTCCGCTCACATTACTGGGAGTACTTCCCCCAATTCCATTACGGTAAAGCTTATGAATGCTCCTTGTATTCATAATTGTATTTCCGTTCCTGTGATTTTCCATATAGAAACCTTGATTATCATCATCCTCCTCGTTCTCTTCCTCATTATCTTCCCCATCGCTTTCCGAATTAAAATCCGCTTTAGCCTGTGGGCCTTTTTCCATGGCATCCATACGCTTAAAATGGACCCAAGAAGAAGAGAATCTTGAAACAGGCATGGATCGAGCCCGCTGGATCTCAGTGCGGTAGCGTTTGCGGAGTTTCTCCATCTTATGACGGCACTGCACAGCGGTCTTTGGCGGGGATGCCGTCGGGCATCGACGAGCCACGGCATCCGCGACTTCTTGCCAATGGTTAGCCTTGAGGTTTCCACGGCGGAGGGTATACCATTTGTCGCGGTAAGCATCGATCAGGGCGACGGTCTCGTCGTGGGACCAACACGGCGGAGGGAGACGGCGCGGGTTGGTAGAGGGCTGCGGTGGCGCTGGAAGCGCCGGTATCGGATTGGATGGGAGGAGAGTAGAATCCTGGTGGGACGGAGATCCAGCAGCAGTCGCGGACATGGGTACGATCTAGGATGAAGGAAACAGCGTTGGTGAAAATTGAAGAGTAGAAATGGTAAGGAGGCGGCGAAGGAAGGATAATGGTGGCGGTGGAGGAGGAGGAGGAGGAGGAGGAAAAGAAAGAGAAGGCAATAGGGATAGGGTTGTGGTGGGGGAAAGTGGGGTTTGGTGACATATTGAATTGATTGGGGGTTGTGTAAAAGGGGGTGGGGTGGGTGGGGGTGGGAGGGGTGTGCGGCTGATTTTGAGATCTAGAAGGATGAGGCCACCGTTTAGGTGTGGGGGTGGGGGAAAGCTAACGTGCGCTAGGGGATGGGTAGCGCACAACCACCCTTTGGGGACAAAAGGGGTCCACTTTTTGTTTCTGACTTTAGCCATCATGGGTATAAATGATGATGTCATCCTCCATCCCACTTTTGTACAACCCACCGCCTAGGGAGGGTCAAGGGAGGCTGGCTCTCTCTCTCTCTCTCTCTCTCTCTCCATTTACCACGAAAGAGGAGTATTAGTGGGTGGCCTTTGTATTTATTGGGTGTAGTCTAGTCTTTAGAATAGACACAGACGGACGGAGTTTGGCGTCACAAAGACAAATGTCTTTATTGGGCTTGGTTTATAAATTAATAACATGGATATTTATTCATTTATTATTTTTGGAGGAAAAATATTTGCATGTATTATTAATTTAATAAGGGGAAATTCAGCGAAATTTATAAACCCTTACAGAATTTTATTACTTTAATTTTATGCCAATTCAAATATTTATTATAATTTATTAAACACTTAAATTTATAAAATTATTTTATTAAAAATTAATTTAATTAAATACTGATTAAATAGTTAAAAATATTAAGATTATTCAAAAATTAAGCAATTACACATTCATTAAATATTATGCAAATGTTTAAAAATAAAAAGAATGTCGTCTCATTATGCATTAGGCGCCATAATCGAGAATCAACAGGTGGGCCTAATTTTCAGCCCGGATGACTTTGCTTCGGCCCATTTAGTTAATCTTTTTTAGCATCACAAATAGCTGTATCTATCTACCTAACCTAGCTTTAATTATACCTTATTGTTAGTGCTGGATTAATGCAAATCAAAAATCTGATACTTCCGTTGCTTACAAACTGGGGAACATCTTCACAAACTTCACCGACAGGGCATCCATTAATTTACTAACATGACATTGATATATATATATATATATATATAGTATATATACAGTATATATATATATATATTTGGAAAATTCTTCAAATATATATATATATATATATATATTGGAAATTTCAACAACTAATGCATCTCATCGTTTCAAAACTAAAAGATGGAAACGACATTATCCAATGCTATAGCTTCTGGCGATTTAACAGCATTTCAATCTTTAGTGTCCGAAGATCCACTTGCACTGGATCGCATTTCCTTCAATTCGGCCGAAAATCCCCTTCACATGTCCGCATTGTCTGGACAGACCGAAATCGCAAGAGAAATCGTGAGCCGAAAGCCTAAATTTGCCTGGGAGCTAAACCAGGATGGTTTTAGCCCCTTGCACATTGCCTCTGCAAATGGGCGACTAGAATTAGTACGACTACTTTTAAGGGTTGGATACGATTTGTGTCTTCTGAAGGGAAAAGACGGCAATATTCCACTTCATTGCGCTGTCATGAAAGGCAGAGCAGATGTTGTCAAAGAATTGATTTTGGCGTGTCCAGATTCCATTAAACAAGTGACTGCTTATGGTGAAACTGCACTTCACATTGGTGTGAAGAGTAACCAGATTCGAGTTTTTAAGGCATTGATGGAAGAGGTCAAGAAACTTGACATGATGGAGATTGTAAATTGGAAGGACAAGGACGGTAACACTTTATTGCATTTAGCTACTTTCAGAAAACAAGATGAGGTCATTGTAATATTATATGCCTTTTTTAAAAAATTGATTAATCACTCTCTTTTCCATTCTTTTTATAATTGGTTTCATTGTTATTCAAAGATGGATGCAGATCATAGAGCTATTAATTGGGCAGGAAGCTACGGTGTTCGGGGTGGACCTAAACGCTATTAACACAAATGGATTCACACCAAAAGATGTAATTGATTTTATCCTTCAAATTGGAGCTCAATACAGTGACATTCGTATTTTAGAGATGTTTCAGCAAGCAAAAGCTATGAAAGCCCAAGAAATCACAAGAAGATATTCTAATGCAAACGACGTGAACAGGGAGCCAAAGTTGCTAGCTGTTGCTACTCCTTCATGGAACCTCTGGAAAGAATTGATGAAAGAGATTGGAGAGTCATCAAATGAAACCCAAAATGCATTAATGGTTGTGGCGGTTCTCATAGCCACAGTGACCTACCAAGCAATACTTAGCCCACCAAGTGGTTTTTATTCAGCCGAGTCAAGAAGATCACCGACAATTAATAACATTCAGAGAAGAACTATTTTGCCTGGAGAGGCCTTAATGGCTACTGACCCTCAAGTTTTTGCTCTGTTCACTGTTTTTAATGCAATTGGGTTTTTCGCATCGCTAGCAATGATTTCTCTTCTCACAAGTGGATTCCCTCTCAGGGCAGGTTTGCGACTTGCAATACTTTCAATGACGGCTACTTATGTGATTGCAGTGGTTTATATGGCCCCAACTGAAATGAAAACAGTTAATATAGTGGTATGGTTAATGGGTCTGCTTGTTGTCGGAGAGTTTGCTCGTTTTCTGATATGGTTATTGAAAAAATGTGGTGTCCTTCCTTTGAAGAAATTTACAACAGCATGTTTTGCTGTTAGAAATCAGACCTAAAGCAGAAACTTGTAATCTGAAAAATTTCATTGTGTATGTTTCTTGTAACTTTATCTTTTTAAATGGATGATTGTTGTTAAATAAGGCAGTCATTAATAGATTTGATAATGAAAAGGCTAATCCTCCTCCAAGCAATATGTTATTGTTGAATTGGAGTCTCCAGCATGAAACTCACATGAATCAGCAAAATATTGGAAAACTGTAGGAATTAAGATTAATTGCTTTTATTATTGCTATGAATATGTTATTGACAGGATCTCTGCTGTACTTGCTCTTGTGCCTGATGAATTCCAGGTTGCTCAGCCATTCATGGAGAGGTAATAAAATCCTCAAGCATTATGCTTTTCTATTTATGTAACAATTTGTTCCACGAAAATGCGGTTTTTCCCTAACCCTAAACAAAACAACTGGTTACTGGTTTTACGAAACAGCCTATGGAAAATAGAGGAGTTGGAAGAGTTGTTCAAAAAACAAAAAGAAAACTTTTTTTTGTCTAACCCTGTCGTCTCCTTTTGTCTTTCTTTCAGAAGACAGAGGAAAGTATTTTTTCTTCCGTCTTCCTCTTTCAAGGGATTCTTCTTCGATAAACAAAAAATCCAGTCTTTAGCTACGCTGTCTCACCCACAAAATGACACGCGTCTTCGTTTATGAAGTTGTTCCTACAGACTACAGAGAAGTTTCCACCAAGGAAAAGATGTTTTCTTCTCTACGTTCTCTTTTGACTTGCGTTTACAAAAAATAACGATATCTCATTGACTCGACGAATTAATAGTGCAAGAAAATGGACTGCAAGAAAATGGACAACAAGAAGGGTGTTACGAGGCTCATCAATCATCATCCTCCATACCTGGAGAAGTTGGTTCAGGTACTTTCAATGCGATGAAGAGAAGGACAAGCCGAGTGTGAACCCTCCAGGAGGTGTGTGGCAGGACAGCCAGGGCAAGCTATTTATGCGTCTGAACCAAAAGCCTATTACGTTTTCTTGTTCTCGAACACTTTGGCGCTCTCCACTTCAGTTCTTATAATTTTATCTCTCACTTGCAGATTTTTGCACTCCTTTCTGAGATTTGGGTTGCTGCCACTTCAATGATTGTTACGTACGGATCTGCTATTTTTGCTATTACACCTAAAGAGTGTCAAGCTGCTCTACCGCTTTTGCTTAGATGTTCGATTAAAAAATTCAAGAAGATATGATGATACAGGGAAGCAAGATAATGACTAATTTCTATTATTTCACACATTAAAAAGAGTGGTATATGGCTTAAAGTTTATTAACAAAGAGAAGGTAAGAGGAGAGGGGTTGTTTCTTGTATTTGGTCCCAATGTCATCATCTAGTTGAGCTTTTTTTTTTAGTCCTTCAATTTCTTCTCCAGTTTGTCCTAACGCTAATAATTAATATGCATATCTAACCACGAAATATTCAATTCAATGCAAAGCTAGCTGAAGGAAGAACAAATGTCAAATGCCAGGCTGACCTGACCCTGTCATTGCTCCGAAGAAAAGAATAGCCATTACTTGGGCCGTGGGCTTTTGCTTCCATTTTCCTGATCCAGCAGTAGCTTAATGTTCTTCCAACCATCCACTCTCTGTTTTGGGCCTTAGCCCTTAATAGTTCTTTTTATCAGAAGCTATTGCTGGTAGGAGTTGGTTTAGTTATTTCCAATATGATGAAGTGAGGGACTCACCGAGTGATTGCTGAAATATATTGCTAATAGTGGTGGCATTGATTGCTGCTGTAGCTTTCTTCCCTTTCAAAGCCTTTATGTTTCTCATTTTTTCTATTCAATCTATTGTTTATTTTTTCTTCTTGTCCTTTAAAAAAAAAAAAGAAAGAAAGAAAGAAAGAAAATGAAGTGATGGAGAGGAAGGAAAAGGTACGACTAAGATGGATTCAAACCAAAAGAATATTATTATTTTTTTTAACCATAATCGATTGCAAGATTGATTAAAAGTGATATAAACTATTTATAGAAATAATAGAAAATAATTAATTTGATTGAGGAATATTTTTTTTTCAGATTACATGATAAATCAATCAATCTAATTGGCTTTCTAAATAGTGGAAAGAAAGAAAAAATTAATAAAAGTTAGAAATACGCTCTTCTTACCTTAATTACAATCGCGATGATTCTTGATAATTCACAGTTACGGACAGTATTATTACAAGAATCACCCAACTCATAATAGTATCATGTAGAATCTATCATCATTATTATAATTTCTGATTTTTAGGACAGGAAAGCCAAGATTTTGCTTCCTCCTCGCCAAGGAGTTTGATTAACAAAAATGCAAGTCATAATTCTATATATTACTATTACCGACCAGGAAATAAAATTAATCCTAAAGCCTGCTCTTTAAGCCAAAAACCCTAGCCTACGGTCGAAGAAAAATGGGTAACCCTAATCTAAGCAGAGGGAGGAGCTGGTTTAGCTACTTCCAATACGAAGACGGAAGGGATTCTCCGAGCGAGGCCCGAAACGTTCTTTTATTGGTAGCGGCGTTAATAACTGCGGTGACGTTTCAGGCAGGGGTAAATCCTCCTGGTGGCGTATGGCAAGATGACGAGGGTGGTCATGTGGCTGGCAGGGCTATTTACGCTACACAAAAGAATGCCTATTACATTTTCTTGATTTCTAACACGGTAGCGCTTTCCACATCTTTACTGCTCATTGTATCTCTGACATACAGGTTCCCATTTCACTTTGAAATATGGGTTGCTACTTTTTCAATGATTGTGACCTACGCCTCTGCCATTTTCGCTGTTACTCCTGACGAATCTGTAAGATTTCGCTACATTTTGCTCGCTGCTTCTGTCCCTTTTTTGGCTAGGTGCTCGATTCAGATATTCAATAAGATAAGAAGCAAGTTGTCCAATTAGTTAATCCGAAACCTTTTCTTTGTCCAAATAGCTTAAACATGGTATTATTATTAGCTACCTATTTCCTTCTTGATTGTAATGCTATTATTAATTTATATGTTCATATGGAATTAATAAAATCTTCCTCTTTCTTAATTACCATCTTAATTATTTCACTTTTCTTGATTAAGAATCTCCTCCAGCCCAACCTCCGGTTAATAGGGAACTTGTAATTCTCTATCCAACCTGAAGTTGCAAGGGGCCAAAGAATAATAAACACAAATCAGCTAAAAATATCATCAATTATTTCTTTAAATGAAATACGACAGGTATCATTAGAAAATGTGAGTATATAATGAAAAAGACTTGTTTACACTACAGTTAAATGTATTGAAAAATAATTTTACTTATCTTAAAATGAGGGAAAAAAAACAAAAATTTAGGAAAATTATCACTTAGTTTTGTATGATTGCACATGTTGCATGTCCCCTCGCACGAATCATTACAACTGTCAAATAGAAGAAATTGTCATCACTTGCCAAATTAATTAACTACAACCAGGGGTGGCCACAGTTCCGGAACCGGCGGTTCCGGTTCCAGAACCGGCGGTTCCGGTTCCAAAAAAACTGGAACCGGAACCGAACGGAACCGGAACCGACCGAAAACAGTCCGGTTCCGGTTTCCGGTTTGGAACCGGCATGTTCCGGTTCCGGTTCCGGTTCCCGGTTCCGGTGGATAAAACGCGCGGTTCCGGAATCGATTTTCCGGTGAAATCACATAATTTTAAATTTTAAAATTTTTGAAGACCGGGTTTTAAAATTTAATAAATTTGTGAAAAGTTATTTTGTAAAAAAAATACACCTAAAAAATTAAAAAATTCTACAATTAAATTTATTTTTTTAAAGACTTGAATATAATTATTTTTTACAAAAAAATTCTTCCACTGAAATTATTTTTTGTTTAAAAAAGTTTGAATATAATTTAAAAAAATATTGTAGAGAGAGTAAGTAGAGAGAGTAGAGATTTTTTTATAATGAATTTGTAAATGAAATGAGGTATTTATAATAAATTCAAAAAATTAATTTTTCAAAAATACCCTTGAAACTAGCCGTTATATAGCCGTTTATAGCTATTGGGAGGAATAATTAATAGATTTCACAATAAAATCAATAAAACTAAAAAAAAAAAAACACAACGTTTCAGCACCAATAATTATAAGAAGAATATGTATTTATTTTTTTAATTTCATTTTTCTGTTGTCCCTTTGTAGGGTGTAGGCGTAGGGTTTATAATTTTATTAGCGACTCGCTCTCTCACTTGGTATAGTGGGGAGCGGTATATGGTGAGTGAGTGTAGAAGGCGCAGGTATGAGTGGCGTGTTGTGGCTAATTCGTGATAATACATTTCTCGGGAGAAGGGTGTTTTGCGAAATTTGCTATAGAGCGGTGAGGTATTGGAGAGAGAGATGTTACTCTTACTCATATTCTAGGATTCTCTGTCTCACTCGATGTCTGTATGGATGTCGTTGGGATAACGCAATATAGTCTCCGGTACTCACGTTAGACTGTAATTGCTTGTGTCAGAAAAATACGTATGTTTATGCGTGAGGGAGGATGGCTTGGTAGAGATGTGGTACACGCGCATTGGCGCAGCTGGATCAGAGTACACGTGCAGGATTGCCCTTAGAATACAGTCACGCGAGGGGTAGGGCGAGGTAAGTCTCTCTCTCAGGCACAACTGGATAGTCGATACGGTGATCGAGTTTCCTGGGTGGTAGCTGGTCCTCAGAGAGTATCGCGAGTAGTGAAAGTATGACTGGAACCGGACCGAACCGGAATATTCCGGTTCCGGTTCCGGTTCGTCCCGGTTTCGGTTCTCACCGGTTCCGGTTCCGGACCGGTTCGAACGGTTCCGGTTCTCACCGGTTCCGGTTCCGGACCGGTTCGAACCGGCGGTTCCGGTTCCAGGAACCGTGATTTGGCCAAGCCTAACTACAACAGCAATATTATACTCTTTCTGTGCAATTTTGCATTATTCTTTTGTCCGCTACCCTACCCATTTTGTCTTGCCAGCATCAAGCTTTATTCGTATTATTCTTTATTTCCTTTTTTCCAATTAAGAACGCAACCACATCACTATCTCTACACTTTTTAGTGGCAACCCAAAAGTTTAGAATCTTGACATGGATAAGAACATGAATCAACCGTATAGCATCCGCAAAAGCAGAGGAAAAATAAGCTGTCAACCCAAATTTATAGGTTCTTTAATTAAAACATCAAGTAAGAGAGAGATTCTTCATGGCCAGACTGTAAAGAAGATAATCCCATCTGTACATTACCAAATAATTTGAATATTCCAAAAACCAGACAAGAAAAGACCAACAAAATGAAAGGGCAAATGCTAAAAACCAAGTTGGTTTTAGTACACAATTTGTGCCAATCCCAAAAATAAGAGAAGAATACTGGAGAAGAGTCACTATCTCTATAACTAGCTACACATTTAGAGAGCTTATAATATATAATCAAAAAAGCTTAAACAGCAAGCTGTTGCTTTTGATGGGAAGTTTCATCCTCATTGAAACACAAATGGAGCTTTAGAGATCTCCCCACGTTCAATGAAGATTCAGCTATGCTTAAAGGAGGTTGAGGTTGAGGTTGAAGCATCATCTCCCTTTGCAGATAGGAACAATAAGTGTGGAATGTGTTAGGGGTCACATTTAGGTGGAAACCCAATCCAAATAAAAAATCCACTTCGAGATAGTTCATCTCTATTGTGCTGATTCCTCCAACTTTTGCATAGTAAGCATTGTTGTAATACCTGTAACAAAAATGCAATCAAATTGCAATTAACCATTATCAATCTTTTTAATAAATTTGCAAAAGATTTGGTGAAATGTCAGGCATCTACACCGGCTTGCATGAAGAAAACTAACCAGAAAGCTTTTCACATGGCTTGGAAAACCAAAAAGAAAAAACAAGAAAGAAAAATGTAAATCCTGAATGATTCGCGAAGAAGTAAAGGAACCCAAAAATACATAGACAACAACTAATTAGTCTTCTTTCATTTGATTTAAGAATTCTTTCATCTCGATTTGCAGAAAGACAAAGGCAATGAAGAAACAAGAAACCAAACCCAAATCATAAGAAACAGAGCAATGTTCTATGTTGGGGCAAATTTCAAGGCAATGGATTAAAATCCGACAAAAATAAATTTAAGAAATTAAAGAATTTGAAGTCTGGAAGCAGAATTGAAAGAATTGAAAAACTCACATGTCATCCATGAACTTGGCGGCAACCAGGACGCTGGTTATAAGCAGACGATGAACATTGAAAGAATTGATAGGCAAAGAGGGTTGTCTTTGGGCAAACCTATCAAGATAAACATATGCAACGATAAAACAAGATGGGCTACAATTGGCATACTTGAAGATCCTCTCTAGATAGCTTTGAATGGAGATAGTGGGTCTAGTTAGTCCATGAAAGACTGAAATTTTCTGGGGTTGAAATTGACTGTTGAGATCATTGGATTCAGCTACCCTTTGAAGCAAAGAAGAGAGAAATGTGATGAGTTTTTGCATCACATTTGGGCTCTCTAGCTCTGCCATTGATGAACGATGACCAATTTTTTTGGTGCAAAAAATTAGCTATGAATTATTTTCGGTTAATCTATGCGCTTATAGAAACAGGTAACATGGTCGTTAAATGGTAGGTAGTTTTATAGAACAAAATGCCCTCGCTTTTTTAAATTATGACTTGCATGTCCCCCTTTTTTTTTTTTTTTTTTTTTTTTTTTTTGATATAGACGGATGTGTGAGAGTGAAGTAATACTCTCTGTATAGCGGTGTGTAGCACGTATCTTAACGAGCGCGGGTCGGCTAATTGAGAGATATAGATGTTCATCAGAGTAATGTCTGGAATGGTCAGTAGCCCCTCTGAGCCGCTGTACGTTGGCAGGGTGTGTCATTCGAAGTCTCAATGTGATATTCGTATCATGACAGGAAGAGGAATTGAGTAAGTGAACGTGAGATTTAGCGCACGCTCTCTCGCAGATGATCGAGAGTTACCGCATGCTTGTACGTAGAAGAGAGTATGATATTGTGGGCTTGGTACTATTGGGCATGCGCTCGCGCGAAACTCTCGCACAATAGGTATGGAAAGCGCGACGTGCACATGACAATATAACGATTTAAGCATGTTAGAACTGTGTGATCTGTAGCTTATAGTTAGTCGATGTCGAGCAAAAATTAGCTATGAATTAATTTCGGTAAGTCTATGCGCTTATAGAAACAGGTAACATGGTCGTGTAAAAATGGTTTAGGCTAGTTTTATAGAACAAAAATGGCCCTCGCTTTTTTAAATTATGACTTGCATGGTTCCCCTTTTTTTTTTTTTTTTTTTTTTTTTTTTTTTTTTTGCAAAATGTGAACAAACAAAAGGTGACATTTGATTTTTCTAATCTAATGTAATGTGTTTTTATGGTATTAGCATACCCAATTTTCCACTACCCGTCATGTGATGACACGTAGAAAATTTTTGTGATTTTAGTTGATGGGTCCGGTCCCATCCGATGTTTTTGTGAGATCTTGCATTGCATGTGTTTTGATTCTGATTCTGTATAAGCAGGTGACATAACATGGATTTGTTTTGTTGGCCCATAGCATGAGCGTAGTCTGCTCTTGCACCTACCAGACAATTTCTATAAAATATGAATAAATACGAACATTTTCATTCCTGAAAATGAACCAATCTTGAACTAATATGTTAGGTCAAGAGAAGAGAGTTGAAGCAGCTAATCCAAATTCAGATTTCTTAGCCTCCCAAGTATTACAGCAAACCAATCTTCAGGATAGATTTTGGTTGAATTCATTGAATGTATCTGTAGGACCTTTCGTTATTTTGTTTTGGCTACTTCTCTAAATTAGTTAAATTTATAATTGGTTATTTAGAAAATTAATGATGATATATACAGCTTTAAAGTTTAATAACAGACTATATACTCTATTCAAAGGAAAAAAAAAATAACTCCACTTTATTATTTAAAGAAAAAAAAGATAATACTTCTAAAATAAATGATGGAAAGCGCTCCTTATAGGCTTGACCGGTGCGAATATAATTAAATTTAAAACAATGACCTAAGAATATTTTTAATATAAACAAAAAAAAAAAAAAAAAATAAAAAAAATGTTTAACGCGGCGATTATTCATCGGTCTGTATATACAAGAAAAAAAAAAAAAAAAAAAATGTTAACGCGGCTGATTATCATCGGTTGTATATACAGTGCAAAATGCAAATAATAGATGAGCTAAAAAGGAAAAATAAAAAGACGCAACTTTCATAGCTTTGATCTTATGGCTGATCTGCTGGCAGCGCAGCCTTACAATCATACCTTTGATGTTTGTCTTTTTGTTTTTCAATTAATTTGTAGGTATTGTTGTAATGTAGAATAGAAATAGGAGGGTTATTTTGGGAAATACGAATAAAAAACCAAAGGGCCAAGCTGGAACCATGTTTTGGTTGGAGTAGAACAAGAGCAATGCATGTCTTGCGAGACAATGTCTCTCTCTAAATTGCCCCATGTGCTCTTCCATGTGACCACCACCCTACAGTATTGATACCCACATTTATTATTTCCTCACACTAACTGTACCATTATTCAACTCTATGTAATCCTTATGTTTAGGGAAGATTTAGGTCTCAATTTAAGAATTCAAATCCAAACTAATTAAATGTCAATTTAATAATTCTCTTAATGAAAATTATTTCAATCAATCCACTTAATAGGCAATATCATTGTTCATAGAAATATTGTTTTTCACTTATATTTTCAATTTTGTCCCTCATTAGACCGAGAAAGTAAAAATATAATAATTGAGCAAAAACCGCCAATTAGCAAGTTAAAATTAATTAAACTTACAATAAAATGTCGTCTTTCTTATTAGTTTTGAACTCGAATTTGGCTATTTTTAAATTGCATATTTATAGCATTATTCCTCCAATTTATTTAAAGATGAAGCAGGTACTGATATTTGTTATTTTTTTTAATATTTTTAATTGTCATTTTTTACAAACCTAGTTGTTAATATAGTATCACAATGTAATTCATCTCATCCCAAAATTGTAGATTTTATTTTTATTTAACTATGAATACATTCTCAGATTAATTTTTGGCAATAACAAATATTTTTTTACATATCATTTTATTTTATATTATGTAAAAAAATTCAGATTAATTTTATTTTTATTTTTTATTCGAATAAGTATTCACTCTCAAAGCGAAAATTGTAAAGATGTTTAAGTTATATTTTTTAATTTAATATGTTATGTGAGTGAAGTTTTAATTATATTATATGACTTTAATTTGATTATTGCATATACGGTCTATGGATGAAATCACATTCATTATATGTTATTGTAATTACATATAAATATTTTACTTAGGTTTACTGTTAAAAAAATTAATACTATTGGTAAAAAGATAAATGTACTTACAAAGTCGAATTTCAAATTTTTTTTCTTAATATTTTTAATTTGTTATAAATAACATTTCATATTGGAATTTATAATTATCAAATAATATATTATTTTAATTAAAAATTAATTATGATTTTATGTCCAAATGTTTTCTAAGTTAAGCTATATAATTAGCTAAGAAATAAAACATTTTAGAGAAATAAAATACTCTTGGCACGACTTCACTTTATTATGTTGTGTCATTCATACATTAAAGCTTCAATAAATGGCGAAAATACGCCACCGTTCAGTTTCTAGAAAATCTAATAATGAAGCTATCCTTCTTTAACGACGACCTGTCGCTTGCTCTCCCCCGACGAAAATTAATAGCATAATGACGCTACAACTTGTAAACGAAAAATTTTTGAGGGCTGAAAGTTTTGCAAAACCCGGTAAACTACTTCTCTTCGTTCAGTCGTTTACCCTTTTCATCTTCCCTTCAATGTGCCGCTGCAGTTTGCAGCTAGGTATAAAACGACGTCATTTATATGTGAGCTTAAAGCGGGAACTCGCTCAGCGGAGAAAATGGGGTGAAGAGTAGCATCACCGCCATGTCCAGGTGCTGCGAGCATTGTAAGTGGACTTTGAAATATCTATCTATGTAGGTATGTGAAATGCAGAAATTGAAAGAATAATAGAAAATCGAGTTGAAAGCAGCACTGGACCGTAGCCCGGAGCAATGCCGTTGCTGCTTCGGGCTACCTTCAATACACCATCTTTCTCTATTGTAAGCTTTGTTCTCTTTTGTCATTTTCAATGTCCATTTGGTTTTACTTCCCTTTCCAGTCTCTCAGCCATTAATTTCCTGATTTTCTTTAGGTTTTGTCTTCTCATAGAGAAAAAGAATATGTAATTTCTTTTAATTGGCTTTATTAATGCAGATTGTCTTCATATTCTTGTATTCTCCATTTTTCTTTTAACAGAGGGAAGCGCAATTGACTGGAAAGGCAACAGGAGTTGGTCCTTCCCACGCCTAAGTTCTGGACATCTCCTTGCACTATATCAGGTGAGAAATTAGCTTTTCCCCATTGAAATTTTTTCTATGTAATAAAGAAAAGAAAAAGGAACCGAGCCAATCTGATACATGAATTGATATTTGCTAAGCCTTCCTTTTCTTTTTTCTTTTTTTTTTTTTAATTTATTTATAAATAAGCAAATGTATTCCAAAAATTTATAAATTAAAGAAAGAAATAAAATATGTGAAGTATGAACATGTACGCACGCAATTACAATGGGAATATATATGACAAAATCTATTTAAGCAAATCTTCCAGCCGCTTTGAGTATATCAACATGAATGCTTGTTCAAAAGTCTGATCTCCCTTTTTCTTTTTTTCAGTTTCCTTGTTGTTCTTGAGGCCTGGCTCCTCTTAAACGTTGCATTATGTGTTTGGCCCGCCAAACCAAGAATTTGGTTACAACAAATGCTGTGGAACTGTAAGTGACAACTCCTATCCACACTAACCAGAAGATTTGAATATGAAAAGTACCAGTTATAATGGTAAAAGAAGGTAAATTTCTCTTCATAGCAAAAAAATAATTGATTATCACTGGTTGTAGTAACAAAATAAAAAGGTGAATATCGATAGGAAGATGCAATAGAAGCAAGAGGATGAGGATAGTTGACCATACAAACATTGAGCTGTTGGTAACCATTGTATGGAATACCTGCGCAGGTTCCCCATATCCCCTCAACAAATCTCCAATATTGTAATGGAATCTCTGTCCTTCTAAGTGCTCAGTATTGGAAACAAAGGGGCTGTTTACTGCTTGTAATGAATATATCAAAACTGCTGCTACAAGTTGCAGCAGAAAGCCAAGAATCTCAATAGGGATTCTGTCACTATTATCACTGTTGATGACTCTAAGGAACCTTGCCAATAGTTGCACTAAAAAAATGTTACGCCCGTTTATGTTGTCATCATCATTAATAGGGATTAAAACAGGCCTAGGTCTTCTTGCTCTCGAAGCTCCCACTCTATTGAGCAGTTCTCCAATCTCCCTGTCTGGTTCATTTGAATACTGGTAGAACAAATCTAGCGCTGTGAGACCAGAAGCATCAGTGATGTTTACTTGCAGTGCCCTGCAAATTCTTTTACTTGAAATCAGTGCCTCTAGGATCTGCATCACACCGTTGATTTTGACAGAGAAAACAATTGAGGACAGATACTTATAAAGCAAAAACCAAAATTCAATTTTGCCTCCTTTTTTTTTTTTCTTTAGCAATGTGAAAGAGAAGCAAAGGTGAAGCTTGCCTGGTATTGATTTTTAAGAACCACCTTGTGCAAGACCGCAAAGCCTTCATTATCCCTAGTGTTAATCAAATTCTTCATATGCTCACAGGTTAGTTGCTCCAGCCAATGCACCAGGATGCGAAAAGCTTCACTCTGACTATGTTGAACTGCCAGGTGAAAACAACTCTCTCCTTTAAATGTCAAGGATTGGATGTTTTCTACACTCTCCCTAAGAATTAGTTGTATAACACCAGTCCTTCCTTTGGTGGTCGCCCAGTGCAGAGGTGTCCATCCATTGTTGTCCCTTATGATGCACAAACTCCGGTTGAATTTCAAGTGCTCTAGAATGACGATTTCATATCCATGTGCAGCTGCCAGATGGATGGAGCAATAACCATCTTCATTTCGCTCCATAGCTAATGAAGGCCTGCGAGCTAATAACAACATTACAACAGTGTGTTTACCATATTTAGATGCAAGCTGCACAAGATTTCTGGATGCTGGACCCATAAGCAAGTCTGGATTTTCTTCAAGTGCTTGGAGAATAAAGGTTTTGTCTCCCCTGCGTACTGCATTTTCAATTTCCATCATTACTGAATTCTGCATTTTCAAGTCTATAACAGAAATGTACAGATTTTTTGACAACAAATAAAGGTTTTCGTCTCCCCTGCGTACTGCATTTTCAATTTCCATCATTACTGAATTCTGCATTTTCAAGTCTATAAACAGAATGTACCAGATTTTTTGACAACAAAATTTAACCTTTAGGTTGTTCCTAATGAACAGAACTTACAGTAGTCGAACCAATACATAAAAGGACAATAAGGCGCTTCGGAGATTGCTGGTATATCTAGCCTAAGCACTCATGGACAAATGTTAATTTTTGTTGTCAAAACAAATCTGTACATTTCTGATTTCCCTAATAAAAGAATTCTTATTCATTGGGTATAATAAGACGTCATTAACATTTTTGTTTTTGTAAAGGTATTTTTTGCTTAAAACACTGCAAAATCAAATGTTGACACCTTTAGGTATTATTATGTTTGCTTGCAAATGAGTTATTTTTTGTTTTAGTGTTATAATTTTTTTTTTTTTTTTTGCCTCGTATTATATTACTGGAAAAATTTAATAAACAACAACATAAAAAACATTCTGAAGACTTGTAGTTTTTAACTAAAACAACAAAAACTGCTTTTAAACTTCCAATTTAATAAGGAAATCTGACATTTTGTCTATTTCTAGTTTTTTCAGGGCCGGCCATGATACATGAGAGTTACTGATAGTTGTTGCCAAACCTTTCATTGTAAAGGAATTTGCCCTTGAAGTTTCTTGTGCAAAAATTGCATGGTAAAGGAAATTGAAAGCAACTTTGCTTGCACGGGCATCCTACAAGCACAAAGTTTGTCCTTTTCAAGGTTGCTACCATTACTTCGAGGATATCTTATCACCACTAGTTATTAATTATTAAAGTACCTAAATGAGGATAAGACAAAACTAGGCGGTATTTTTCAAATTGTTATGTAAGTAATCATCCGTATTTTTCAAATTGTTATTGTAAGATAATCATTGAAGACAATTTTGTTGTTTCCTTTTGTATTAGACTGTATGTATCATCTGCTAGCACGACCTAGGAAGGATCATATGTCTTCTGTGTGTGTGTTTTTTTAATGATAACATCGATATAATGTGTCCTTCTTTTTTTTTTTTTAATGATGACATTGATATGAACTATCTAGATAACGATTTGTATGATATATTTACCTTTTGAAGTTCAAATGATAGGAATTGACCTGCAGACGTCCCTGTCATTTATGTCTATGCAAGTTCCTCTGTAGTTCTTGTGTTGTTGGAAGGATCCTTTGCTGTCAACTCTTCTTTTCTTTTTTCTTTTTTTTTTAACCCCCTGGTATATTGCTCACATGGTTGTATTTGAAGCTGCAAACATGGAGTCGGAGTTATTCAAAGCTGCGCTTTCTGGAAATGTTGGGCAGTTGCTGCTCCTGCTTCGTGAAAACCCAGATGTTCTTGTAGATTCAGCAATGGTAACAGCTAATACTCCACTACATATAGCTGCTGCAAATGGTCATTGTGAATTTGTAAGAACGATGTTATCATATAAATCTTCTTTTGCATGGGAACTGAATGAAGATGGGTTTACCGCATTAAATTTGGCTATTGAGAAGGGGCACATAGATATTGTGAAGTATCTCCTACTGCATGATCCTGGACTACGTATGCTCAAGGACAGTGAAGGTAGAACTTCACTTCATTGTGCTGCGATACATGGAAAGACAAACATTATAAATGAATTGCTAATGGAATTTGAAGATTGCCTTGATGAGAGAACAGCTCGAGGAGAGACTGTACTGCATCTAGCTTTGAAGTACAATAAGGAGGAAGCTTTTGTAGTGTTGATGAATTGGGTGAAACAAACCCAGAAGGAGAAGCTATTGGATTTGAAGGATAAAGCAGGAAGCACAGTCTTAGAGCTGGCTCAATCCAAGAAAAAGAACAAGGCAAGTTCAGATTCCTTGCTATGTACAAATGAATTATTTGGATGGAGAACATAAAGAGATGTTGCAGAAATCCACACCCAAAGTAAAAATTGAACACTCAGGTTTTATATTTGCGCTTTTGCAGGCCATAATTCAACTGATAATGAGAATGAAGTGTTCACAAAAACTTGATAATGAAATTGGTATCAAGATGGTAAAGCTCAACAAGGATCACCAGTTGGAAGACACATTATTTATAGGAGTTTTGTCTATCTTGGTGTTGTCTCTGTTTTTCTGTGTCACATTTTTCTCAGAAACTACCGAAGACCAAGCCTATTCCAACAATGATTACAAGGCAAGTTCAGCTGCTTAACACATCTGTTTGTCCATGTGTGCATAAACACAGAATTATTAGGATGGACAAAAATCTGCCACAAAATGCTCCATGGCTTTACATTTACATTTTTGTTTCACAGGTTTTTATCTCTGCTATTGAGGTATACACTTCAGAAAATTTTGATAATGAAGGGGTGATCTTCACATTTGCACCTGATGCGGAGTATCAGCATTTGATAGAAATCAATATTGATGGATTGTATAAGGAGGCAAGTTCAATTTCCTCTTCCCTTCCTCTTCACCCTATCTAGAAAATGTACTCAATTTATGCCTGCTGTTTGCACTTTTGCAGTTCATTCAACTGAAAACAGGAACGGAAATTTCAGATCAAATTGATAATGAAATTGGGATGGATCTGCCACAGATCAAGAAAGAACAGATGCCTTTCACCAGCAAGATAACAGAACTCAAGGACTGTATATTTTCAGGGCTCCTTCCCGTCTTGGGTTTGGTGTGTATAGCTGTTTTCAACATTATTATGTCAGAAATAATTGAGAAAAATATCAAACCGCCCATATCCTTGATGTCCTCGTTCAAACTTCCATTATCAACTGTGACTATGTATTTTGCGTGGGCAGCAACTGGACTATGCTTTATTAAATACCTGACCGAAGACATGACAGGTGGTACTTCCATTAAGATTGGACCTCCTTTTTTCTCACCATATGTAGGTAATACATAAGTACATAGCTAGTGTGGTAATCTCAAGCTTTAAAATCACTTATTTTTTTTATAATATCTTTAATTGATTGCTTAATGAATATATATTTTTTAAGTAATATTGTTTTAGTACAATTGCAGCTATAAGTATCATTGTTCTTCTACTAGCAGTCGCCAGCACATTCAGTTTGCTTTACTCGATATTAAAGATAAATAAGGAACTGGAGCAGAGGCAAAAAACTTGGTATCTACTTGAAGATTGCGGAGCTCTTTCTCCAGCCATATTCACCGTGACTGATCTCGAGGAGATGACAAATAATTTCAGTAGAAAATTGGGAGAAGGATACTACGGGACTGTGTATAAAGGATACCTTAAAAATGGAGTTCCTGTGGCTGTGAAGAGACTAAATGATTCATCACTTCGCAAAGAAGATCTTTTCAATGAGATTTGCGTTTTTGGAAGGATTCACCACATAAATGTGGTTCGTTTGTTGGGTATTTGTATTGATGCATCGGTACTTCTTGTATATGAATACATGGCAAATAGAAGCTTAGATTGCTTCCTTTTTAGTCCTGAGAGCGCGAAATTTAGTTGGGATACGCGTTATAATGTTGCCATGGGCCTAGCTAAGGGATTGCAGTATTTACATGAAGAAAGCGAACTGAGTATCATTCATGGCGATCTCAAACCGGAGAATATCTTACTAGACTCCAATTTCAATCCCAAGATCACAGACTTTGGTTTGTCGAGATTGTTCTCAAAGAAGATTCTTCCATCTGTGACAGGTGTCAGAGGAAGACGGGCTTATACTGCGCCTGAATTATGGAGTTCTGGAAATGCAACGTGTAAATCGGATATATATGGCTTTGGGGTATTATTACTCGAAATAGTTGGAGGAAGAAGACTCTTAGATGCGAGAGTAGAAACTGAAGGCCAAGATTACTTTCCTGTTTGTGCTTACAAATGCCTTGAGAAAGGAGAAGATATGGGAACTAAAGAGGAGATAGCGAAAAAATTGGCAATCGTAGCATTCTGGTGCACCCAAAAGGATCCAGCAGATCGACCTCCGATGCAAGTTGTCATTCGGATGTTGGAAGACAACATAGGAAACTTAACAACGCCACCAAATCCTTTTGCTTTCGCTGATCCGATACGAAGTCCATGATGGTCTTTCCCTGAAAGCTTCTCCTGTTCTTCATCTTGTACGTTTGCAGCCAACTCCAGTATAAATAAGGGCACAAGCAGTGTGCGTGGCATGTAACTCTTATATTGCAATGTGACAGTGTTCACCTTGTCTTTTCTGTTATCGTATCTACCCTTGTATGATTTTTGTTTTTGTTTAATTAGTACTATCAGGTTATGTGTGTTACAGTCAATTTAACGCTAAAACTAGACACATGAAACGATTGCTGGGATATTTCTCAGCTGATCAATCCTTACAAATACAAGATCAACTTTATAGGAACATGACTTATTAGTGAAGCACCAACCATTTATCGAGTTTAGATGGTCTACAATCCATACCAGTTTCATATTTGCAAATTATGGAACAAGTAGTACAATGTTTTCCACGTGTTGAATGCTGGCTCTAGCTTAATTGTGAGAATTTGCCTCTAGTGAGACACAAAATCAATCATAGATTTACTTTATGCTATAAAAATGTAGGACTTGGCCCCATAAACTACCAAAAAGAGGAGGAAAGCAATGTACAAATATGAAGAAGAAAAGCACATGAGTTGTAACAAGCCTCTCGACGTTGCTGTACCAGAAAAACTGAAAATTACTGGCTACCACTGGCTGAGAACAAAATTTTCCAGTTGGACCATGCAAATATAGTAAAATACCTTGAAAATTTGAGCTTAAACACTTTTCCCAGCATGTGAGGCCTAAACCAACAATCTCCCCATATACACGAGGAAGCCATAACATGTCAAAGACTGCCCTCCATCTGGCTGAGAAGCACTTCATTCTCCTCATTATCATTCTCAGTTGACAGTTTATTGCTGCTGGTGATAGACAATTTGAGAAGAGATGCATATGTTTCATCTTCAAGATATCCTGACTGCCTCAATAAATCCTCGAAAACTCCCTTACTTGCCATGTCAGCTTTTTCCTCACACAGGTTAAAGAACGCTGAGACAAGTACAGGCTTCGGTTTCCAACTACTCGCTCCTTCAGCAATAAAAGCTTCCTTAAAGCAAGACAAGGCCTCGGGAACTCTCTTCTCTTTGATTTGACCATCTGCAAGAATCTCCCACGTATTTGCATTTGGCTTTCCCCCAGCATCTGCCATATGGTTAAAGAAATTTTCAGCCTTGTCAAAATTTCCCTCTTTCACATACCAACTCATAAGAAGATTTCCTATTCTAGGGTCATAGGATGTCTTAATTGGCAGCCATTCCTCATAAGTCTTCTCTGCCCCTTCAATGTCACCCACTCGAATCAGAGATGATATAATAGCATGATATCCCAAATTTGGAATATTGGGAAAAACTGATTTGTAAATGTTCCATACACGATAAACCTCTTCTTTATTACCAACATTACCATATAGACTTAGGAGATAGTGATAAGGCATCCGATCCCGACCTGTGATTCTGCTCTCAACCCTCCTCAGGGAATCTTCAGCTTTTTCCAACTGCCCCATCTTGATGTACATTGTAGCCATTGTGCTAAATGTTGTCCAGTTGGGAGTAACGTTTTTATCCAGTTTCATTTGCTGAAACACTTCTTCCATCCTTTCTACAGATCCTTGGGATCCACGAGACGATAACCAAATGTTATAGGAATATAGATCAAGTCGTATGTTTTTCTCCACCATTTCTGAAATCAACATATCAACTTTATCATATTCTTTGAGGTTCATGTATAGAGTCATCATCACATTGAATGGAAGTGCTTGGTTGGCATAACCTTTATTTCTCATGTCATCAATCCAGCATTCTGCCTTTTCTCTCATTTTAGCTCTCACATAGGCATTCAGCAAAGCTCCATATATCCTCCTATCCTTCACAGAATCTGGAAGCCTAAAAAAAAAATCTTCAGCACTATAAACTCCACGCACTTTAGCAATAAGGTCCAATTGAATTGCTGCATCACTAGCAGATACTCTAAACCTCTCTTCTCTGTTGTTCATCCAATCATAAACCTACAAAAAGTGATATTTGCTTAATGACTATTAAAATTACCATATCCAACTAGTCATGCAACTGGCATTCAGCATACGAAAAAACCACTGAACAAAATTACACTGCAAGTGCTAACTTTTTTTAATACTCAAAAATGTGTGTATTAAAAGCAGCAATTTTAACTTACAAAATTATACATGCAAGAAAGTATAACCAAACAGTATATTTTATTACCTCCAGAGCTTGCTTGTACCGCTTGAACTTCCTCAGTTCCTTAACAACCCTACAAAGCTCCCATTTAGTTAACTTCTTGCCGTTTTTCTCAATTTGATTCAAGACGGTCCCAGCGCCCAATCCAGGATTTTCCATCAAAGAGATTTTTCGGTAGATAGAGTTCCAGTTCATCATTGGTCTTCTCTCATAATCAACAGTTCCATAGTTGTGCACTTGTGAGATTGAGATTTTGCATGTGATTGGAAGTTTCCGGAAATTTATTGTTTGGCGAAGGGCAAAATCCGGATTTTTCCCTGGGAGGGGTTGCGAGTAGGAGATCGTTGATGAAAGTGACGCCTTCTGGTGATGCAGAGACGGTTGAAGAAGCATTGTTGAATTTGGGGTTTCTGGAGAAATGCTACGTGAAGAGTAGAGCAGAGATTTTGGGATTGGGTTTTGAAGATAAAGATCTGAAATTACGGCAAGGTACATGCTTCTCACTCCTTATTACACATCTTCCAATGCTCGGTTATATTACAAACGACAAGCCGTTGCAGAATTAACCCTTCTTCTAAGTCCTGCCCCTTTTCATTTGAATATATATATTTATTTAAACACCGGGCAAACGAGAACAGTACAAAGCACCATTATTTAGGTTCGTTTGAAAAATTTTCTAATAAAGCCCATAGAACGGCTCAAATTCAGCCCATTTAAGAAATGAAGCCCAATACACAGGTCGTTCTTGGACGTCCACTTTCATGTTTATTCTATAATTAAAGTGATTAGGCTACGAAACTTCATTTTAGACTAAGCTTTTAAGAGGTCTAGCAGTATATAAGAATAAACTCATTCCAATCATAACCAATACATCTCAGTCAAACAAAAAATTTTAGGTTCCGAATTTTGGTCACTGAAAGGATAATATTAGCTTTCCAAATACACTCATTTTGGAATAAATTGCACAGATTGCTTCCACCAACAGCGCTGGCTTTCTCGTTGTCTATGTTAAGAAAAGATTGAAGTAAAATTGGAATTCCGCAGGTAACTATCCATGTCTATGCTTCAATTTCGACTTACAAACACTGAGTTCCATCTCAAATTAATCATGAGCATCCTGGCCATTTTAGTTGCATGATACCCTCTGTTCTTGTACTTCCATGAATGTATACCTTCGGCTTTTTGACCTGAAGAAAGAATGAAAATGTTTACTTGTTAACAAGGTAATGCGACCTAGGAAGGGGGATGGATGTTATCGTTATCACCAAGATGATGGGTGGAAAACCAAGTTGAAGGCGAGCCCTTGAGAAGCCATTGACAGAAAATAAACAATTGAATCCATCAACAGTAGAATGCTCACTGTTAAGACCAGAAGAAAAGGGGGAAAACATCGATCATGCACAATTAATAATAAATAATTCTGATTCTCACTAGAAAACTACTTATTCTGTTCAGAAACATAAAAGTGGAGTCCGAGGCTCATAGCAAAAGCTTATCTACAATAAATTGTCTATTAACAGTTGCAGCAGGAAGTATCCTTCCCAAGACTGGCATCAATTAAACAAAGTTTTTGTTGCTTGTCATGAACAAACCAAAACGATGAGCAACAAACCTGATCAGATATGTAAAGTTTCTGTGACGAAAATCATCCAGCGGAATCCCTTCTTCTTTGGAATACCTTCATTATATGACACCGATTATTTTATTGATACACAAACCTACCATACTGTAATAGTGATTACAGCATGCAAAGATTAAGAGAGAGGATTCAAGAATCTATGAAAATATTATGCCATTAAAATTGAATATACCTCCATGGGTAATCATTTTCACAAAACCGAGATATTCCATTCATGGCCGAGAACGTATCAATGTGAACCTCCCATTTATTGATATCAGCAAGATGGCCTGTCAGAATATTCAAATTCCCATTTTGCAAAATTAACAAATCTCGAAGTCGTGGAGTAGAAGCATTTAAAAGCCAGCAATTCAAAGACTATGGAGTAATGTTTACATTGATAAAAAAAATATATAAATAGTATCAAAGAATACTGTAGCTAACTACCAATACTGCAAATACATGTTTAACTTTTTTGAATCAAACTGTTCATTTTTATCAACAATTTCATAATTTGGAGAACTAATAATATGTACTTACAATAAGCAAGAGCAGCAAGAAAACTGGGCTCAATATTTTTACTCTACTCCTACCAACTAATCTTATACCAACTCAATCCAAACATGCATACACGCACAAGGGCATGTGTGGGTGCAAGTACGCATATGAGAAAGAGAAAGAGAGAGGTTCTCACTCATCTGATGTAAATTTTTCAGTGCACGACCACTGGGATAATTTTCATAGGACGCCAGGAAAGTTACTATAGTGCATCCTAGACTGTAGAATACCAATAAGTTATATGAGGATACCAGTAAGTTATATGGGAGGCAAACAAAATTCGTACCAATATAAAAAATGACTAATTATCCAACCTGATCAATAGTAATCCCAGCATAAAGAAATAGAGCAATTTCCAGAGAGTCTTTTTCCTATTGTTATAGCTGCAACAAGTTGGAAAAACAATTCAGAACATCAGTTGTTGATTAACTGAAAGCTCATAAAGAACCTCACACATCCCATCAGTGGTTTATCAGATTGTATTAAGAGCATGCTTGTAAAACAAAGGAATGAAATAAGTTCCACAAAGAAAGATAAATAAAAGGTAGACGAAACGTACATTCTGTTTGCTGCAACTGCAGCAGATAAGTTAAACATTGGAACTGAACTGATAATAAATCTTAGTTCCTGCACCATCCAAAACTAAGATATATGTTTTTAAAATATGCTTAACCAAGTAAGCTGCTGAAATTCACATTTCAGATGGCATACCTTGTGTGGAAGCTTAGAGTAAAGCAAAAGGAAGGAAAAAACTGGAAGAACATAGAATAGAACCCTCCTGTCAAGGAAGACTCCGAGCTGCAAAAAGACCACGATTAAATCCCAGAACTATCCTTTTTGCATTTTGTTGATCCACCAAATGAATAAGTAATTAAAGGCAAAACGGAGATATATGAATTCCATGGAATGGAAATAGGACAGTTTTATATTCCATTAGTTAATGCCGCCGGCCCTAGAACAAATAATCGAATCACTATCTTGAGGGCAATAAGAGAAGTCACAAACAACTTGTTTGCCCCATCACAAATCATAAAGTATTTCATGAATTGCAAGGCAAAATGCAAATGAAGTCATTCTTGCATTTAAAGTAGCAAGCTTATGATGCAGAGCTATAATAACAAATAACTCATTATGTCAGCTAGTGCCTTTGTATTAGGCTCACCATAAACAAAGGATATGCAGCTAGAAGCGACCGGGGCAGAGCTGAAGTGAAGTACCAATGAAAAGAATGTGTCTTAAAAAGAAAGATGGTTAAGGAATAAAATCGTACCTTAAATAACTAGATAAGAATGCAAACATCAATTGTGAAACCATCCTCCCCCCCCGAAAAGAATGTGGTCCGTTAAAAAGGAAAGATGGTTAAAGGAATCAAAGTGCGTACCTTAAATACGTAGATAAGAATGCGAAACATCAATTGTTTGAAACCATCGCTCACCCCCCCCCCCCCGCCCAAAAAAAAACAGAAAACAAACAAACTAAAACAACAAACAAGAAAGGAGCATGATAAATTATCGTAACAAATTCTAGCCACAGAGGATATACACCCCATTCAGCAACCTTCGATTCAGGACAGAGTTTGAACCCATGACTCTCCCAAATTCGAGGCCCACGTAAACCTTGCCTGTCCACTTATTGAATCAAAAAACCGCAAGATCGTAAGACCTTGTGCTGACGGAGGAATTCATCAAGATATTGGTTAAGAAACTCTGCTGCTTACTCTAGAATTGGACACAACGCATTATGCTAAAAATCGATTAACATAAGCCACAAATATAAAGTTTAAAAAAACCAAGCCTAACGGACGAGCAAGTGCAGATTCCAGCTGCAGTAGTTTAAAATTGCTTCCTGACAAAGAGAAATAGATCTGGTCTGACCAGATGATAAAATTCTTAGTAGACGTGAGGCCCGAAAGATTTATCAAAGACAAGTCCAAAAAAAAAAAAAAAAACAAATAAAACAACAAACAAAAAGAGCATATAATTATCTAAAATTCTAGCCACAGAGGATACACCCCATTCAGAACTTCGATTCAGGACAGAGTTGAACCATAAAACTTCAAATTCAGGCCACGTAAACCTCTTCCACATTATTGAATCAACCAAGATCGTAAGACCTGTGCTGAGGAGGATTCCATCAGATATTGTTAAGAAACTGCTGCTTACTCTAGAATGGACACAACCATTATGTAAAAATGATTAACATAACACAAATATAAATTTAAACCAACCTACGGACAGCAGTGCAATTCCAGTGCAGTATTTAATTGCTTCTGACAAAGAAATAGATCTGGTCTGACAATGATAAAAATTCTTATAACGAGGCAAAGATTTATCAAGACAAGTCACTAAAAACCATCAGAAGATTATAAAGTAGCAACAAGTAGCGGTGATAACATTAGGGTAGAAAATAAATGATAAAGGGACGCTAGTAAATGGGAACATACCAACAAAAGTTCTAAGGCAAGAGGGCACAGAAGTAACAGCATATCACATCTGAAGACAATAGTAGCAAAAATCTGGCCATCAAAAAAGAGAACATTGGCAAAAAATTTCCATGATGCCAATATAAGAAACTTGGATATGCAACTTGTGTTGTTAACCATTGAAACGAGAAAATAATTTGCATTGTTAGGGAATAAATATAAGCACAAATATGCACATAGGTTTTACAAGAGCACCTTTATCAATAATAGGATAAGATAGTTCGTTAGAAAAGAAGTTCAGCATATTTGCATGCATTTATCCAGAAAAAATTAGGAACATTGTCTGCAACGGAGGTTTTTATATCATTAATAAAATCAGCACAAAGGAGCTCAAGGCACCGAGTAGAATTAGCACTTCCAGTTTCATGCATAAATAGCGTTGCAGGCATACCAGACAGTTTAATGCTGCATAAACATTTCCCCTGAACCAATATCCATATGTCAAGAGAACTGCATTGATTAATGGGAAAAAAATAGTTAGTTGCAGCTATTGAAACATATTCTAATACAAAAAATTAGGAAGAACAAGAAGAAGCTAGAGCTCCCCCTAGATGACACCCACTTCTCTTAATTTGATCATAGTTTAGCACAGGTTATGGAAAACCAACCTTTCCATCAAAATAGGTCAAAGATAAACCATACCAAATTCACCATAAACATTTTAAAATAAAATGAATATAAAAAAACTAAAGCAAGAATAATCACCTACACCCAGGGCTAGAATATTGGGAAGAGCGCGTGTACAATAAAACAGCAGGTGAAACTGAATTGCAGTCAATATGACAAAAAAAGCTTCTACTTGATGACCAAATTTTTCTCTAACCTGTTACAACAAATTTGAAGACCTAAAGATAAATAAAAGGAAATGAACAAGGTATGCCAAAAAAAAAAAATTCAAGTACACACCTGAACACGAAAAAACCTTAATGCAGACAAAATGATGCCACCTAATGCCAGTCGAACTACACAGATGATTTTTCAAGTTACAAATTTTAAGCAAAAAGAAGAGAGAAAGAAAGAAACTTGTATTTCAAAAGTCATACAAGTACACAAAACCATCCAAATAACTAACCAGTTATAAGTCCATAAATCTTGGGCAACTTTAGCAAGTTGATAGCTAATACGATTGGGGATGCTAAAATTGACACAAGCAAAGCTCCTAAACGAAACAACAACTAGTAATGAGACACCTTGGAACAAGAGAATCAGAAATGGAACTAAAGTAACACAAGTAAAAGTTTACCAATGAAGGTGCGAGGGACAACTCCAGGGAACTCCAAATGATCATACTGATACACAGAAGAAAATCCGAACTAAAGAATTCAACAATAATCCAATAACAATCCACAAGAATGAATTAAAGTCACTGATAAGTGAACTTACATCGTCCAAGTGATGCCGATGGTAAAGAATATCATGCATTGCCTTTACAAACAGAAAAAAGAAAGAGAGAGAAATATAAAAGCAAAGATAATGGCAAAAGAAATTAGCTTGAGAATTAAAACAAGGAAACACGAGCAAAACTCCAATTGTTTCATTAGTTAAGCGTGAATCAAACCATTACTTTCCGTTTGATAGAGAATTTACAGAAAATTCAAAATCAAAATTAGAATTAGAAAATTGGAGCACCTGAATATTGAAGCTCTCTTCAACCTTGGTGTATGGTACCGAGAAGACATAAAACGCAGCTATTGATGCCAACAACAAGTCATATCCTAAAACAATCATTTCAATTTCCATAGCTTCAGTCCTAAACTGGAAAGGGCAAATATAGTGCTTCTATGTTTTTAAACATATATCTCTTTTTTACCGTATAAACGGAGAATTTGGCCAGATTTTGACGCCATTTCTGAGTAGAGACTCAGAGGGAGGAAGCGACGCTCTTCCACTTCAACGCCAACGCCACAGACAGAGAATGCTTTCTTTGTTGAACTAACATAAACCTGACAGCAGCCCAATAATGATCTCGGAGACAGGCCTACATTGACTTGAGCCGAGCTGTAGTGTAAAAGGTCTGGCCCAAGAGAGAGTTTTTATTGCATATAAAATAAAAAATGTAGTGTGGATTTCAAATCACGGGGCAGTTTAACCGGCGGTAAATTTGTGCCCTTCCCATAGAATAGAAGGCCACAAAGCTCTGCAAACCATTACTTTCTCTCTCCCATTTCCTAGTTCACTTCGACTAGCCGAAGGAACCAACTTTTAGGCTTTGTTGTTTAAAACCTGACAGATAGAGCCACATTTGGTCGACCGTTACAAGTGTTAGATTCTGAAATCTACGTGGCCATCCTCTGATGGCTACTGGACTGTCAGTTCTGTCTTGTACCAACAACAAATGTTCATAATGCATTGCAACTCAGTTTCAGTTCGGACAACGCTCTTCTTCTGATAAATATTTCTATTTTCTCAAAACAAAACCCACTTGAATTATTGTCATTTCCCAGCTAGGCTAATGTCAGTTACCAAATTTTGTTTTTGTACACTACCTGTTTGACAAAATGCTCCAACCAGCAAATGTCATGTCTTAAGCCATGGAAACGAAGAATCCAGATAATGCTCCTGTTAAAAAACAAAAATCCCGTAAAAAATCTGAAGGTGCTTTTGACAGAATCAGTAATCTGCCAGATGCAATCCTTCATCTAATACTCTCGTGTCTACAAACTGTCGATGCCGTAAAGACCAGCGTATTGTCGAAGCGATGGAGGTACTTGTGGACGTCATTGGGTTATCTTGAGTTTGATCACTGTTATTTTTGGTCACGTCATTTGAAATTCTGGTACCAACGTGAGTTCATTGAGAAATTCACCAACTTTGTAACTTGTGTTTTGTCTTTTAGAGATGGGAGTGATATTAAAAGATTCCGTCTTTCCAGTTTTAATTTCTGCAATAAATGGGTCGATAAGTGGATTCATGTTGTAATTAGCCATAATGTTCGTGAGCTTGATTTGTCGTTATGCCCTGAAGGGGCATTCCTGTTGCCTCATAGTGTTGGTTCGTCTAAATATTTGACGGCACTAAAGTTGAAGTTGTTTAACCATGTTCTTGAAATCCCCAAGACAATGGTTTTTCATAAGCTCACCTCTCTGCATCTTGTTTCTTTGAGATTTTTGAATGAGGGTTTGGCTAGGCTACTTTTTTTGGGCTGCCCACTTCTTGAGAATTTGGTTTTGGAGAGGTGCGTGTATGACAATATCAAGGTGCTTGATATTTATGCAACAAAGCTAAAAACTTTAACTATTGAAAATCTTGAGTTGGACGATGCTGGTAGTGATGGTTTACGACAGACTGTACTTAAAATCTTCGCTCCGAACCTCGTATCATTCAGCTACATAGGTCCTGTGGCTCGTGACTATATTTTGCAAGACCCAGTGTGTATAGTTAATGTGTATATACATTTGGTGAAGGGTTTTGAAAAGGGGTCGTTGAAAGGACTTGGTTATCTTATGTGTAAATTAATAGGAGGATTCTATAATGTACAAGTTATGAAACTGTCCATCATTTTCTTGGAGGTATGCGATTTTCATTTTAGTTGTATATACAGTGCGTTAAGGTTCTCTCATTAATCTTCTTATCCTGTCTGCAGCTTCTGTTCTATATACTTAGTGAACCAGTATGTTTCCCCGCTCCATTTTGTAATTTGAAGCACCTCAAAATATATGCTGGTGCTGATAAGCGCCATCTGCAAGTAATCGTTCATTTACTCAAGAACTCGCCAAATCTGAAGGCCCTTCATGTTGATTTTGTGGTATGATTCTTACCTTTTCTTGGATATAACCAAATACAATTATTGCTGTAGTCTTGGCATTGACTTTTTATTTTGTACTTTAAAGTTCTATCTGATATTAAACATTACTCTTGAGTAATTTATGAAGTTATTTACTTGGACTGCCTTTAAATATTGACACTACTCTTCCCAACATAATTTGAGGTGTTCGTGTGAATCAATTTTCTTCAACTATGACTAAAGAATGTGTCTTAAATAAACAGCACTTTTTTAGTTATCATAGAGAATCAAGTTATATAATCTTGTAATCATTAATTTATTATATTATGATTAGTACCGGGGTATATTAACATTATCAATATCGGAGTTTTTCATTTAATTGGCTGGCTTGACTGTTAATCCTATAAGAACTTCTGTCGGACAAAATGTAATCATCAAACCATCTGCATATGCGGATCAAACAACTTGCACAAGCAGCTGCAAGTGGCACTTCAATGCTTGGATCAAATCATTGTATCCCTGATGCTGCAACTTTGAAGAAGTTCACTTCTTTTTGTTTTTTTGTCTTTTTCCCAATGTGGTTTTCCCAGAAATGCACACGCCTTTTGGGTATGTTATCTATGATTCTAGAAATAATTTGTTGGCTGGTGGAACTATAGTATGGTTGCCTGAATTATCAAGATTAATCTGTTTACTTTTACCTCTACAAACTAAAGTTTTGCCCTTTTGCCTGTAGACATCTGGTTGGATTCATTGGAAAGGTAAGTGGCAACCAGAGGATGAGGCTGTTGCATGTTTGGCATATCATCTCCAGACAGTTGAGATTAGCAACTTTGAAGGCCATGATAATGGACTTGAATTTATAAAGTTTTTACTGAAAAATGGACTGGTACTCGAAAAAGTAACTGTTATTTGGTCCATGAAGCCAGAGAAACCAATAGAAATAATAATTAAGGCATTGACAATAATGACATTTCCTAGAGCCTCTCAAACCGTTGAAATAATATTCCTTGAGCCAAAGCCATTAGACTGTTTTGATTAACCTCGTGTGAATCAAGTTTGTAATGAACCAATGATAGAAAACTATATTTATGGTTATTGTTAGTACAGCGGTTATGGAAGTGAAGTTCAGCAATTTCATACAGGCAGCCTTTTTGACTGTTCTTATCCTTGCTGGTTATTGCTTCTAAATATAACAATGTTCTAAACCATTGCATCTGTGCAATTTTTGGAATGTCTAGGGTTTTGGATTTGGGGATGACAGCTGCCCATATATTAATAACAAAAGTTTATTTTTAAGATATAAATATTTTAATTTTCTATTATTTTTTTTATCTTTTATCTTTTTATTATAACATATGAATACGATATTATCATATATAGAGAAATAATGACATGCAACTAATATTATATCCAAGAAATTGTAAAATCAAAGAGAAGGTTTTAACTTGCACTTTTTGCAATCCATTCAATGTTTGGCTCGTCGTGTTTTTTTTTTTTTTTTTTTTTTTTTTTTTTTTTTGCAATCCATTTCAATGTTTGGCCTCGTCTGTGTTTTTTTTTTTATTTTTTTTTTTTTTTTTTTTTTTTTTTCAATCAAATGTTTATTACGAGTTTTCCCTTTTCGGGTTTTTTCAATTAACTCAATAGACATAAAGTTTCCCCTGTTCAACGCGACCAAGTGGCGCCCTGTCCTCTGATTTCGTGACCCCCGAGGTCCAAAACTCAAGCTTTAATTTACTTACTTTTTAGCTGAGCTAATGCTGGCGCCCGAAATTTTCAAACGCAGGTGCTAAAAAATGGCCAATTACCCAAACCGAAAAAAAGATTTACACAGCAACGCTGGTTTTCCATACCTGCTTGCATCCACAACTTCGCTTCCAGCCCTCTCACAGTGGATTAAAAGAAACCTATGCCACAAAAACCCTAAAACTGAACCACCTTTAGCGTGTTCTGAATTTTTCAAACGCCCAAAAACCCATATTAACAGCTATCCCTCGATCTGCAACTATTTCCTTCTCTTTTTTATTTTGCAAAAAGATCTGGAAACAACAATTTACCATCCTTTGTTTTCCACTCTCTTAATCCTTTATTATTGCACGTTTGAAAGACCTACGAGAATCTATATGTACGTATATTAGCATGCGTATGTATACTAAGAAACAGATTGAAACCTTCTTTTTGGCGTTTTTAAGACTCATCAACCGGTATTTTTTTTTTTTTTTTTTTTTTTTTTTTTTTTTTTTTTCAATCAAATGTTTTTACGATTTTCCCTTTCGGGTTTTTTCAATTAATCAAAGACATAAAGTTTCCCCTGTCCACGGACAAGTTGGGCCCTGCTGATTCGTGACCCGAGTCCAAACTCAAGCTTAATTTACTACTTTAGTGAGGTATGCTGGGCCCGAAATTTCAAAGCTGGTGCTAAAAATGGCATTACCCAAACCGAAAAAAGATTTACACAGCAACGTGGTTTTCATCCTGCTTCCACTGTCGCTTCCAGTTCTCTCACAGTGGATTAAAAGAAACCATGTCCACAAAACCCTAAAACTGAACCATTTAGCGTCTGAATTTTCAAACGCCAAAAACCCATATAACAGTATCCTCCGATCTGAATATTCCTCTCTTTTTTATTTGAAAAAGATCTGAAACAACAATTACCATCCTTTGTTTCCACTCTCTTTCCTTATTATTGATCCGTTGAAAGACCTAGAGAATCTATATATATATATATGCATGGTATTATATAAGAAACAGATGAAACCTTCTTTTTGGTTTTAAGACTCATCAACGGTATTATTCACAAAATACAAGAAAAACAAAGAAAAAGAAAAAACCCTAAAACGACAACCATTTTTTCTCATGTATGATCAGCACTCAGCAGGACTACCACATTCAGGTCCGTTTAAATCTGACACTTTTCTTTGGGCATTTACAACTAAGGACAAGGCTTGGTAAATGAACCATCCTCATGACCAAATAGAAAATTGTACCAAAACAAAAGAACAAAAGGAGAAGCTTTGTGGGTTTTTCTATAACTGGTTCTTTTGATATGCATCCTAAAAGGCTGCATTTTTAGTAATCATACTTGGCGGGTCCAGCTGATACTGGTTTTTCTGTGCAAGGAATAAGCATAAAGCTGTTTGGCTTGCGTAATACGTCCATTAGGAGCATGTGCAATGGATAAAGAAAACAGTTTTACTGTCCTCGAAAACCAAAAACTTCTGTAACAATTCACTTGCTAATCTGCGGTACGCACATATTCTTTCTCATCCCATTGAAGTGTTTTCATATAGAACTATAAGACTTGCTTCATAAAATGAATTGGTTTATCTCTAAAAATATGAGAAACAAAAAGCTACTAAAACGATTAAGACAAATATTGTCACAACCTCATACATTATGTTAATTACAATATTAATCGTTTTGTCTTGCCTAATTAAATAATTAATAATTAAAAGTGTCAGAAAGAGGTAAAGCATTCATGTTCAGATGAATTTGAGTCATCACATGGAGAGTGATTGTGTCTACCTTCATAGGTTGTTATCACCATTCGACAATCCTCTGATAATCTTTCAACCCTCTTCTTCACTCGACAATTGCTGTGGGTGCAACGGTAGTAACTCCTGCCAATCGCCCAATAAATAAATCAGAAAACCTTTGACCATTAATTTAATTTTCTATATACATTATATATGTATTGGGAGCGAATTTAATGATAAAATAGTTAAAGGACTTAAATTCAAATTGGTTTTATTTAGGTAGACCATAATCACATCACCTGCAAAAGCTCTAAACTAGAAAGTATCTTTGTTTTAAATACTAAAGCATATTGATACTTATTAAATATGATTTTGTGAAAATCTTCCTATAACTGAAAAATCAGCTATTTATGAAAGAACTAGAATACATTGAAACAGGGATTTAAAACATTAGTGAGAATGGTGGTTGATTGGGAAATTGCTTAAACGTTAATTCCCATGTATTTAATGATTAATTTTAAGTGAAATACTTCAAATCCTGATTTATAAAATACTATATCATAAGAAATAGTTCAAGAGATCAATCTATCACCAACCTGAACGAGGTAGTTCAAGTTCAGGACAATGCATGCCTTGTGAGTTTTAAAGCTATAATTTTCAATTTTCACTAAAAAGAAAAACTATTAGAAACCACTAAAAATAAGATCAATGTTGATATTGGAAATATATTATATTATATTATATTGAAGAACTTGGAAATATATATAAAAAAACAAGTAATTATAGTTCTTGATATATAGAAATTGTGTCTTACCACCTAATATTTGAACAATTTTTGTTCCTTGGATTAAACACTTTAATGTGTTATGTAGATTCCGCAAGAGTTCAATTGAGCACAATGTTTCCTTCTTAGGAGTGTTAGATTTTCTATTGAGTATAATTAACATCAATTGTCATTTGGGGTGTTTACAATTTTCTATTGCCCATAAGATTTTTTTTCCTTCAACAATGTTCACTTTATATATTGTCCAGACTTTAGTTTATAAAACAATAGATTGTAAATTTCCATTTTCTAATATAAGATGTCTCTTTTAAGAGTAGTCCATATCTCCAGGTAATGGTGTTTCTCTTTTCAATGAAACCGATGAAACAGTCCTCCATTGCCAATTTTTCTACTCCTCTGTAACTAACCATTCTCTCTTTTAGCTACTATAGGCTATGTACTCATTGATCAATAAGTTTGTACTGAAGCGTCTAATAACTTATAACACATCCAATAAGGTTTATGCAACAGAAGAAAACTGAGCTTGTTTTGTATTTTAAGTGTCTAATAACTGTTTCTTTCTCTCCTGACACTCCTACCAATGATTAAAAGAAGCCTGAAATGGCTGACACAGTGTACTTCAATATTCTCACCTACTCATTAACAACTTTGAATGAAATTATTATGCACCATTGCTTACAAGAGCTTGTAGATTTTGTCATTATTATTAAGCCGGCATGTAAGCTCGTACTTTGATAGGAAGAATAAGATATTTAAAGAAGATCATTTGGCCTAATTAAATTACGAAACCATTGCATCAAATCTGATCTCCGATGATTTGTTGGCACGCATACATAGATATAAGTAAATAAATTTAAGAGCGAGCATTGCAAATTAAGATTATTGTTATACCTTGGATGAAGGCTATTTTTGACAACTTTCTGGCCATATTTTCTCCACTTGTAACCGTCATCAAGAACATCTACATCGCTTCTTGTTTGAAAACAGAATCTGGGTTCCCTAAGCTTTCTCCTCACTTTCACTTTGTTCTTCTCTGAGGAAGACGAGTTCCTCCACCTACCAAAAATTTCAAATCCTTTTAAGTTTTTTTAGTTTCTGAAGAAAAACGAAAAAGGTAGATCTGTTGATGGACTGGTGGATCTGAGTATCAATGTGTATCAAGACTTTTATGTGTCAAGATACTTACAACCCACGCGAGAAAGAGAGGATATTAGTTGCTGTACGAAAGTACACTGTAGACAAAAGAAGCCATCCCTTCCACATGTGGGTAGATCTCATTCTTTTGAATTTATACCTTGAATATTTTCTTGGATATTGTTTGTTTGTATGCGTGCATGTTTGATACAAAGAGAAAGAGAAAAGAGAGAGTCCCCATAAAAAGTAATCAATGAAGAAGAATACCAAGAATTGTTGCCATCGTTAGCGCCAGAAGCAGTGCAGTTCTCTTCAATTCTAGCCTTTGGATCCAATGTTCCTACCTAATAAAGATTTTCCATAACAAAAATACAAAATATTGACTTAAAATGACTCCATATATAAACAAAGTACCAAGAAAATTAAACTACCCTAACTTCAATCTTTATCAGTATTTTTTGAAAGAATCTAACAAACCTGGTCGTTATGGCTACTAAACCCCATATGGTTATTGGTGGTGGTTGTTGTATTGAGAGGTTGAGATATTTGAGAAGATTGGTGTGAGTTTGAGGGAGCCAAAAAGCTGAAAACTTGGTTTTCTTCAAATGGTACAAATCCCATCTCATGAATTGCTTGTGGTGTGGAAAAAGAGACTTGCAGCTCATAATTTGCAACTTCTCTTTCTCCTCCTTCCATATTTAGATTTAGAATTTCGTTGGTCTTGATGAGCTTGGATGGATCTGTACTTGTTATTATAGGGGCGAGTGCATATCGGCGATTGGGACTGCCGTTGTAGAAAGAAAGAAACTGCGCTTGTGTTGCACGCTGATGATTCCGGCAATAGAGTCTCTGGTCAACAAGTAAACGTCGAATGGAATGTTTCCAGGAAATTATTCTTCCTCATCTCTTCTTAGGATTATAGTCTACACAAAATAAAGGACTTGCACAGTTTCTTTCTCTTTCTCTTAGTCTTACCCACATACACACACGACCACAGGAGCACAGTACTGCCAAATTATTAAGGGAATATTTTGTTTTGTACTAGAAAAAAAAAATATTTTAAATGCCCATAAGTTTTAGAGGGTGATTATATATCAGATAATTTTATTTATTAGCAATTTAAGTTTTATTTATTAATCGATCAAGTCCAAGAAAAAATTAATATATTTTCATTTATTTCTCATATACACCCAACCTAATCCAAGTATACTAAGATAAATCTTAAATGTGAAATTTTCATTTATTTATTGTTTTGTGTGTGAAACAGATGATTAATTATTATAACATGTTTTTCACGTATTCAGGTGTTCTTCCCAGCTTAAATTCGCATTTGCTTGTGTATTGCATTAATTGGAAGTGAAGGTACATTGACCTAGTTAAATGAAACTTTTCGTAGTGGAAGGAATGGGGAAAACACAAAGACAAAATAAGTAAAATATAATTTCGAGATTTGATGGAATATAAAGCTATACAATGAAAAATATTTCAATTATAATTAAAAATATGAATGATTAATCAACTGCAATAACATTACAAAATGTAAAACCCTATTATTATTATTATTATTATGTTAATTTGAAATCACATGTATGTGTTTGTTTTTTGAATGAAAAGATGATGTTTTAGATTAATAAATAGTATTATTGGGTAACAGAATGTGTTTTGCATTAATCCCATCTTAACACGCAAAACATTAAATATCCAAAGATGACGTTTAATTGGGGTTGGAAGGAAAACAGAGATATGGGTGATCCGCTCAAATTGCTTTCCTATGCTCTCTTCTTTCTAGCTAGCTAAAGTATTTAATCAATTGTAATTGGTTGTATATGGGTAATTAACGGCAAAAGCTTGGTATATTAATATACAGTTGGAATTAGGGTTTTGATTATCTATGCATGGGCTACTATTTCCTTCCATAGCCAAGAAGAACATGTGTAAAATTAATGTAGCATTAATTAATCGTCATTATGCAATATTGAAGATGGCATAAAACAATATTAAAGCATCATTAAAATTAATGACAATATTTAAATATATTCCTAAAAATTGAGTTTCACCTTTAATAATTTTCTAATATATAGTGAAATTCAAATTTGAAATCGAAAAAATAAATAAAAAGAAAGAAAAAACTAAAAGCTCCACTTCTAAGTGGTCATTCTTGTTTTGATAGTGGTGGTAGTAATTGGTGAGATAGCAAAGGAAGAAGTTAGTAAATAAAAAGTCTTGGGAAGCAATGAGTGGTGGGGTACTTGTACATAAAAACTTGCATCTAAATATGTCAAAATGTCGATGCAGACAGAAATTGAAAGATAGGAAATGATAGAGGTAGAGAGCCTCTCAAATCCTGCCAAATCGAATTCCAATATATACTTGTGCTATAAATTACAGTGCTTTTCTAGCATTAATTCTAATCGTTCATTATGCCAATATTGACGATGGCATAAAACATATTAAGACATTCATTAAACCATTAATGACAGAGAGTCTAAATATTATTCCTAAAACTTGAGTTCCTCACCTTTAATAACTTTCTAAGTTATAGTGAAATTCAAATATGAAATTCGACAAAAAATAAAAGTAAAGAAAGAAGAACAAAAGCCTAAAAGCTCCACTCTAGCGTGGTCATTCTTGCTTTTGATTAGTGGTCGGCTAGTAAATAATGGTGATGATAGCAAAGGAAGAGAAGTAGTAAATTTAAAAAGTCTTTGGGAAGCAATGAAGTGCTGTGGTCTAGAGGGTACGTTGCCTACCAGTAAACAACTTGCCATTCTAAATATTGTCAAAATGTCGATGCAGACAGGACAAAATTGCAAAGATTAGGAAATTGATAGAGCGTGGCCGGATGCCTAAGAGAGCCTCTCACAATCCTGCCAAATCGAATTCCAGGAAATAAGGTACTATATTATAAGTATGCTATTAGTTATATAAGATAATTATCAAGTTATATAATTATCAGTAATTAATAATTATGATTATCTCTATTTTGTCCTTCTTTTTCTTGGTATAAAATATTTTCCTTTATCTCGTCAATTTCTTACTGTTTCATTGCTATTTGTTTGGTTTGGGTATGGATAATCTCATGTACTCAGGAAATTTTAATCCTATATAAATGTCCAGTCAGAGACCACCCTTTCCCTGCAAAAAGCAACTGGAGAAAATGAAAACTGTGATCGTTGATCTCTTCCTTGGCCTTTCAATCGCTCTCACCTATTATATATAGTCTATTACTTCATTCACAGTGTCTCCTTTCTTCCCTTGAAAAGACCTCCCCAACTTCCCCCACGATACCAACAACAACAACTCTCTGTTATCCCTTCCTAAACTTACACCAGAAAATTAAAAAGAACGTCCATGAAAAAGTTTTAAGCTAATATATATAGCTTCAACTTGTGCGTAATGCATCTTTTTTTACTTGTATTAGGTTATATATTTTAAATGGTTTCTGATCTCTTTCTCTCTTTTTCTCTCATCATTTATAATTCATATCTATATATATCTGCAAGTTCTTGAATGAATAGTTAATGATGGATGCTTACAGATGAAACCAAAAAAGAAAAAAAAAAAAAAAAAAAAAAAAAAACTTGAATGAATAGTTAATTGTATGGATGGCATTACAGCATGAAACCAAAAAAGAAAAAACACAAAAAAATAAAGAAAAAGAAAAAGTTATAGACCTTACTAGAAATAAATATTCAGAAAAGAAAAGCGGGGAAAAACAAGTCCCGTTAACAGGCCACCAATTCATCTTTCTTTTGATGGTTGAACTGATTAAGGATTGGCTTCTGTATTTGGACGGTTTAAGAGCAAGTGCAAATCTCTTTAATCAATGTTTTATAATCTCATGTAGATGATAATAGGCATAAGATGTAAGCAAACAAAAATGAGAACAACAGAAGGGACATATTATAACTTGGTTTCTGCCTGAAATTCAAAAAAGCAGTCTTCATCCCAATCAGCAAAATGGTATATATCTTGCGGAAATAAACTGTCTTGAGTAGGCAAAGCCCTAACATGTACTATCTATAGAGAATAGTCTTATTTGCTTGTAAAACCTGTTTTGAGCCGGACAAGGGCGCACAAAATGGGTTACATAAGTTTTTGAACCTTTTATTGTCAAAAAAAAAAAAAAAAAAGAAAAAGAAAAAGTTTAGACCTTACTAGAAATAAATATTCAGAAAAGAAAGGGGGAAAAACAAGTCCTTTAACAGGCACCATTCATTTTCTGATGTTGAATGATAAGATTGGTTCTTTATTTGGACGGTTAAAGCAATTGCAAATCTTTTAATATGTTTTATAATCTCATGTAATGATAATAGGATAAGATGCTAAGAAACAAAAATGAAACAACAGAAGGGACATATATAATTTTTCTGCCTGAAATTCAAAAAGATTTCTCACCCAAGTCAGCAAATGTATATATCTGCGGAAATAACTGTTTGAGTAGGAAAGCTACATGTATATCTATAGAAATAGCTTATTGTTGTAAACCTGTTGAGCCGACAAGGGGAAAAATGGGTACATAAGTTTGAACCTTATTATTGTCATTGTCAATATATATCATCATTGATTCATTTTAAGAAAAATCGAATGGAATCAGCGTCAAATGTAACCTAGCTCCAATGGGAATGTGCATATTCTCAATATCAATTACTGTCTTCAAGATTTCTGTACTTGCGGTTGCAGTAGATTAATTCAAGTCAAAAAAAAAAAAAAAAAACGTTATTCCCCTTCTTTGTATCAGGAATTCTTAACTATACTAACTACCAACCGTACCCAGAAACTTGGAAATTTTTCAAAGTTTCAAGCCACTTAGTCTAGTTCATGCTAGTTACCAACTGTTGAATTTTCACAAATTAATAGTTAAGACCTTCTATATAACTTTCTAAGCCACAAAGTGCAATTAATGCTAATTAGGGGACGTAATATTCCAATTCACTAATGCCCTAGATATGTAACAAGAGTTTGCTGATAATGTAGCGATTGATACGAATCCAGACATACAGAGAGGTGAAAAGAAACACAAATGGGTGACAAGTTTGAGTGACTGCTTCTGTACCCAATAATAATTGCAAAACGTGTCAGCTCAACCATTGGATATGACTTGCACCGTCTTTCTAGATGTAGGAAAATACTTCCCACGTCCCGATCTTTTGTAACCTCCCAATCTTGAGAAAGCAAACTCTTAATATTCTAGACAAAGAAGCAAAACTTGCCACCACAGTATCTCATAGATTTGAAATTTGCATATTTTGATGGCAAGGGATTTATACCATTTTAATTATTAATTATTTATATTATCGATTTCAAGTTGGGAATGCAAATCAATATATAATACATACTATAACTATTCCCACTACGGCCTGCAATTTGTTGAGATTGAAAATAGTCTCACGAGAGCCTTTGAAAGTGTATAGAAGAATAATATAATTTTGAAGCACAAAGAGAGAGGGAAGGGCGTGGGTGTGGGGGACTATATAGCTAATTATCTAAAATACCGACTGCTTGCTTACCTACGGATCCGACATTTTCATCATTTCTAAATTTTAAGTTCAAAAGCGTAATAATTAATAATAATAATAATAATAATAAAAAAGATTATAACTTTGAAGCAATAAGAGAGAGAGAGAGAGAGAGAAGCCAAAACCCAAAGGCAGTATGTGCTGAATTCCATGCAATAATGATGACATCTTAAATCTTCCAAATTTCATGATGGTAGAGTGAGGCATCAGATATTTGGTGGATCCCACTTTGTCTCTTAAAACCTTTGTCCAGTTCTACTTATAAAAATTTTATTTCCTTCCAGACTTTGTTCTTGCAGGTAAGCCTTCACAATCCTCAACTACTTTTACCCACATATCCCATTTCAGATTTTCAGTTTCTAGTAAGTTTATGATCATTAATTAGTACTTAATCACAAGTTAATAATGTATGTACATAGAATAATTAAGAGCTCTTCAATCATCAACATCCATCTTTCTATTCTATAAATCACTACCAGTAATGATAATAGTTCATAATTAATCATGTGGGTCGAAAATCGAAATATGCTTCTCCATACTTAGTATTAGACATGCAAGCTGCCGGCTTTTCACAAATTTTTAAGATTAAAGTTATGGTTGGTTGAAGACTTATTTGAAATTTTTTTAAACTATTTAAATTCCACACCCCAAGTTAAAGTTTTTTTTCCTTTTCTTTTTTAGAATGAGATTATGATTTATCCATATTGGTTAACATAAACTAAATTCATCAAATTGTTAAAGTCTATATATGTTATATCAAATTCAGATCTCACAATTTTAAGGTTTTTGCTATCAAAATACTTTTTTTTTTTTTCCTTTCAAGCAATGTTCCTGCTTGTGTCAATGGCAATATTCAGAAAACTTTAAATATTTTTAGTAATGATAACTTTAAGTTTCGAATTTCTAATTTTACAAGTAAAATTTATGCGAAAAGTATAAAGAATTTAAATTCACCATCCAATAAAATCAAATATTTTTTTTTTCTTCTGAATTTAAGAAATGAGAACTGAAACCAGACAAGACCACCTAAATTCAGTGCAAAATATTGGATTTAGTGTTCTATTGGGCCGGGTAAAGGACGACCAGAGCCCAACTCACAATGAGGTCATAAGCCCAAATGAATTGAGGCCTGTAACCAAATGGTCCACAACCATTTAATCACAGATGTCTAATATGGGCTTTATCGAGTGAGAATATTAAAACGGGCTGCCTGATAAAAACGCAATTAAAGAATTTCCTTTGGAATATTCTTCGGAATTAGGGTTTCTTTGTACATATAAAATCTCACTGTCTCACGCTCAATCTCTCCGTAGCTGACCTCTGGATACTAGCACTCCGAACTCAAAGCTAAAAGCACAAAGTTGAAATGGAGCAAACCTTCATCATGATCAAGCCCGATGGGGTCCAGAGAGGTCTTGTAAGTTCGCATGCAGCACCTTTCTTTCTCTTTAAGTTTTATTATCAGTCAGCTGTTTAGCCTTTCAATTTTTCCTACCAAGTTTTTATCTTTATATGATATACGCACACACAAAGCTGAATATGTGTTTGGGCAAGCAAGTTCACAGACCAACTTTTCAATCAATCTGATCATGGAAATCTTACTTCAAATAATGCTTAGGAAGATCATAGAAACCAGATAAAGCACTTGATTCTTTTTATTCACTTCTATTACCCTGTAAAAAAATATATATATATCGGCACATCTGTTTTTGTTATCTGAGTTGATCACTGGTCGGAGCCATCGAGGTCAATATACTGAAAGATTTTGTTTTGGTTTCAGGTTGGTGAAATCATCGGAAGATTTGAGAAAAAGGGTTTCTCCCTCAAAGGTAATTAACTTTTTCCTTCACCAAATAGTTTGTTCTGCTATGTCTATGTACTGTGTTGCTATTTTTTCTTAGCGTAATTGAGTTATTAGTTTGTTTGATTTGGTACTTTGTACCAAAAGAGATAAAATCTGTTTTTAATCTTATTTTAATTTAGGTTTGAAGCTAATTACTGTGGACCGCTCTTTTGCTGAGAGACACTATGCCGACCTTTCTGCAAAACCATTTTTCAATGGGCTTGTTGAGTACATTATCTCTGGTCCTGTTGTTGCTATGGTTTGGGAGGGAAAGAACGTTGTAACCACTGGCCGAAAGATTATTGGAGCTACTAACCCTGCTGAATCAGCTCCTGGAACTATCCGTGGAGACTATGCAATTGACATTGGAAGGTAATCTGTTTTTTCTTGTCTGCTGTTACTTCATTAACTAGACATCTGATTTGTTTCTCATGACATTAATGTGGTTCCTGTTTCTGGTTGGGAATTAAAGTTACGAGCAAAATAATCCATGAGTGGGATCACATCTTCTCAAAATAAAGATTTTGACTTTTATTATTAGGTTTTCTTGTGAGCCTGGTTTCAGGGATTGTTCTGTTGTGAATTTTTCAATGGGTATATTGTGCAAGTCTTGATTGGTTCTATATTTTGATCTGTTGGAATTTATGAATTCAGATACCCTAATGTTGTACTTTCAAATGCAAAATTTTATGGGTGAAAAATTTTGGTAGTATGAACTATTACTATTAGAATTGATTTCAAGGTCATGGTGTTTAACTTAGATTCTTCCATATTTGGCCTTTGAATGGACTAAAATAAAATTTAGTTAACACAATTGATTATAGAGTCTATAAATTATTTTTCATGCTATTTTTTGGACCAACAGAGTCTCTGATTAGAGAAATTACTTGCTTTTTGCAGGAATGTCATTCATGGAAGCGACTCAGTCGAGAGTGGTAGGAAGGAAATTGCCCTTTGGTTCCCTGAAGGACCTGTTAGCTGGGAAAGCAGCCTTCACCCCTGGATTTATGAATAGACTTTTGGGGGTAGAGCTATTGTTTGCAGCCAGTCATTGCACCTGTCTAATTTTTAATGTCTGCTTGTTTGTGAAATTAGTGAGTTTTGACTTTCCATATTTATAACTAGCAACAGCGTCCCTCTTGTTTAGGGATCTGAGATACCAATTTGGGATAATTATTGTGCATTATGCTCGGCTTTGCATATCGAGCTTGGTTCGGTTTGAACCGATTTGAACCAATTTATATAATATTTCGTCGTTCGAATTGGAATTGCGTGCCTGTCAAATTCGTCTGATCATGGTAATTGTTCTTGTAATGCTATCTGCTCAAGCAATCGGTTAAATGATATATGATTAGTAAAAGGTGGTAAAAAAGGGGCGAGGAAAATGAGGTTAAAAATGTGCAATGGCGAAATTCATTGTCACTCTTAACTACCATTTTATTCTTAGGAGTATTGTTCTCTTTTAAGTTATGATAGCAGGTCCGTTTGAAGTTGTGAGAGGGATCATAGTAGTGGGTAATCAGTAACTTTATGGGTCCATAGGCACAGCCATGAATTAAGTCTAGGCAAATCAATCTCTCAACTCCGTGCTTCCATCGTGTTTTTGGAACTTAGCGTCAGAACTGAGAAGACATGTTTGGTTACACTGGCCAGTTAAAGTTCATACTTGGAAGAATTCAAGTTAAAGAATTATCAACTAGATTGATGGTTATAAGGAGGAGATTTCGTTTCATTCTGGACTGATAGACAGGCCTTGAGGATTCAATCAAGGTGCTCAGACCAATTCCATTGGAGTAATCGTGATGTATGAGTGCGTCTTGCGGGGGGAAATAGAAAATTTCTGCAATAATAAATACCATTGCATGCCTGATGGTCAAAGCCAAGCTAATAACACTGAGCTGCCAAAATCTAGCAAAGCTCATTAGTTCCACAAAAAACAGGCTCATAAAAAGGGGGTGAGAAACACTCAATAGGAAATCTGGACCTGAATTCCAGTCGACTTTCTTACAATTGGAAATAAACAATCCAATCTAGCTACCGTGATCTACAGGATCATTTTAAGTCACTGCAGTCTTGGTCTTCCACACAATGCGATAATTGAGCTGCTGTATTTGGATCCTAAATGCATTCACGCTTATAACAATGGTTTCTCCTTGCAAACTCGGAGACCTTTCCTCTTTCCAGTACAAGAAACTCAAACCGCCCACTTCTATGACTGAATAGGACTTTGCAAGTGAAGTTATAAAGAGAGGCACAAACCATCTAACCACAAGATATAAGAGGAGTTGGCAGAACCTAAAAAAGAAGAAGAAAATGTGCCTCCTGTTGGCACAAAACCTGATGTTACAACAGTTAATTCTCCAGCTGCTATCCTATCGTGTAAGAAGACTGTAAGAGGGCAAGTCTTCTAGCCGTGTTATGTCCTCAAGCAGAAGCTCCCTTTCAAGCTGACGGCGTGTGGACTTCATAACCGTCTGGACAAACATATCAAAGATGATAAATAGTAAAAATATAAGCATTTTGCAATTGTTCATGAAACTAAACCAATTTTCTTCTGAGTTCAAAAAACCATCACACCATGCACTAAAAACCCTCACAGTTAAAATTAATTTGCCCTTTCTTTTGTGAGTCCATGGATCAATCACAGATTCATGATACACAAAGAGAAAGGACAATTCACGCAAAACTTCACTTATTTCTACAAGAAACCTTATGAAAAGAGACATACGTTGAAGTCCATATATGATGCATGCATGGTAAGCCATTGGTGATCCATCATCTTGAATGTGATGCAGTAAAGAAGGTCAAATGCTGATTCATTCTCTGTCAAGGCAAAACAGATATACTTAAATTAAAGAAAACCTTGAAACAGATGATTTCAATGTAATTAAATGAACTCAAAATTTCTACTTGTTGCATAAAAGAAAAATATATCCAGAAAGAACAAGAAAGATTTTCCTCTTTTTTCTTTTTCATGTTCAGTATGAAGTTTTGATAACCACCAGGTGCTCAATAATACCTGATAGGAACTTCAAGAAAATTGCCCCCACCATTGTTCTCGGCTTGACTGTAGAATTGAGGCACACAGTTTATTAACCACAAAAATCAAGTTTCAGTCATGAATGATAAGAAATGTCATTAAGCTTTGTAGAACCAAAACATAGTATTTCCAAAAATCTCAGCCTAACTGTTTATGGCTTGACTGCAACCTTTTTTAAAAAATTTTTTTGATGCACTGGAAATTTCAAAAAATAGAGGGATGCGGGAGATTAAGACCTTGACTAGTACATGGCAAATACTTAACTCTTTAGGTTACTGACCCAATGGATGCATGATAGCTATTAAAGAATGAAATCAAACTTAATAGAGTTCAAATTTTTTCAAGAAGTCTAACACGAAAAATCCTAAAACAAACCATTATAAACCAGTATCAAGAAATTGAGAAGCCTCCATGAAAAATCTGGAGAGCAAAATACCACAAATGATATGCAAACAATTTCTTCAGGACATCCTGATGTTTTCTATCTTCTAAAGGATCCAATTGCAACAATTAAAGTCAAAGATGTAAAAAGAAAATTAGCTGCCATGGAACATATGACAGGGAACACTGATTTGAACAGGCATTAGTGCCGTCAAGATTGTGTTCTGGATATAACTAAAATTAAAGAGCTTCTGTTGTTTTAAGAAATAACCTGCTTCAAGATCAAGCATCTGAATGAGCATGAATGTGATGTTCACACCAGCTACAGCAAATGGGTATTCCCACACTGATCGGTCACCTTCTCGCTTTTGAAGAAGGTCCTGGAATGATTTCTGCATTGGAAGGTCAAGCAACTGAAAATTTATTCAACTTCAAAATGAAAATATTTCACAGGATGGGAACTGTTGCAAACCAAAAGCAAAATAGTGACAAAAAGAAAGGCATTTTATTAGCATATATCTCAAACAAGCATAGGAAAATTGGAAATAAGGAAATTATGGTGTACATTAATACATGCCAGCATTGTTGCATATATCAGAAAAACAGATCTGCTGCATAACTGACTCAATGTGTGGGGTCACAGTCCATGCAATCAAGTCAACATTACCTGAACTATTCAAGGGAGGCCACGCAAAAGAAAGCAAAAACAGAAAGGAACTGCTTGAACTTTATAGAGTACCGCCAATTGGTACCATATTATATTTATGCTCACACAGTATCAAACATGCAATTTGGAAAGCTTATCCAGGATCTCAAAGCATATAAGGAAGACAGGTACTTGGAGAGAGAGCAAGCTAATGAAAGGCATGAAAACAATGCGCACCGGGAAATTTCTAGCAAAGAACAGCAAGTTCTCCAATGATATAAAACCACCACCCCTGAAAGATAAATCAACACCATTAAATGTAACAAAGAAATAACAGAGGAATGAAAATGGAAGCAATAATGGAATCAACAAAGTTCTGCTGGTTCACCTAAAATCTGTTGATGGGTCCTTTCCTTGCCAACCCATTTCCTTCCACTGCTCAGATATCAAACCACGAAGTTCTTCTTCAGGAAATGCAGCATTCCATAGAGCCCTCAAAGCTTCCTAGAGTAAATGTAGCAATAGTACAGGATGGTAAAATCAGGGAGCCTTCACATTACAAAAACGGTGATCTAATTATATGTATGTTTGAGAACCTTGTAAAATAAGACAAATCTCGCAAACATGCATTTTTTTTGTTACATTAATACTGTTTGGAATCAGTTTCGATAAATTACTTATAACTGTAACAGAAGTTGTACCTGATGCTCAGGGATTGAACTATCATATGCAACATCTATACGACTTTGTAACCTCTGCAAGCATTCTTCCTGACAACACAAAGAAGAAAAAGAAACAAAAATTTAATTGGCATGATTTATACAATCACTGGTTATAAAGAAAGAACCCAGAACCAAAGAAAGATAGTAATCTAAAGATAGAGGACTGCAGCAATGAATAATTCTCATGCAATGTTAATGGGACAAGAAGTTTTAACTAAAATCAGAAGACACACGAAAAATAATAACAATGTTTACTTGAAAAAAAAAAAAAAAAAAAAAAAAAAAACGTATTTATGCGCACACAAGCTATCAAACGATCGCAATTTGGGAAAGCTTATCCAGATCTCACAATGCATGATAAGCGAACACAAGGTACTTGAGAGAGAGAGCAAGCTACATGAAAGGCATGAAAACAATGGGCACCTGGGGACAGACAACTTTCTAGCCAAAGAACAGCAAGTTCGGATCCTCTATGATATAAAACCCACCCACCCCTGACTAAGATAAATATTCAACACCATTAAAGTGCTAACAAGATTAAATAACAGTAAGGCATATGACGAAAATCGAGAAGCACGATAATGGAATCCACACACAGAGCTTCTGACTGGTCACCTAACAAACCATCTGTTTGATGGGTCCCTTTCCTTTGCCCCAATCCCATTTCCTTCCACCCTCGCTCAGGATAATCGAACGAACCGACGGAAGGTTCTTAATTCTCAGGAATGTCAGTATTCCAGGTAGGAGCCCTCCTAACCAAGGAGCTTGGCCTAGAGACTAAGATGCTAGCAGATAGTACAGCGATGGTAAAATCAGGGAGCCGTGTCAAACAATTTACAAAAAACGCGCGTTGCAGTCTGAAAAGAGTTATATGTATGTTTGAGAAGCCTTGTAAGAATAAGACAAAGTCTCGCGAAACAGTGGCATTTTTTTTGGTACATTAACTTGTTCTGGAATCAAAGGTTTCGATAACATTACTTATAGAACCCTCGTTAACAGAAGTGCTGTACCTGCCATGCGTCTAGGGCAGGGCCTCAGCGGACGTGAACTCTACAAGGTCACATTCTAACGACTTTGTAACCCTCGCAGTAATCATTCTTCCTGCGAACGACGCAATCAGAAGAAAAGAACAAAAGTTAAATTTGGCATGATGGTATACAATCAGGGCTGCGTTGATAAGAAAGAACGCGCAGAACTCACTGAAGTAAAAGATCTCAGTAATCTAAAGTAGAGGCGACTCGACAGCGACCGGGATCGAAGTAGATTCTCATGCGAGGATGTCTAATGGACAAGCAAGTTTTTAACTAAAATCAGCAAGACAACTACGCAAACGAATCCAATAAACAATGCTGTTACTGTGAAAAAGAAAGAACAAAAAAAAAAAAAAAAAAAAAAACCAAAATGGATTACAGTTTGTAATAAAAATAGCCTGCCTGATTTTGGGTATATTGGAATGGTTAATAAGATTCAGGTTGGAATCAAGATAGTTTCTAGAGAAATAACTTATGTCTGCGGGCGATCTGCCGCAATGAAAGTTGTTCGACGACAGAAAAAAAAAAAAAAAAAAAAAAAAAAAAACCAAATGATACAGTTTTTAATAAATAGTGCTGATTTGGTATATTGAATTATAGATTCAGGTGGAATCAAGAGTTTTAGAAATAATTATTCTGGGGGATCTCCCAATGAAGTTCTTCATCTGCAGCATAGAGACTCAAAAGGAAAGAAAAATAGCTGCAAATTAATCCTATCATATAAATGGCACCTGGGCAGGGGTTAAATCAAATGAAGGACGAGCATCATTCTCTCTTCTTTGTGCGCACACACAAGAAAGACCGCGACCAAGCCACGCTGCTGATCCTGCCACAACTTCAGCTGCAACAAAATGGAACCATCTGCTAATGAAAACAAAGTTTCTAAATGGTAGTTATACTGAAACAAGAAAGACCATTTCCATTATTAATTGTTGAATCAATTTTTATTAATCCCTCGATGCAAGAAGAAATATGACAATAGAGAGCATGCTTCACACTCAACTTTCATGCACAAATTCCTTCAGAATTCTATATAAAGGAAAGCAAACTTCACAGGTGATCATCAGATCAAAGCAGAACAAATAAATATTCAATAATATTTCTTCACAGCCACATTCATAAGAAGTGCGAAAGAGTATTATATAAGTAACCACAGAAGGTTAACAAAAACGACTCAAGGAAAAATGTGAGAGCAATGAGATGTCAGCTTGAGCATTCTTCAGTTTCACAATCACGATAAAATGGAGTAAGCGGAAGTTAAAAGCTTACACTGATTAACCCGATTAAAAGTGTACGCAAAATAAGACATCCATCCAGATTCCAGACACTTTCAGAAAAGAACACAAGGATAAAAAAAAAGAAAAAAAAGAAAAAAAGAATCGAATGGTAGACATCCATACTTGCAACATGCTCACCTACCAAAACATTGTTGTATATCAGCAAACATGAAGCTAGCCTGGATTTCGATTTTATTGAAACCTCATCATACATATAGTGACCTCAATTCACTTAATCGAAATTCAAAAAGGAAGAAAATAAAATAATTCGCTGTTCAGGGACAGAGGAATGCTAGTTTTTGACAGGGCAAAATGGACATTACTAGAAGATGTTGGAGATAGAAATAGAAAGAGGAATTCAATACAGTACCAGACGTTGAATGGCAGGTGCTGCTGCCTCGTTCGAGACCTTGAGATATCCTCCTGACAGCGACAAATGAGCCGCCTCTGTCATCCATTTTGCCCTCTTCCCTCTCTCTATCTGTCTCGACAATTCTCTATATCCACTTTATCATTTCATAGACCCTAAAAAATTCCTCCTCCAAAATCCACACGGCTGAAAAGGAAACCTTATCAGAATCCAATAAGCAAAAAAAAAATCAAATGCATTTAAATTTCACCGAAAGTTAATCTGACCTAAATAATATCGAAGCCCACCGGGAATTCGTTCTCCAAAATCCGAGAATCCAAAGGGCCAAATCACTACTAAACCCGAAAATGCCGACCCAATCAGTACTAAATCTGGATCGGAGACGGCAAGAAATTTGAGACTCAAAAATACAACAGAACAGAGAATGGACGATCCTCGTTCGTTCTGTTTAGCCAAACGAAAGTGAACTAAATGCCTCAAGAGAACAACAAAAAGCAAAAAGGAGCTCCGGATACTGCCGAAGCCGGTTTAAGAATGAGTAAATATCTTGCAAAAAATGGTGGAGAAGGAGAAAAACAAAAGCATTAATTTGGAGATCTAAAACAATGAGGCCATTGAAGTTACAGAAAGAAGAGTCCTCGTCTCACAGTTTCCCTGGATTTTTCATTTTGGAGGCTAGTTAGCGAAGAGGCCGATATTTCTCACTTCGCAGAGAGAATATAGAGGAGAAGAAAAGAATCTAGAATTAATGGGGATTTTAAAGCTTTTTAATTAGGTAATATTTTTTTTTTTTTATCATCATATTGACTTTGGTTGTTCGTTGTGGGTAACGCCGATGTGGGTGGCCAAAGCAAAAGCAAGGTAACGGTTTTGGTAATCCACGTTTGCTGGAAATGTGCTCTGAGCGGGAATGAAATCTTAGCGGCAACAGCCGCATGAGAGTCAACCGTTAGGCGTTAGGATAATTTTGTAATTTGATAGCAGAAAATATATTTTTTTATTTTAATAATGAAGGGGAAAAATATATTAAGCCACTTCTTTTTTAATTTTCTTTGATTCATTTATTTGATGTGATCATGCCTAAATCTAAATAAATTTACTTCTCAAAAAAAATATAAATAAATTTATATTCTCATTTAATATTAATTTACTGATGTTGGTTAGTTTAATTTTCAATTCTTCACCTAGGCCGGCCTATTTGATTAATAGATTTAATTATAAATATGAATCAAAATTACAAAAAATTAATAACTGTTAAAATAGTTAATAATTATTAAAAAAATTAATTTAATTTTACCGAATAAATCTAGATATAATAAAAAAACAAAATTGCATAATAATTTGTCAAAAGTGTGTCATTAATTGGGTTCAATAAAAAAGGGAAATGAAATTTGAGATAACGAAATTGCCCTTCTGAAAAAGAGAAAAAGGTCACATGGGATGTTAGCAAACGTGGACCAAGGGCATGATGGATATAGTTAAGTTAAGAGAGGTCCCACAACAACATCATGTGTACTTGCTCACTCGTGATAATACCTCCAAATTAGGGTCATGGTCCACACGCAACGCATGGGTCTTTTTCTTTTCAACAAAAAAAAAAAAAAAAAAAAAAAAAAAAAAAAAAAAAGGTCATGGTCCACCCACGCAACGCATGGGTCTTTTCTTTTCAACCGAGAAAAAAAAGTAAAAAAAAAAAAAAAAAAAAACAAAAAAGACGAACAAGCCTTAAGCAACCTTACGAGGTTAAAACTTTACGTTTGCCGCTATTTGAGAATTTGGTAGTGTAATAATTTATAATAGCTAGCCTGCTTTGCTTACTTTATTACACTGGGCTTAGCTAAATAAAATCCTAACTCTAAATTAACTCAAATCTTCTCCTAACGCGGAAAAAATTTTCTATGCCTTTTCATTAATATACAAGGAACCGCATCAGCTATGAAACTAGCTGTCTCGTATCTTCCAAATCCTTCCAAAATCCAGCGGATTTTACGAAACAAGCCCTCACTCTGCTAACTATACGCATAGTGAGAGCAAACCAACTAATTTGTACAAATTAATTTACTATTCTCTTCATTAAAAAAAAAAAAAAAAAAAAAAAAAAAAAAAAAAAAACGAAAGCTTAAGCCTTACGAGGTAAACTTTACGTGGCAGTGAATTTTGGTGAGTGTTTTTTATAAAGCTAGCCTGCTTTTGCTACTTTATTACACGTGGTTAGTAATAATCCTAATCAATTAACTCCAAATCTTCCCTAACGAAAAAAATTTTCTTGCCTTTTCATTTATACAAGGAACCGCCGTAGAAACAGCTGCTCTATCTTCAAATCTTCAAAATCAGCGGTAGAAACAGCTACTCTGTAACTATCGCATGAGAGCACACTCATTGACAAATTTCTACTATCTATATATATATATATACTATTGTTTTTTTGTTGTTGATGGCTTGAATTTTTCTACTTTTCCAAATAAGAGAGGTAATTTTGAATTTTATTTTTATTATTTTTTGTATTTTTCACCGTGAGTTTTAATATTTAATTATTAAAATAGTTTAATGTATAATGACGCAAGCATGCGAGACATTGTTAGGTAAATGGTGGTGAATGATTTTCCTTCCAACAAAGCATATGACACAGTGATGGAGATTTTGTTGGACAGTATCAGTGGTTACCAACTTTATGGTCGCCATGACTCACCCAATACACAAAGAAAAAAAAGAATCTATTGAACTTGACATATCCAATTCAAATCCTTTTTTGGTAATATATATTAATCATCAATACAGAAATAATCATTTTCATAAAATTAAGAGTGCAAAATTCCGAATAAGCCTGGATGATTAATTATGATTTTAACTTACTAACTAATACTTGCTTTGATACGGTTGAATTTGGAATAAAAAAAATATTCCAGTTACCTATGTTTTAAGCATTTTGGACGTTCTTTAATTAGTTGTTTTCAGACTATTAAATAAAAGATTAAAGGAATTGGATCTCGTTACGTGATTAAAAAACTATTCATTGATTGTTTAATTAGGGTTTGGTAATAATGGAGAATACAGAGAAATTCCACGACTTGGAACTTTAAAAAATAAAATAATAATTGTTGGGCTACATTTATCGAACCAGGTGGAACACTGTCCAAAGCAAGCTCGTGATTTAGTCAAGATTGAGATGTTATGTCTCGCAATAAAATTAATAAAAACTTTATGTAATGAATGCCAGAAAACGAAGTCTAACCCTGAAATTTACGCTTTCAAATTTTCCAAGGAGATTGAGAGCCACCTTTTCCATATCCGACCTTCATTTCCATTGCTTGGGTTGGGACCCTTCACGCTAGCCCTTACCGAAAGGAAAAAACACCATGTTTGGGTGAAGTGAAGGGGGCCTCCCTTTCTTAATGACCTAACATTACAACATCTTTTTAGCCTTGAAAATAAAATAAAGAAAAGCTCAGTATGTCACCACCCCCTACGTGTCATTAGCCAATGCTTCAGGACTCACGTGGGCCAGATTGTAGTGCAACCCATTCGTCTAGGGGCCCATGATTAAGTCCAATCAGTATAGAATTGGAGAAGAGAAAGTAATGGCCACAGCGTTAATTAGGTCACTGAGGTCAACCGAGTCCTAACAAATTAGTTAATTATTTAGTACTGTTATATGTGGTGTGTTGTGGATGTCGATTGTCATTTCCTTTTCTAGGCTTCTTCTGCCTGGCTCAAGCAAACATGCACGTGACATGACACTAATAATTGATAAAGCAAACCTTAAAAACTCCTTCTCTTTTTAGTATTTGAATGCGATGTTAAATAAATGAAACCCCCAATTAGTTAAATAGAGCGTTTTTTTTAAAAAAAAGATAAGAAATTAACCCAATCAGTCTCTGTATCAGTAGTCCAAATTTCTGAAAACTATTTTTTAAGGCCCACGTAGTATTTTGGGCTTAACCGTCGTAATTTTCAGCCCATATGTATAGTTTAGGGCCTCAACTCTGCAACCACACTCACTTTGTCTCTCTAGAATCTGTATTCTGTTATCTGAAACCGAAAATATTGTCAGTTTTATTGAACTTTGAAGAAGAAGAAGAAGATGCAGTCATGTGGCCCTTGTCTCCACCTCTGCAAGACATCTTTCACCGCCAGTCATCAACTCGGATTTCACCACACCCTCAAAACCACCTCTTCCATACAAAATCTTTCACTAGCCTCTAATTTCCGAAAACTGAACTCTAAAAGACTCACAATCCAATGCCAGAGTAAACCCCACAACAGCCGTAGAGATGGAGTGAAAGTGAAGGGGAACCAGGAAAATATCTGGAGTATTGATAATGATATGGCCAGAGCAGCTGCGGAGAAAGAAAAGGGGAGAACGAAGCAAAGGAAGAGAAGAGGGAGGAGAGTGGTTAGAGGGAAGCGGAACAAAGGCGGTAGAATCATGGTCTCCGGTGCTATGCTTATGGAGGTTGAGACTGTCCTTCAAACTCAGGTATGCCCAATTTTATTTTATTTTATTTTATTTTCTGGATATGAAATTTTATTTATTATCGGCTCGGTTTGCATTTGAAAGAGGAAAAGACGAGCTTTCAATGAGAAAATGCTTTGCTTTATAATTCTCATTGCTGGATGTCCAATGTGATTTCTTCAATTCTAAAAGGTAATTATTATATCTAAATTGATGATAGAACTCGTCGTTTTATTTCAGGAACCTGTAATAAGACCAGCATGGAATACATTTGCAAGTAGTGTGAGTGGGATATGGAAGGGAGTGGGAGCAGTATTTTCACCCATCACAGCCGAAATGGAACCCATTGAAGTCGGAAGTAGGAATGAAAATTTATATGACTGCTATACTCTTTCTTGCATTGAGACAGTGCCGTCGCCATCTAAAGGACAGAGATCACAAATTAAAAGGAAGATCAATTGGGTGACTTTAAATCCTTATGGTGAAGTACAACATCACGTTGGAGGAGGTGGTAATGCATCATTACCTGCGAACCAAAATCATGTTTTGCCTGATTTTGAATCTTTTGACGTTGAAAGAAGTGATTTACTGGAAGAAGATATCATGGGTAATGAACCAGGTCTTGTTTTCTTTGAGGTATGATCTACCTAAACTGAGTTCAACCAGTGTCGAACAGTGGACAGAAATGACAACATTGTAGCATGGATGCATAAATTTTATTTTGGGGATCTAGAGCTGTCAGTTTGTGTAGCTTTTAACTCAATCATATTAGAGTTTGCTTATTCGTTAAGTCATGTTTAGCATGAAAGGAAGAGTTGCTTTAAACAATCTATTGATTCTTGTTTCAGCCATTGGTTGTTTCAATGGTAACTGCTTTCAGATATATACTACTAATACACGTGAATCTTACTAGATCTTTTCTGATCAACGAGTTCAATTACATACTAATCTAGTTACTGGATTGGCAGGATGGATCATATTCTAGGGGTCCAGTTGATATTCCAGTTGGTAATGTTGATGAATCCGAATATTATCTGACACCAACATTTAAATTTGAGCAAGTAAGTTCGGCCTGATATCGTAGTGTTATAAAGCTTTTTTTAATTGGACAAGTCAGTTATTCACCTTCTTGTCCTATATCAGAGGAAAAATGGTTGCCACTTTCTTAATGTTTTCCTATGTAGTGTTTGGTCAAAGGTTGTCATAAAAGACTCCGTATTGTGCATACCATAGAATTCAGTAATGGAGGTTCAGACATACAGATAATGAGAGTTGCTGTTTATGAAGAACAGTGGGTCAGCCCTGCAAAAAGCCGTGTCAAAAGGTATTCATGCTTTATTCCCATTGTTAATTCAGTTTTACAATTCTAATTGTCCTTGCGTCCAATCATACCAGTGGCAAAAAGGTTCATTTTCATCTTCTCTTGCTTCTGATTTTTGAACTGAAGTGGTAACCTCTCCAATTTTCCCTTGATTGTTCTGTTTGACATGGTCTTAGGACTAGATGTGTATGGGAAATGTAACATGATGCTTCGTGCAACTTTTGGAATGAAACTAATTGATCAAAAATAAATTTGGTGTTAGGTTAATACTGTATCTAACGCACATTTCTCTGACATGTTTAGGTTATTAACTTTGATTTAGTGTATGTACATGATTTGTGACTTTGAATAATCTTGATGGATAAACTTTACAAACTGACATTTCATAGCTATTCTGTCTCTTGCAGTGCAACTAACTTTATTCCTGTTGTGATGTGGACAGTGATATGGAGTTTGATCTAAAGCCATTTTCGCAGAGGAAAAGAACCCAGCCATCAGAGCTTTCTGGGTCTTGGAAAGTGTTTGAGGTGAGTGCTACTCCAGTATTTGGAGAGGAGACTTTAACTGAGGACAGCAATAGTGCCCCATACGTCTACCTTTGTACAGAAACCTTGAAAAAGAGAAGCTTGCCTGAAAATCCTGTTTACTTTGGGGAGGAGGAGATGGTAGACATGCAGGATGTGACTGTCCTTTGGCTGCCAGGTGGCGTCACAGGATATGTTGATGTGGACAAGGATGGCATACTATGCATTGGAGTTGGGTGGTACTCGGACGAGGGAATCAACCTTGTTATGGAAAGAGATTATGGATTAGATGGGAAGCTGAGGGAAGTCCGGTGGAAATCTGAGGTAAAGAGAAGGTGGTCCGATCCACAGCTTGTGTAAATTTTCAGTTGTTAATATAAAAGAGTCTTAATTCGTAAGTACTGACACACACAACTTGTAAATTGGCTTAATGCTTGGTCCATTGGAGCTTTTTGAGAGACGGGGAGAAACTTGTGTTGTGCTACAAGTCCATGTTAAGATAATAAAAAAAACAAGATAGGCTCGTTTTATTTTGTACTTCCAAATTTTTAGCTGTAGAGTTGGTAATGGTAAGTTTGGGTTTGATGCTACTGTTGGATTCTGATTTGAAGAGCAATAAGAGAAGCATAATATTCCCGAGTTTGATAAAATCCTCCATAGTACGGCCATTAAAGAATATTCAATACCAAAATATTTGTGAAAAACAAAGTTATGTTTACTCATCACATTCACTTTTATTTCCCAAGTAATTGAATATTCTTTAATTTCTGATTCCTTGTAAATTACATCATCCCATCAATGGCTCAAGAACTAATCACGAACTAAATCTTAAATTTTCACAAACATTTCGGTATGCAAAAACATATTTTAGCAGTTGCTTGCCCGGTCTATTTTGGAGCGGATAGCTTCGTAAATTCTAATGCTCGATGTACATCATGTCATACCGAAAAAACCACATTCTGTGAAAACACTGAAATGTTAATTAATATTTTGATTCCGAAAGTTTTACTCCATTAAATTAGTTTGTTGAAGAAAAGTAAAACTTTAAACAAGCAACCCTTTTGAGTAACATATCCCTCAATCGGGGTAGGCATATGCCATACAACTCCACACAGCCTCGAACAGTTCCAAACAAGCAAGAAAAAGTATTTTCATTAAAAATATCAATCCTACAAGCAAAATTACTTCCTCAATACAAATGGAAAGCCAGGCATAATGTTCTCTAGATAGGCTTGATCTTGAAATGGAGTGAGATAAGGGAGAAAACAAAGCACTTCAAGTCCTGCAAATAAATAGAACACCAATAAGAACCAACATTAATGTCTAAAAGGCCCCAATTTTCACACACTGATATATCAGCCAAGGCATATATTAACCAACATAAGACAAAAAAAAAAATTTCAAAGCAAAGGGCCCTCTAAATGGGAATCTTGCTTTTCCATTGGCAGCTGCTTGTTTTTGTTCACCATCCTTCAATTGGCATCTGCACATTTTTGTTCACCAGCCTTCCATTGGCATCTGCAACAACTCATTTACACTTCCACACTCCCAAAACACAAACATAGAGAGAGATAAACAAACACATGCAATGACATCAAGACCACAACTATGAATCACAGTTCACAACAATATGACGACCTCAGAAGGAACTAACAGATGAGAAAAGAATACCACTCTAAGTTTTATAAATTTAAGTTGATTATCCACTATAATGCACATAAACCATCAAATGATCAGTTCCATAAAGGAGCATATCCTGGTATCATTTGCTAAATGCATAGCTCATGAGTCATGGCTATTACTATAATTAATTTTTACCTCCAAGTGTGACATAACCCATTTCGCCAACAATGTATCTAATAATCCAACCAAGTAGCAGTTTCATCATAAATAAAGTATTGATATTACCATATCGGTGATCTTCTGTTCCAAAACTGACATATTCAGAATTAGGAGAAGCAATGATAATGTCATCCAACCTTTAATTATATGCTATATTCACAGGCGTAAAAGTTCACTTTAGCTAGAATTACTCGCATCTTCTACTTTTATTTTGTACCAAGTAATATAAAGTATTGAACAAGAAAAACTTCATATCCATCATTTAGCAATATAAAACAAAAGGGAAAACACAGAGAAAAACATAGATGAAAATACAAGTAGCTGACCTGAACAAGGTAATAGAAGATACGAAGCCCTTCAGGATCCTTACTGCTCTGGACATCAACAAGTGACCCAATCTTTGAGGTAGTGAAGGAGATATGCTCGTTTCCCATTACAATCTCGAGCTCTTGTCTCCCAACCCTGTCTGGTTCTGGCCAGTTGGCATCATCTTCCTTCATGATCTAACCAATCATTTGAAACAAATTAGAAACCACACAAACCTTAAAATTACCAACTTCAAGCACACACACCTACTCTGCGTCTGTGTCAATACACATAACAAAATGCTCCAAATCTAAACAAGTTGAAGGAATTCACAAGAAAAAGTTTGCGACATTATTATTACGCTGAAACTCATGACAGCAATAAGCACAAGCAGGAAAGACCAATGATTTCATCAGTAGAAGTAATATTAATTCATCGAACCCAAACTAGGAAATACAAAAACCAAAACCCTAGGCTCCATTAGTTCGGAGCAGAATACTAAACCGAGATTCGAAAGTCCATATTTTGTTCGCAAGTATCAACAAATAAAAGAAAAAATTAGCTCAATGAAAATTGGAAGTCCTCAGAGCAAACCCCAAGAGAGAGAAAGCATTCTAATAGTTAATACTGAATTAAAAAATAAATAAATAAAAGAAGAGAGGAAAACCTCGCTCTCGGCGATGATGCGGCGGCATTCCTTAAGAACGGCGGGGGTGAGGAAGACTTCCTTCCGGATCATGGTGTCGTTCTTGTAGTTGGAGTTGTTAGCGTATCGGAGCTTGCCATCTGGCCGGAACTCGAACTCCAGGAACTCGTGACCGAATTTACCCTTGTGGCCAACATAATATCGAAGGTAAAATTCATCATCTTCTGCTGCCATTCGTCCCCTTCGTCTCTAAGCTCTCTCTTTGTCTCAGTCGCACAAGAAGTACAGCTCCGCGAACGAAAAAGAATGGAAACCAACTTCCTTGCCTCCTTTTTGATGGAGCGCAACCCCAATTTGAGGAATCTGGATATTTGTCCTTGGGCCGGATCAGACTTCAACACCGCCTTGGAGATTCCTAATGGGCTTTTTATATGGGCTTTAATTTATTGGGTCACTTGCAAAAAGGGAGAGAAAAACAATAAATCAAAAAACTAGTTAAGGATTTAAGAAGCACTTCAATAGATTATTTTTTTTTTTTAGTATCAGAAGAAATTCTAACTTAAATCTATTATTAGATTTATATTATTTCTTAACGTGCAACTGTAATATATTTAATTAATTATGCTAGAAAAAGATATATAATATTTAATAAATCGTTGAAAACTAAATTTTTATTTTTATTAATTTTAAAGTAAAATATATAGTCAAACCTGCAAAAAAAAAAAAAAAAAAACCAAATAAAAGCACAGAGAGGAAAAACTCGCTTCTGGCAGATGATGCGGCCGCATTCTGCTTATAGACACGGCGGGAATAAAAAGAGGAGAGTACTTCCCTTCCCCGGGATCCATGGTGTCGCTTCTTGTAGTTCGGGAGATTGTAGCGTATCGGAACCTTGCCAGTGCTGGCGCGGAACTTACGGAACTGCCCAGGGAAACTCGTGACCGAATGTTAGCCCTGGTGTGAGCCAACATAATATCAGAAGGTAAGTGCGATCATCTTTTCTGCGCCATTCGTCCCCTTCGCTCAATAAGCTCCTCTCTTTGTCTCTTCAGTCTGGCACAAGAAGTACAGCTCCGCGTAACGAAAAAGAATGGGAAACCAACTTCCCTTGCCACTTTTTGATGGAGACGCAAACCCCAAATTGAGGAATTTGGAATATTTGTCCTTGGGAGGCGCGGATCAGACTTCAACACCGCCTTGGGAGATTCCTAAAATGGCTTTTTTTATGATGGAATAGCGTTTAATTATTGGTGTCACTTGCGGACAAAAAGAGGGAGAGAGAAAAACAATTAAATCAAAAAACTAGTTTAAGGATTAAGAAGCACTATTCAATAAGATTATTTTTTTTTTTTAGTTATCAGAAGAAATTCTAACTTAAATCGAGTTTATATAGAGTTCTCATTCATTCATTTACATATAACGCTGCAACTGTAATTATTATTTACCATCTAATCTATGCTTAGAAAAAGAATGTATATAATTATTTATAATCTTGTTGGAAAAACTAAATTTTTATTTTTATTAATTATTTAAAGTAAACCATACAATATATTAGTCAACACCTGCAAAAAAAAAAAAAAAAAAAACCCTATATAATTAACCTTCAAAAACGCTTGGGTTGAGATTTAAATTATCTCTTTCAAAACTATAATTATATATTAAAAAAAAAAAAAAAAAAAAACCCTATATATTAACCTCAAAACGCTGTTTAATTAATTATCTCTTCAACTATATTATATTTGCCTCATCACCTGTCTAGTTATTTCTGTCTCTTTATTTGCACATAATTAATTAATTAATTACTTTGATAGTTGAGAGTAATGAAAAGAAAAAATCCAAAGAAAGATAAAACTAATGGATTTTGACTTAATCATCTCTTTGATGGTGGCGTTAAGGATTGAAAACTACTTAATAATCAAAAATTTCCAATCCAATATTATTGATGGGAAGCTAATGACATTTTTCCTTTTAGGACAGATAAACAACTGAGTTTGCTTTTCTCTTCTCACCTTCAATTGAATTTTCTAATTTTTATTTTTATTTTTTCTGTTCTGAGAGTATGAATTTTCCCATATACAAAATTTAAATCTCCGAGGAAAAATCAATTATTAAATATGATCATAAATAAAACAGAAATATACAAATATCCACTGATAAAACCACACAATAGTTCAAATTCCAACAGCAATATCCAAAACAAAATAACAGCACTGCCTCTTTCCTAGCCCAACAAACCAAGTACTAGTAAAGAACCAAACATTAAAACATTCATATTAACGAAAACGCTAGCTGCTCCATTATTGCCGGGCGGCGGCGGCGGCGAGGTGGTGTTGGAAGGGGTTTCAGCTGCAGGAGTGTTAGAACCAGATGGAGTGGTAGAACCAGATGGAGGAGCAGGGGCAGGAGTGGTGGGACTAGTACCTGGGGTAGTGCTGGCTGCCACAACATTAACAGCCAACTTCATGCCACCACTACAGTGACCAGCTGTGGGACAAATGAAGTAAATTGTGCCTGTCTTAGATAACTTAATTGTTGTGCTTCCATCGTCATGGCTTTCAATAGCATTACTTGAGCTGCAACTATTATAATCGCTTTGAGATACTTCATCCACTTTGTGCGTAGAACCATCATAGTTAAACACTGTTTTTTTTTTAAAAAAAATAATAATAATAATAATGATATCAGTTGTAGTACTTTTTGATTAAATTTTAAACTAATTAATTAGCAACTCACCAAGAGTGTCACCGACGGTGAATGTTTTACCGGAGGCCCAAGTGCTGTAATCGACTCCGAAATTGGTCCATCCTGAACTGTCTCCGACGATGTATTGCGCAGCATAAGCAGCTGGAATTGCCATTAGAAGAATTAGGAGAGCAGAAGTTGCCATGGCCATGTTTGAAAACCCTCAATTATCAATCAATTAATTGTCAGAATTTGAAAATAGGGTGTAAAGGCCTTTAACATGTTACAGGTTATATAGACACAAAACCAAATTATAATTTCAATTTAAAATAGAAAAAAAAAAAAAAAAAAAAAAAAAGTCTAAAAAAAAAAAAAAAAAAAAAAGTCTCCTTCCAATTACTTGTTTATTTTTATGATGCAAAGTACTAACTTCTGTATGTCTACCTAATGCATTGAAGATTAATTTTGGCTTCCCTAATTAGCCGACTTAACGAGCTTGAAGCTGGTTCTGTGAACTGTTAGAGTGATGGAAAAGTTGCTTAATGGCTTGGCTTCTAAGTAACTCCATTTTTTGGCAAAGCTGAGCTGGAGTGATCGAATACATAAATATATATAAAACTGAAAATGAAACCAACATTCGTTTTAATATTATTGCCACCTAATACTAAGAGAGATTAGGTTGGAATGATCCCACTTTTTCTCACATTGGCTAATTGAAAAATATGTTAGTTTGGTTAGGATAATGATCATCACGATTAATGTTGACTTTTCAGTTCATATGGAGTTGGTTGAGTTGTTAAAGCATGGGAATACTCTATTTTCCACATTGTATATAATATTAATAAGCATTTTTTGTACATGATTGACCAAAAACTGAATGATTAATTAAAGTTACTAACCATCTCAATGAATCAACCATTTAATTATTTAGAGGTCACATCAAATGAGCGCCTGACGCATAAATTTAATCTTATAATTTGGCTATTATAATTGTGACTTTCTAAACTGAATTTTACAGCAAACATTTTAATAATAACTATGTACATCGCTAATGAAATATAAACGTGCATGCTAACGATTAGACCTAAGTTCAGAAAACCAAAAAGATTCGAGGTAAGATTCATGTATCAAGCCTATCAATCAACACCTAGTTCTAGCTAGCTTTTGAAAACGTAAAATTAATCTCCTTCTGTTGTCCTGTGTGTGTAAAGAATCATGGCCAAACTACATATATTACTACCGTTATCACAATCGCGGGGCCAGGCTGGTAGCTATCATGGCTAAATAAACATTGAACTTGAACGGGTTTGTTTTCATAGTCAACGGTAGAATAGTTACGCAGAAAAAATTTTGACACCAGTGCGATGAACTTTTTTTCTTGTTGCCCTGTCTGGTATTAAGGTGACTTTACCTTTACATTCTGAATCTGGAATGAAGCTATTCTAGCCAATCCCAGTGCACAGAAAATCGCAGCAAACTGAACAAGTATAGTAATGCTTCAAGCACTTAGACCTAGGTTCAATGTTCTCAAATCCTATCTGATCCATATAAGTATAACAGCCTACAATAAATTATTATTATTTTTTTAAAGGGATACACCTCATCATTTATTGACAACCTGCATTGTACGAATAGGAAAATTTATCAGTTAACCATTAATGCCATTATCTCCAACTAACTATCGTATGAGACCAAGAACCACGTACTTTCACTAGACGAGCAAAAAAAAAAAAAAAAAAAAATATCGTAATGAGAAACCAAGAACCACGTACTTTCATAGAAAACGACAGCAAAAAAAAAAAAAAAAAAAAAAAATTTCCCACCTATTTTCTGAAAAAAGAGGAAAAAAAAAAAAAAAAAAAAAAAAATTTCCACCTATTTTCTGAAAAAAGACTCACCTCTTGATATTTTTCCATTTATCATCATCATTATCATGCAATTTTTAGTTTCTTATAAAGCGCAGAAATTTTCTTAACCAATTTTTATGCCCAATAATTATTTTCCTTTACTGAACGACTCTATTGGGCAAGTGGATATTAGAAAACACTGGAGATGAATCTTCGGTTGCCAATCATCCAAAAAAATTGCGTCGGTTGGTATAGGCACCAAAGTTTAATAACAGATGTCAGGATCCTTGGCATGGCGGTTAACAAGGAAAGAGCAGAGCAATGGTGTGTGAAGGAAAAAGGAGATCATCCATTTTCCATCACCGGAGTTTCTCGCAAGATGACAAAACCTTTAAAGCACGAACTTCTGTGGAGGTGGTGATGTCATCCAAGAAAACCATATGCTGGTTTTGAGTCTTGACTTGGAAACCCATTGCATGTTGATATGGTTTCACTTCCAGCTAATCGCCCTGAGCTCATCCTGCAATCTTAGAGCCAAAGGCGAGCGAGTAGTATTATTAGAAAGTAAAAACTAGAAATTACAACCAGTTGTTTTGTTTATGGGGTTTCATTCCCCCTCCTTTATATTCAAAATAATAATAATAACAATAATGAGCAGGGTACAAATATAGTGGTAAAATCATATACACAGCATATCTAATTGCGATATAGTCGTAATATTTCCTCTACAGCTAACACAAGCTCCGGGTAAAAAATCAACAAGGTAATCAAATTAATGTTTAACTGCAAAAGCTCTTGCCTCCTTAGTGGATAGGAAAAATTAAAAGTAAGGAAAATTATGATTTTATCCTCGTATTTTGCCATAACATTCAATATTATCCCTGTATTTTTAGAAATACAATTGAGGTAAAAGATAAGAGACAATCATTTATTTTAAAAAATACATAGGTAAAATCATGTATTTTGATAAAATATAAAGATAGAAAAGTAATTTTGCTTAAAAATACATCATGTCTGACGTGAAAAGTACGGCGATTTGAACGCGCATGTCATCCCAAACCAAATTGCACTTGTATTATTCATTTTCCCTCCAGCTAAAGTGTTTTCTTTTGCAATAGGTTCCGCCATCTCTGGATCCTTGGGTCCCATTTGTTCAAGGGTGGGGGCAAAAACTAATTTTATTAATTATGGGGGGGCCAAAATTTTTTTTTTATTTTAAAAATTACCACTAAAAATTTATCTTTTTATTATTTTTTTTATTTTGGCAGCTCCCCCTTACCCATATAGTATGTCCGCCCCATTCATAAGCGTGTAAATTCAGTGGGACCACCTCTCTGTTTTTTCCCATTCCTTCTCTCTCGCAAACATTTTATGACTCATACCTATGTTTGGACTCTAGATCATTAATTCATCATTTCCATGCTGTTCTATACACCGTAACTGTACAAGAATGAAATAGATTGACAAAACTGATCTTTTCTTTCAGGGAAAATTAGTAAAATTTTAGCTTATAAATAGTGCAACCTTGTACATTTTTAACAAGTCAACTAAAGAATAATACAAAAGATTGAGAATGGAAGGAAAGGGAGAGAACTCACAAGCTTCATTTATCAAGTCAGGTGCAGCTAATGTGCCTGAATATTACATTCTTCCCCCGTGGGATAGGCCAAACCCTGGTCTGAGCCCATCAATGACCCTTCCCATTGTTGACCTATCCTTGTTACACCATCCTTCTCTCAGGTCTCATGTTATAAATGAGATACGAACTGCATGTAGCAGCATTGGATTCTTTCAGGTATATTAGATACTGTAGCCAAATCCATGTTAATGTGTCCATTGATAAGGCATGTCTATATCATTATAAAACTGCCTTAATATATGCCAGTAGGACACTGCTCTTACCATCTATAATTTGTATTTGACACTCTTTATCACCTAGCATAAAGTGCTATATCAATGTGCAGAGGACAGCTAGCTAAATGTTAATGTATGAGGAGAATTCAACCTCCTACTCCTTGGTTGACATGACACAATATGACAAATAGTTAAAGAACAACAAAGAATATAAATCACATTTCGGAATTGCTCAATTAACAGTTATATCGTTCATTTACGTATATTTCAAGACATGCATGCATGATCATGGACAACTGCGCTGAAAATTTGATATAATTTACGTACAAACTTACATGTTTTCAGGTGATAAATCATGGAATCCCTCTTCCTGTGATGAAAGATGCTCTGGACGCTGCAATGGACTTTTTTGATCTGCCTTTCGAGGAAAAGAAGCTTCTGATGTCAGACAACGTGCACGCACCTGTACGGTATGGTACCAGCTTAAATCATGGAAAGGATAAAGTTCATTTTTGGAGAGACTTCGCAAAGAAGTTTTTCAGGTCAAACATCATAGCATTAAAACGTTTTAACTGGCAACAGTTAGCATAAAATTAAAAATAGCATGATCGTCATGCCTTTCGGGTCCTATCTTCTATTGTGCCCTAAAGACATACAAAGAAGTTTTTCAGGTCAAACATCATAGCATTAAAACGTTTTAACTGGCAACAGTTAGCATAAAATTAAAAATAGCATGATCGTCATGCCTTTCGGGTCCTATCTTCTATTGTGCCCTAAAGACATACAAAGAAGTTTTTCAGGTCAAACATCATAGCATTAAAACGTTTTAACTGGCAACAGTTAGCATAAAATTAAAAATAGCATGATCGTCATGCCTTTCGGGTCCTATCTTCTATTGTGCCCTAAAGACATACAAAGAAGTTTTTCAGGTCAAACATCATAGCATTAAAACGTTTTAACTGGCAACAGTTAGCATAAAATTAAAAATAGCATGATCGTCATGCCTTTCGGGTCCTATCTTCTATTGTGCCCTAAAGACATACAAAGAAGTTTTTCAGGTCAAACATCATAGCATTAAAACGTTTTAACTGGCAACAGTTAGCATAAAATTAAAAATAGCATGATCGTCATGCCTTTCGGGTCCTGTCTTCTATTGTGCCCTAAAGGCATACTTACCTGTTTGGTTACACAGGGAGAAGATGGGAAACTATGCAACAGCTGTCCAAAATTTGCAAAAACAACTAATGGAAGCTGTACTAGAAAGCTTAGGGCTTAAACCTAATTACTTACAAGATGAAATTGAAGAAGGATCACAAGTGATGGCCATAAATTGTTATCCAGCATGTCCAGAACCAGAACTCACATTAGGCATGCCACCGCACTCAGACTATGGATCACTAACAATCTTACTTCAGAGCTGCGCCGGTCTGCAGCTCATGGATTGCAACGAGAATTGGTTTGCAGTTCCAATGATGGAAGGAGCGCTAATGGTTCAGACGGGAGATCAAATGGAAGTAATGAGCAATGGAAAATATAAGAGTGTTGTTCACCAAGTAACTGTCAGCCCTGAGAAGAAGCGTTTTTCAATAGCTAGTCTTCACAGTCTAGCTTTAAACCGGAAAATAATGCCAGCACCAGAGCTTGTAGACGAAGAACACCCAGCAAACTACAGAGAGTTCAGTTTCAAAGATTTTCTTGATTTTATCTCAAAAAATGATATATTACAGGAAAGATTCATCAATACACTCAAGAAAAATCAATGAAAAAGAGGTGCATTAGGGTTTCGGGTGCTACGTCTGTTTAGTTTATTATTAATTTACTATGTCTATTTAGTGTATTCTGTTAAGTTCTGGTTTTGTCAAAGACTTCATAAAGTCTAATGACTATCCTATGCATTTAGATGATGTTACTCCCAGTATTGCATGTACTTGCGAGAGTTGCGCTAAATAAAACTATTGGGCTATGTTTGGTAAGCCTTAACGGAATCTATTATTTAATATAATCAAGCGTTTTTCTACAGTTAACAATTAATAATCTCGTAATCCATGAAAATCAATGCTTCATCTGTGCCGTATAGCTTCTGTCTGAATCTCTAAATGGAATGGCAATATCAGTTATCATGCATAAAGCTGATTTAATAATGTCAATCTCAAAAGTTTTAACATATTGACAACCACTATTATTTCAAATACAAGAAAAAACCAATTAGAGCCAAATTAACTGCTCCAAAAAAAAAGACAAGAAATAACATATGAACAGAAACCAGATTATATTATTGTAACTTTGAGCTGTTATCAAATCTCTTTACTCTCGTGCTAAACTTGGAATAGGTTAGATTTGTGATTCGAATTGATTGGAAATAGAAAAAGTAAGGATAAGAAACTATTTGCAACCACATTAGGATAGAAACTAATTGCAATTACATTCTCAAGAATTAGTGAAGCATTACACATTTTAGCTTACTTCTTGTTTTTTTTTAAGATAGTTACAGGCCTAGATTAGATAAATAATCTTATAGAAATGCTAAATGATAAATTGGTTTCACTTTCCTTGTTTCCACATACTAGAATGTTGCCTATTTCTCACTCTGTGTTTATGTTCTAATAGTTAAGTATTAGTTGCCTCCAGTGCAGCCAAATTAAATTGTGTTAACGTTAATTTGAAATTAATAATTTACCTATTATCTGTGTTTGCATAGTTATTAGAAATGATAATCAGCATTTTTTCCACTGATTTGGCGAAATCAACAGATTCAAACTGAACAGAATTTTGCGATAATCATAAAATCAAATTGCCTAATTATGGAAACTCATTCATATAACAGCACCAAGTACCAAAACCCTAAACGATCAGAAATTAAATCAAATTATCAGCGCGGTGTTAATTCAAAGTGCAACACAAAGTCAATAAAACGCCGTAACAAGATTTCATTGATATTGACAACAATTTAACTTTCGAGTTAGGGGAAAAAAACTGAATTATATTGACTGTTCTCTATTTCACCCAAGAAAAAATTTACGAAAAAAGACAGCCAAACAGAGCCCAAAGTCTACATTCAGCAGTGTCTTTCAAGAAAATAATGGCTTACCGATTGTTCAAAATTGTCCACAATCGGCCACTCACTCTCTCTCCCCTCTCTCTGATGTCGTTGCCTTGCCTCTCCCTCTCTCTCGGAGTCGTTGATCCCATCGGACCAGAGTCGTTTTCTTCCGGTGACAAATGGGGATCTTGGAATCGGAACATTATGTTTTCGGCTACGAGGCCCACGACGAATGATTTTACCGGGCCCATTGTAAGATCAAATTGACGGACCGGATTCGTTTATGTTACTCGTATCTTTCTAACGTGTTCGTGCTAAGCGATGCCTCGTAGAGTGGTTGGGTCCCATCGAGGCCGCTTATCTTTTTTTTTTTTTTTCCCTTCTAAACGTGTTCGTGCTAATAGCGATCCCTCGTAGAGTGGGTTGGGTCCCATCGAGGCCCGCTTATCCTTTTTTTTTTTTTCCAAGAAATGCTTTTTTTTTTTTTTTTTTTTCCCACAGAAATACAATAGAATAATAAAGATATTATTAAGTAGATTTACAAACTCAATTAGTACAAATATACGTCAGGAAAACAATTTATTTATTTATTTATTTGTATTACTGATCTTCCTAGTCTTTTGAGCTAAATTTAATATTATGTCTAATGTTATTTGTGATGTAAAAATTTTTTCACTCATAATGATTAAACACTTAAATCGTATTCATTCAAATAAATCATCGATAATATTAATGAGTTACAGATATTTTATTTTTTTAATTTTAATTCACTTCCGATAGGTTGATTAATTATGGATCATCTCATGCAAAAGAAATTAAATAATTAAAATAAAAAATAATCATAATCACATTTGGCCTGAACAATAAAAAATAAAGTAATTAAACTCCCTTGTTTATGCTTTTTATTAAAAAAAAAAAAAGAAAAAAAGAACTCCGTTGTTTATTGTTAGCTTGTTTACAATAGGAGTCATTATTCTCTATAAGAATGTCTATTGAGAAAATTTTGAAACAAATTAATAATATTCCATGACTTTGATTTTATATAGTTTGTAACTTTTTGCAATCTAATTATTAGACAAACAATTAAATTTATACAATATAAAATGGAAAAAATAATATTATAAAATAATTATCAAAGCGCTTAAAATAAAATTTAGATGGTCAAAAGTTATTTCAAGAATAATAATAATAGTAATTAATAATAATAGTAATAATAATCCCAAAAGTATTATTATCCAGAGCGGATCTTTCAAACGGGTCTTCAGTCCATGTCATTCCACGCACGTGGCTGCTCTTTGAAACCATTTTTCACGGCACAAGTGGCGAATTAGTATGGCTAGGGTAGTGGCGAATGAAAAGTATTAGATGCCTACAAATAATGAAAATAAAGTTAAAAAGAAAAACCTAATACAAATAAAAAATAGAAAAAAAAAATTAAAGAATACACGACTGGATTTTTCTTTTTTACTTTTTTCCTATAATTTGACAAAATGGAGAATATAATTGAGTAATTCGATAAAATTTTTCATCCTCTTACTCTTTTTTTTTTTTTTTTTTTTATTACTCTTTTTTTTTTTTTTTTTTTTTTTAAATAACTAGTGAACTTATGCATGGCTTATATTAATAATCTTAGCATAAAATGCACGTGCTGATTATTTTATAGTCATTATAAAATTGAATGAAATTACAAATCTTAATTCAGTTATATTTTCTCTATTTCAAAATAATAATTCAAATTACTAATTTAAAAATATTTCAAAATTAATTAATCTCTTTTCTATTTTAACTAAAAATCAATAATTCGGAACATTATTTCGCCAACATCACAAAAAATATTGAAGCCTCAAGTGGTCAAGCCTCTTTTATTATAGTATACATATCCATATACTTCTTAATTTAATTCATAGGTAAAAACTTTATCTGTCACTAAATATATCAAAGGCCATCAAAATTACCTAACACAGTGTTAGATGAATATGAGTGGTTCAACATTCAGTAAGCCGACCTGATGCAAGCATGACTTAGTTTCAATCCGGTGGTTTAAGAATATCTGGTTTTTTTTTTAAAAAAAAAAAAAAAAAAAAAGCATGACTTTTAGTTTTTCAATTTCCGGTGGTTTAAGAATATCTGGTTTTTTTTTTTAAAAAAAAAAAAAAAATTTTTTTTTTAAAAAAAAAAAAAAAAAAAAACTTTTGCTATAAAGAATACTAAAAATAAAATTACAAGTCATTCTGTTCCTATATTTAAAAGGATAAGAGCTTTGTTTATAGAGTGAGACAAAAGAACAGAGATGCATTTTTAAAAACAAAATATCCTGTAAAATAAATGCAGTGAAGAATTTTTCAATCATTTCGAAATCTTCAAACAAAATTCTTAAGAAAAAAAAAAAAAATCTCAAGCACCAAATTACATACATTCCATATGAATATATCCACATTGAATGCTGAATATATATATAATCAAACAAATCATTAATATTTATTCTATAAATCTATATAAATACTTAATTAATGAGTTGTATTAATTAAAATATAATGTAATATACGAATGTTCATAACACAGACATTATAATTAAAAAAACTATAAATCTAAGAATATATATACACAAGGACAACGTTTTTCTCTCTAACATTTATTTTAAATGGATGATATGAAAAGCCTAGAAAATTTTTGTGTCACAAGTTCAATGTGAAAACATTCTTTCTTGATCAAATACAATGACAGGGAAAACACAAATTAAGAGAGAGAGAGAGAGAGAGATGAAGCCCCGAAAAGGAAACAAACAAAAAAAGAGATTCGTGTGCTATTTATTAGCGGAAAAAAACTTACCTGGCTATAAATGTTTTAAGGGTTGTGTAGGGATGTTTATGAACTCCACAAAGGTCAGTAGAAGCAAACGTACAACAGTATCAAAATAGCATGCATATGCAAATAGTGAGAAAATACTTGATCGATCAGTTGTATATTTTTTATCAGTATATATATAGGAATCCATATTGTTTCTTTCATGCAAGAACATCCATGAAGGAATTTAGAAGGTTAAGGTTAGTTAAAACGAAGAGCAAAACACCCAATGAGAAGTTTATTAAGTCTATATATGAACGTGAAAGGCTTGAAACTATATACACTGGAAACCTAGATGACAATGTTTATATATTTATATTAGAACGTCTTTGTGGCAAGTGCATGATCTGCCAATCACTATTTTCGTAAAAAAAAAAAAAAAAAAAAAAAATCTTGCCAATCACTATTTTTCGTAAAAAAAAACTAAAAAAAAAAAAAATATTCCATCTGTAAAAAAAAAAAAAAAAAAAAAAAAATATTCCATCTGTGCGTGATGTATGGATCACGTCTTATTTCAACGACACCAATAAAAAAATTCCCAATGTTTATAATTTTTATAGACTCCTAGTTGGAAATAAAATTTTAAAATACTATTATTTTTATACTCCATTAAATTTAATTGTATTGAAGTAGTAGTATATATTTTTTAAGTATTTTTATCGTTGAAATAATCATTGTAATTGTTTTTAATTCACCAGAGGTTAAATTAACGATGGAAATAAATATTACTAACCTTCATTTAATATTATGGAGATCTATCTAAATTAGTGAAACTCTTCTGAATGAAAGATTTCAATTTAAAAACTTTTCACTATCTGTATATTTTTAAAATAATGAAAAAACGAAGTTCTGCACAATAATCGATAAATGAATTTGAATTTAATATCAATCTAAATATTCAACAATATTAAATGAATAATTATATACCCAAATAGGTTGAAATTAGATTATTTAGATGCAAAATATCCATTTTAAATTAAGTGAATTAAACAAAAAAGCAAAGCTAACCAAACAAATAAATACAAAATTTTCTGCTATTTTTTATCGTTATTAATTAAACTTTTACATTCAAGTGAAAAATGGTATTCATGCTTTTATTTATTTATTACAACTAAAAATTTTTATTGTATTGTGATGAAAAAGCAATAACGATACCATTTTTTAAAAATTAATTAAGTATTAGGTTTATAATCGTATAGATTATGATTTTCTTAGGAAAAAAAGAAAAACCCCAAAACGACATATTATATGATATATCCATAACTTCATCATCTGCCTGAAGCCAAAAGAACATCACTTGCAAATTGCAATAGTTTAAAGATATCGATGACAGGTACAAATGAACTTAAGAAAAGAGACAAACATACAACTTGCTGGATTTTCATTGAATCAGACACAATCAAGATGACATTTTTCACATGGGACAGTTTTTTGCTTACATAGACAAAATCCATTTTCTGATCCCAGTTGCCAAAACCACTGCAAAAACTACTGCAAACGTTTGATGGTTTTCAACCATGCAAGAATCTATATATCCTCAATCATATTTCTGTCATCATTAATTTCGTCAACCATGTTATATGTATATATATTCGGACATTGTTGCTAATTAGGATATGTCCACCACAGTTGCATCACTTGGTAGGCGATGACAAACAACGTGTCTGGGAAATGTACATATATCTTCCACAGCTGATGTAAACAAGAGATTCAGACAAAAGATAAAGATTTTATAATATATGTTTCGTATGACTTTTTTTTGGTGTGCTACATATATGATTAAAATATAAACCAAGATTTTATCATATTTTACATATAATATTTGAATTGGATTAACAAAAAGAAAAAGCAAAAAAAAAAAAAAAAAAAAAAAAAAAAAGAAAAAAAAAAAAAAAAAAAAAAAGCCAAAAAAAAAAAAAAAAAAAAAAAAAAAAAAAAAAAAAAAGTGAGGGTAAAGAACCATGGCCCCGGTGAGCTAATAGTTTAGTTTTATAGGTCAAATGAAAGGGAAACAAAATTCCTCATATGCATGTGCACATGTGTATGCATCATTAAATATCGAGATTAGTCCAATAAATTGGTGAAAATAATTCGTTGTATAATATCAAACCCGAGAAATTTATCATAAAAACTTTTTTTTTTTTCAATGACTTGCTATATCATTATATATATATATATATATATATATATTTATTGGCAGGAAGAGATGATGCTTTTATTTATATTTTTTAAATATGTGTCCCTCCGATATGCCCTTCCAATAAATACAAGTACCTTCATCAAAATGAGGCAAATAATAAAAGAGGTAAAAGAAAAGAAGTATGAATGGGAGGCCTTTGATGAGTGGCCAAAATATGTGCGGCTTGATTTCCTTCACGATATATGTGATAAATAAGAAAGAAAAGAAGTGCAGATGCAAACAAGTGCAAGCAACACGCAGCAAAACCTGAAGGATATATATATATATTTATTGGCAGGAAGAAGATGATGCTTTTATTTATATTTTAAATATGTAGTCTCCATAGCCTCCAATAATACAATACCTTCAATCAAATGAGGCAAATAATTAAAAGAGGTAAAAGAAAAAGAAGTATGATGGAGCCTTTGATGAGTGGCCAAAATATGTGCGGCTTGATTTCCTTCACGATATATGTGATAAATAGAAGAAGAGTGAAGATGCAACAAGTCAGCAACACGCAGCAAAACCGAAGGATCTGCTCTAATCCATTGTGCTCAATTAACATGAGCAACAAGATCCAGAAAATCCATTTCCACCTGGATGGGATAAAAACCTTTATCAATACTCTAGGAAAGCCTCCAAATCAAAGCCTCAAGCTCTGCATCATAATAGAGATACTATGGTATTTAAATAGGAGGCCTAACGGTCAACAAATACTATGGTTACACAATAGAGATAAACTTCCCTTTACTCGCTACGCCGGTGAAATGATTATTTTGAGGGAGCCCAACAAATTTTTTTAAACTTTTAGTGGGACAAATATAATTTTTATACATTTTTGAGGATCAAAATGTAAATTTTGCACAATATATATATATATATATATTTGTATTTCTTGGGTGGTCCGTGCTCCCTTAGGCCTATATTAAGCTTTACCCTGGTCGGAAGGTCTAAACCTAAAACCTTCCACTTCACATATAAATAAAAAAATGAATCAAATCTTGCCTATGAATATATATATTATCATAATAAAGATTGTGAAATGCTTGAACTATGAAAAACTATATTTTGTTTAAGGTAACTATGAAAAACTATATAAAACAAGAAAAACATAAAATGATTAAATTAGTTATTTAATTTGCATAATAATTCTTTTATCTAAATTTAGTTTTTTTTTTTTTATTTTACTTTTTATCTTGCAATTTTGTCTATCAAACAAAATAAAGGTTCAAACTTTATTTAATATAAGGGGCAATTTTTTAATTTTTTGAAAAGTAATATATTTTGATTTTGGATAAAACTAAAGAGACAAAGTGCCTACGAAAACTTGAATGTGGCTTTTGTCGTTATGCTAATTATTAAATATAAACTTCATTTTAGTTACCAACTTCTATATTTTATTGTTCAAAAAAATTCTATAATTTACTAGTTTATATTAAAATACGATTTGTAACTGATTGATAGAAATACTTTTTGTTATTCACGAAATAATTTAAGTTTAAAAAAGTATAAATTTTTTGATTATTTTTCATATAAAAAATAAAATTTTAAAAAAACTTCGTAAATCATTTGTTATACAAAACAAAATTATTAGTACTGCTAATTTTTTTTTTTTCTGGAAAATGTAAAACTATTATTTTGATATAAGAATTTATTCTTGTAAAAGCTTTTAACACGTTTATCTTTTATACAAGCCTGCCTGTTTCTATGACAGGCTTCAAGGAGTGGAATTTTGGTCACTCCTTTAATTTCTGAATGTGTACTTTCTGATATTAGTTAATGAAATTGTAGCCCAAGCTCAACTCCTACATTGCATTTTTCGGCCCACTATATATTAGCCCTAAAAGAAATTTAGGCCCAAATTAAGTTTCTCACTTTCGCTGTTTAATTAGCGGTCAATCTGCTTCTCTGTTCCACTATTAAAACTTACTGATCTTCGTCGTTTTCCTCTCTCGTGTTGACCTTGACCGGCCATAATCTGAGGCATACACCGGTGATAATATCGCCGGAGAAATATCGGGCTCCGGCACCTAATCTTCTATTACAACATCAGAACCATGACTCCAGAGTAGTAAGTTTCTATCCAAAAGTTCTACTATTTTTCTCAGCTAAAACTGAACAAAATAATACATGTGTGCCCATTTAGAGCTCTGATCTATGGTTTTACTGGAATTCGATGCTTAATTTAGTATGTAACTCGTAGTTTTGTTTTAGATTCATTCATTGAGTTGCTTTTCCTTTCTTAAGGAAGCCTTGATGATGGTTGCTATCTCTTGTTAAATAATTGTGCGGTGGTGAACTGAAATTTTTCCTATGGTCAATTATTGATAACTCTTTTGAGTATAACGATTTTGTTTAAGGAGTATAGATATGGAGTTGGTTAAACTTAATGATTATGTCTTTTGCGAACGTGAAAGAAGAACTAACAGGAGCCATTAGCAAGTTGCGCAAACTTAACAGAATTTGTTCATTGTCACAAAATCTCCACCGCAAAAAGAATGACTTTCAATTTGATAATTTACTGGCCGCTTTCTTCTGATAGTGTGAATGAACTCCTAAAGAAATAGAACACTTTCAATTTGAATTGTTGCACTGAATAAATCACTATAATTTGCTATAAGTCTTTATAAGTTTAGTTTAGTTTTATTTTTTGGTTTCTTATTTTATTTATTATGGAACATTAAAACAAGTCCTATTCTCATAGGAAATGACTAATAAGTTCTCGATTAGGATATGCCTGTGCATGGTCTTGTTAAAAATGAGTGTTTGGTTTTGCTACCACTGGGCAACATGGAATCTATTTCAGCCATGATTTTCATCTTTAAGTTTTCTAACTCTTCCTTGACAAACAATATGGTTGAAGTTCCTGAGGTGGCAGTTATGGGAGAAAATTATGCATAGATAAATTTGTGTGTGCATTTCTGTTTTTTTATGCATGCATGGTTTTTTTTGACATTTGCGATATTCAAGAATCTAATAACCTGCCCATTTGTTTTCTATTATCTGTTTTTTCATGATGCTTCAGTTTAGTTCCTCCCCACCCCGCCCCACCCCACCCCTTCAAAAACTAGTCTTTAATCTTTGTCTACCTTCTTTTGCAGTGATTACCTGTTCAAGCTTCTTCTCATTGGAGATTCTGGTGTTGGCAAATCCTGTCTTCTTCTGAGATTTGCTGTATGTCAAAGTCTGTTGCTTCAATTTTAGGAATATCTGTTACCCTAGTTGATTACCAACTTAATGAATTGGAATTTACCACCTCATTCCCTCTTCCTTTTTCTTTTCCCTTCCCTCCTTTTCTGAATGCCCCTTCCTTTCGCTTACTAAAACTCTCAGCTTTCTCTTATGAAATAGTTTAGATTACAAGGATTGTGATCTATAAGTTACAATCATGACAAAATGATGTACCCTGATATTTCTTTCTGAAAAATTTCTCTACCAGCATATACAGGTTGGAGCCCTAACTTTTAATGTGATGAATTCCTTGATGTTTTTGATGCAGGATGATTCATATATAGAGAGTTACATAAGCACGATCGGGGTCGATTTTGTAAGCAAACAAGATATTTTTATTCCATATTGGTTTTCATTGATGATGTTATTACTAATTATATCTTCTCTTTCTCTCTCTTCTTTTCTTTGTTTCCTTATATATAGAAAATACGTACTGTGGAGCAAGATGGGAAGACCATAAAACTCCAAATTGTATGAGCTCTCTTCTCTCCTTTGCAAACATTCCTTTTTTTACATTGTTTTATTCTTTACCTAGTTCTTATAAGGCCAATCTTCAACTTGTCTAGCAATCTGTGACCTTAGTATAGTCTTAAGAATTGATTGAACACTCAGTTTGAATTTCATTCAACATGCAGTGGGATACTGCTGGACAAGAACGGTTTAGGACGATCACTAGTAGCTACTACCGAGGGGCACATGGTATCATAGTGAGTGGTCTCCTTTTATTAAATTTCACCTTGCTTTTTCGAATTTCACCCCATTTGATTATCGTTGTAACAAATCTGTTCCTTCCTTCCTGGTGGCACCTCTTGTAGGTTGTCTATGACGTGACAGATCAAGACAGCTTCAATAATGTGAAGCGATGGCTGAATGAAATTGACCGATATGCTAGTGATAATGTGAACAAGCTTCTGGTTGGAAACAAGAGCGACCTTACTGCAAATAAAGTTGTATGCTATGAAACAGCAAAGGTAGAGCTAGCCTTCTCCTGCGTACTTATACTGCGTGTATTTGTATGAATTGAAATTTGTGGTTGAACTTGTCTTTCAATTGGCTTCCTTGTATCTGCCCGTAGTTCATGACTTCTTGTTTGTGCTTCTTTTCTAGGCATTTGCAGATGAGATCGGTATTCCTTTCATGGAAACCAGTGCAAAAGATGCCACTAATGTGGAACAAGCTTTCATGGCCATGGCCGCTGCAATCAAGGATAGGTACTGGTTATTCACGTTATAATAACCAAAAACTAAAAACAATAATCTCACTCAAGTTTGGTAGCGATAGGAGTGAAGGCTGTGTTTAGAAGTGGAGATTGCTTCTCAAGTTAATGTTGCAGATAGCTTGTAGACCATGAATGCTGCAATATCTAATATTGTGAAAGATGAAGATTAAGTGGGTGTGCTAATTTTCTGGGAAGCCAAATGAAAGCTTATAGAAGCATGAATTATCTAGCTGGTTAACTCCAAGTCTAATTCTTGTGTGGTTGGTTATCAAATCTAGTTTGGCAAACACTGAATGCAGCCTGTCAGGTTGTCAACTGGAAATCAATTCACAAGTGATTAGATTTAATCAAAATTTTAAGCATGATTACTTGTTAAAGCATTAGTGAGATTGTTTCTTGTCGATGCATTCTTGGAGTGTGCCCTAATTCCCCTTTCTGGTTGAGTTTAGAACACTGAAGTTCATGTGAAATGTCTTAAATAATTTTTAATAACTGTGTGCAATTTGTATTTCTATTGAAATATCTCATGCTTTTACTTCATATTATTGTCACAGAATGGCAAGCCAACCAGCTATGGACAATGCGAGACCTCCAACGGTGCAGATACGAGGACAGCCTGTTGCTCAGAAGAGTGGCTGTTGCTCCTCTTAGGTGAAAAAAGAAGACTTCTGTTGGCTTATGCATGACATGTAAGATCATCAATCTGTTTTCATTCTCTTGCAATTAGAAACTTGTTCCAGATGAATATAGAACTGCGACATGGTCTGTTCTTTGCTTGCATTTGGGCAAATGGTTACCAATCTGTTTGTACAAATTAGAAAAGCTAATAGGTAATTTATGTTGTTGTTTGTGTCACACCCATTCTTTTAAATTGAACGTAGTCTGATTGTATGTTTTAGATTCTGTGGATAATGGCATTCGCCATGGAAATGAAATAGATGAACTTTTCATTTAAATGACATGGACGGGTCAGCTCATCATTTTCCTAATTATTAATTATGCTGTCTTTCTATGAATAGCTTTGACAACCTGCCAGCCCTGTTGGTTCACTGGTGCCACTGTCGTTGTACATTTTAAATAATAAATCAGAAATTCATTATTCTGCATTGCGTAATGGGACACAGGATGATATTTCGAGATCTGAATTGCATAGCCTGCAAATAACATATAGAGAACAAGAGATGGAATCCTGGGACGAATTAAGTGTAGCTCCTTTCATTGATAGCTTACCAACTACCGGTCAGTCCATTACAGTGCGTATATCATAAAACCCCAAATCACGGTCCCTTCGGAGTCCTACAGATGAAGCCCGAAGTGGAAATATTTTGAGTTTGCAATTTTCGCATACATCGCACATGTTCCTGGACAGTAATACTAATTAATTAACTGGGCTCCACCCTTTTTTCACTTTCCTTAAATCACTTGGGGAGGGAGTACACAGTTCAAATGATCATAAAAATTTTAAATCATCTTTTTCCAACTTTAGAACGAGAGAGTACACAGTTCAAGACACCCTCTCGGTCCTCCTCCCTTTCATCCTTCACTTACACTCCATCGATCATAAGATTATACGTGTACTAAAGTCCCCAAGGTTTTAAAATTGTTCCTCTCAATTCCGCAACTTTAACTCTTTCTCCAAGCCGCAAAATTTTTGAAGAACTTTAGGAGAAATAAAATCCAAAGCTGCTTATCTTCTTCTTTCCTTTATTTTTATGTCTTATTTATTTCTTGGCGAAAGGTCTCCATAATCTTTATCATTAAGATGCATTTGATCTTAAAAATCAAGAAAAACAACAAAAGGCAACTAGTGTTAAAACAATAAATTTAAAAGCTCTACTGTGTAGTAGTTTTCTCTTCTTACCCTCCTAACTAAAAGCTGAAATCTATATAAACAATGCAATGTCGCCTAAATAGCAAATTTTCCCTTCCAACGGAAATGCATCATAACTCGATAAAGTCTTGTACCTATTCAAAACAAAACTAGTTTGACAACAATTTCTAAGTCATAATAATAGCTAGCCCATTTCATATGCCCAAATTCTCAAAACAGCAAAATGCTATCATGACATTTCAAGGAGACTCAAATGAAACGTCTGAAATATACATTTAAAGCATAAAACTAAATAGTTTTTTTTTTCTTTTTTTAATACAGGAAACCACATTATTTTAGTCAATTTCCTGCCAAGATTTACGGAAAAAGAACCCAAAAATGGTGACCAACATGAGCTTAAGTGCAGTTCTGGGAAATCTCACTTGCCACCCAAGGTTGGGAACTCCCCGCGATCTTCTATGGAAGGGGCTACCACATTGCTCATTGCATCTGTGCTGGAGGGGGCTACCACATTGCTCATTGCATCTGTGTTGCCAAACCCTCTCGAACCACGGCCACGGCCTCGGCCCCGTCCACCTGGATTGAAGTACCTTTCCCCTTCAGCAGGCTTCAAGAACTCATTAATGGTGACAGACTGCGGCCATAAGAACAGTTCAAATGTTCTGATCAGCACATCGATCTCAATTATACATTGAGAACATTAAAAACTTATATTTATCTCTACTTTAAATGAGAATGAGAAAAAACAAATAGGATATAGACCAATGAGCACAGCAAATTCATTTCTTACAGCTAAGACTAACAGAACCCTATAGTTAAAAAGACAGAGGAGATGAGCTTTTTTTACCTTAAATAACACGCGTGCGCGCAGAGACAGAGAGAGAGAGAGAGAGAGAGAGAGAGAGAGAGAGGGACGAAAGAAGAGAAAAAAGTTGGGGGAAGAGAGAGAGAGAGAGAGAGAGAGAGAGAGGGGTGTTCATCTAAAACATCCAGAGCAAACAAGAAGACTCCATGAAAATTTGGGAATAATTGTTCATATTCCTTGTCGACACAGTAGTACAGTGGATCAAAATGAGCTCGAGCTCAATGACTAACTCTCCCGTTTCAAACCATTAGAACATTGCTGAAGAGAATCACAGCACGGCGAGATAAACATGAAATAACATATAAGAAAACATCTTACATCCTTGAAAGGTGGAAAGATCACTGGAAGAAATTACATTGGAGAAAGTGGTGATAAGTGATAACAATTCCTTGATCTTGACATATGAGAGGAGAAAATCCTAAAACAATTACCAAAAGACAAAAGAGCAGACAGTTGCCCATACAGGTAGAGCCCAGAACTTAAAATGGCATGCAATAAAATGTCAGAAATAGGCAAGGAACAAGAAAAGAGAGAGGGTCGTACCTTTTTAGCTTTCTCATCCTTGTCAAATGCCTCTTTCCGCTTATCCTTATCAGAACCCTTAAAAATTGAGAAAATAAAATAAAATTAGTCAATGATGACTTCACAAAATCAATGGGTTGCTAACTTTAAAGGGCACATTATAGGCTTCACCAATTTAATAAAGACATCATCTGTGCCCTTCTTGCTTGAAAGCTGCAGCATTGATTCGAACTCTTTAGCATCCACCTTTCTTTCCTCAGCTTTTTTGAGTGCCTGCAGGGCCCTCCTTTTCTCTTCCAACTTCTTCTCGTACTCTTCCAGAGTCATTTCCTAAATAGCGAGAAAAGAGAATACCAAAAATCATAAACTTTGAACCTTAACAAATTACTGACACCCATTGACACGAGATCAAATAAGGAGTTGGATCCTCAATATTCTGAGTCCCACAATTGGATTGCTCTTTCACTCTTAACAATCAGGCAATCACATCTTCAGAGAATTGGAGCTCATATAGAATACATTCTTTCATAAACATAAAGCATGCTAATTAATCTGGCTACAAATTTCCAAGAACTGCTAAAACATCCTAGAAGACTTCTAGACAGCAGCACAGCTCCACAACAACAGTCCAATACTTGTAAAGATAGTCGATCAGTAAATTCAACAGGCTAATCTGAATAAGAAACCTCAGACAGCCCAATTCAGAGAAGTTTAGGCAGTAGAAGGTCTTAGAGAAGCCAGTTGAATTTCCACCCTAGAGAAGCCATGAAGATAACAATAATCCAAATTTCCATGATTGTTCAGAGTTTGAATGAAAGCACCTAATATATCCTAAATGGTAAAGATTTCATCCTCAGTAACAACCAATTTGAATAAATGAGACATAGGAAATGTTAAAAAAATCAATTCTGTAGGTAGTATCCCTAGAACAAAGCCAAAAATAAAAAGGTAATACAAACAAAAACAAAAACATCTCTTTAATATAACATAAAAGTATTCACCTTCTCTTGTGGTTTCTTCTCTTCAGGATCATTAGCAGAGCTCTCCTTATTTCCATCTCCTGCTTCATCCTCTCCCACAGGCTTCTCATCACCCAAATTTTTCTCACCCTCATTGATAACTTCCTCAGACGCCCTAACAAGCAAAAATAAAAAATTAACAACTCCCCCCCAAAAAAGTTAGCAAATATTAAAATGCTTTAATTTATTTACGAAAAGCTTCGGGTTAATAACAGGGCACTCACTGAGTAATTTCATCATTCTGAGTTCCCCAGTTCCCACGACCAGAGCCCTCTCGTTTGATCTCATTTCTGCAGTTAGAAATAAGTCCGAATTAAATGAAAAAACACAGGCACAGATTGAAAGTAAAAATATTAATATGAATATCCACCCGCGTCCAGTTCCACTACGGCGCTCAAATGGCCGACGAGGACGTTCTCCATCACCAACTTCTCCATTAGTGAAACCACCATGGCGTCCACCACGGAAACCAACTCGAGGCCCACTATATCCATGCCTTTCAAAGGACTTCGCAGTATCTCCATCTTCAGGGGCTCCTTGATCAGCAGGCACAGCAGCATTGCTGAATGAATTCTCATTGTTGGAAGAGTCCCTCCTGTATCCACCACGCCCTCGCCCATAACCACGCCCACCACCGCGACCTCCCCCACGACCAGATTCATTCTTTGATTCCCTTACTATGGAAGTGAAAATAAATTGAAATCAGCGCAGAGAATGAACCAGTAGAAGGCCATAAAAATGAATGAAATTAAGAAGGATAAATACAAAGTTAAGCATGAATTATAACATTGTGTTTTACCTGATGTGATTGTTTTCATTAGTATGGAGTATGAGGCCATAGAATTATAGTTTTTATTGCTCAAGTTCCACTTCTACATGATCTACCAAATATCATGGTGAAATTAACAAAAAGATTGATGTAGTATATACCAGGAAAACTTATAGTTCACCTAAGAACAGGCGTTCTTATAATAACATCAATCTGACATTTCTCAGAAGATTGAACAATACTTGATACTACCAAATAATTTGAAGTGGCCGCCTTACAATAGAATAACTTAGCTAGACAGAGAAGCAAAGTTCAGTTTCATTGTATAAGAGAAGATGCAAAATTTTTGAAATTTGGGGGCATAGCAACACAACCAACCAAAAGGTACGATCTCTGCATAAAAGCAAATACTTTCCCATGAATTTACGCGTGCAAGTCTATGCAATCACTTGCAATAAGACAGTGAAGTAAATCTGACGACACCCTACAAAACGACACGGTCTTATACAAACACATGTCATGTCACTCGAAAAAAACACCATAAAGAAGTGAAACTCGGAAAAATTATTCCCCATAAGCAAACATCAGCAAGTAAGAGACTGAAACAAGTCAAGAAAGCTTACCAGCCTCAGCCGGAGGTAGAGGCTTGGAGGGGAGCTTGGCCGGCAGCTTAGCTTGAGGCTGAGACTGAGCCACCTGCTTGGTTTGAGGTTGAGACTGAACTTTCTTAGGCGCAGCGGCGGAGATGGCAGCGACCTTGTGCTGCTGAACTGCGACCAGCTGCAACGGATCTTCCGCATCATCATCACCCAACAAATCAAAAGGGTTCATGGTCGCCATTTCGAATGAAACCACCAGCCAACAATAATACCCTCAAATTCTCAACGATTCTAAGCGACCAGGAAACCTTAACTTAGCAAAAGCTCCATCATCTAAATATACAGATCTGTTAATAACAGCGAAATCGATTAGACAGAGACAGAAAGAAAGAGAAAAAGTTAAGAGAGAGGAAAAAACCCTAGCCGCAATGGAAGAGAGTGAAACCTAATTTGATATGCTCGGGATTTATTTTACTTCGACTTGTTGTTGCAGTTGCTTCTTGATGCTCTCTATGGAGCTCGTGTGGTTTGGTGTGAGACTATATAATATTGATATTTTTTGGTCGATATTCGAGACAGTGTTCACTTTGGTGCTCATTTTTTGCGCAATTTACGGATATGCCATCTTGGGGATGGGGACGTGGCAAGGGTGCGCCGGTTAGAACCAAAAAAAATCTAACATACATATAATTCAGTTTTTGGTTTGAATCTTCAGTAAATCGATTCAATTTTGATTTATGAGATGACCCAAATAAATTTTGCCCAAAAATTAAACTGAATCTATCGAAATGATCTAAAACAGAAACCAAATATTTATGGAAGTACCAAAAGTTGAATTAATAATATAAATCAAACCAAAAATGAAATTGTAAGTTTCCGGAGAACTATATTTTCCTAATCACTTACCATCCACCAAACAATACACAAAAGGATTTTTTTACATCACTGAAATATATTATTATTTTTTGTTGACATGTTTATTTGATTAAGTTAGAAAAAAAAAGTTAAATCATGAAGAAGTTTTACTAAATATCATAAAAATTCAATATGATATTTTTAAAATAAAAGTCATACAATACTGAAAAAATATTTATACTGGTATTGGATTAATCGTAAATCCTAAAGTCCAGGTTTGAACACCACTTAAACTAAATAAACCGAAAAATGGTTTTATGTTTGGTAGTTTTTGACAAAAGTTCATCGCGCCCAATAAGCACAGAAGGATAATGCATAAAAAAGGAAAAAGAAAAAAAAAAAAAAACATTCAAAATGTCCAAAACAGCTTCCAAAATATATAATGAAATAGTCTTCAAAATCCCATTATTACCATAGAGTCATAGGCAATAGGTTAGGAGGATTGGCAGAAAAAGGGAAGACGAAGGCCATTCACCCATTCCTTCCCTTGGTTCGGCTGACGCAAAGGATTTTACCAAATTCCTCCACATAACAGACACTTATTACAGAAGCGCTTCTCCATCTGCTTTCCTGAATTTCCTCAAAAAAAGAGAATTTAGACACTTTAGATATTGCAGTGGAAGATAGTAGCATGTCCATTGCAGGTGCAGGTCACAACAAAGTTGGTTCTCTTCTCAGCCCCACATGCCAGAAGATGATAGTGGGAACCAGAAGAAGAAAAATACAGGAGATGGCCTCACAAGTGACAACTACCATCTTCTGACATGCTATGTTTGAGACGGACATCTTTCTTTTTGCTGTTGCTTATACGCTAAGGGATGAGTTACCAGTTCAAGGGCACGGGAACTCACCAGCTACTTGCTCCAGCTTCCAAAGCAAAACCACAGGTCCTGTGCAACTGTTCCTCTTCACTAAATTGACCTTTACCCAACTTGTTAAAGATCAATATGAGAGAATAAATAAAGATAAAATGTTCAAGACATGGGTCAGGATCCACCAGTTGCGACTCTTTTAAAGTGACAAAATTGTAATTTATTCTTCTACACATTACAAACATTCTAAGGAGAGGAAACTATTAGATAAATTAATTCTATCGAAGATAAATGTGACAAATTTTACAAGCCTCAGAACACCATGGAGTTTTATGCTTCATCTTCTACTCCCCCTTAACCTACCTTTTTCTCTTAATAATTTGCTTTATTAATAAATGACTATATGGATGGTTGACAAAATCTAAAATCCTGGCAAAATTGAGAAATCTGCTATGCCTCTTGGCAGATCTGCAATTTTTTTCAGCAAAGCCAGCCGGTTATTCCTGATTCTTTCATCTTCCTGTTTGCAGGCAACGCAGATGTTAAGTAATAGCTCATCAATCATACAATAAAAAGAGAATTAAGTGTAAAAAATGCAGATTCGCCATCGCATTGTGCAGTTAAAATCGTGTCAGATATTCAAGGAACACCATTATGTTCCAAGTTGTAATTTCTGGTAGTGGATATAGGACATTAGTGGCATAATAAGTGAGTTCTGTAAAAACATACCACCATGACAAAGACATTGTTGAAGAAATCCTCGAGTGGGCGTATTAGTTCCGAAGATAGTTCCATAAACTCAGCCACCTCAATGCCTGTAACAAAGGTTTGTCAATTTCCAGTTAAAGTAGAATAATAATATAACCGAGAAAATTTTTGTACCAGGATGAATTTTGCTTTGTATGGACAAGAAAATGCTCCATAAAGCTCTCTCTTCAGCTGTCTCCAATGCAGCCTCGTCCACCTGATTAAACAATGAACAAGTTACATAATGAATAAGTGAGATTTACCTCACTCTTGCAGTTTTCAAAAATATCTTCCCTTTTAAATGAAGAGGTCATTGTTTATTTAATAAAACTGTATCATCTCTATTCTCAATCATTACTTTATTTGTTATGCACTGAAAATTTATTAACAAATTCCTGCTCCTAAATTTTTTTTTACACAACCAAACCAAGTTATCCTAGACTTTAAAAAGCCTCACAAGCCAGATGATTCGGGGTTGTATTAAAAACTGACATTTCTACTTTCAGGAATTTACCTCCATATTAGAGACCACATCCTTTCCACGAACAATTCTTGTTGGACGAGAATAAGCTTCAACAACCTTAGGGAAAAGGTTGCCTCTTGACAACGTTTCCATCTGGAACCAATTTTAAATCATCATAAAAACCATTCAAGAACATCAGAAGAACGACAGAATATTTTTTTTGTTCCTATATTTCCACAGCCATTTAATGCTGAAAAAGATATTCACTCCAAATGTTCAATAGCACAAATTTCAGCACTCTAACCAACATTGACTCAAAAACATTTTAGAGGGAAGAGTAAAAGAAGCAAGCCATTTACATTATATGCCGTCTTTGCTGCCAGACAAGGCAAGGTTGCACGCTCAGCAAGTACAGAACGAACAATTTCTGGACTTATTCCCTTGTCAAACTGTAAACAGTCAATATGAATAAAATATACTAGAATGTCAGTCACTTCTTTATAAGAGGAAGTTAAAATCTTGACCAATATCATTATGTAACAGTAGGTAAATAGTCTTTTAAGTTGCATGAGTTACATGACAAGAAACTATGAGATAAAAAGAGGTAAGATGGTCTGACAGGGAAAAGACCAATGCAGATAACTACCAGTCAGGTGTGAAAAATCAGAAAACCAGCAATCTTAGAGATCTATCTAATAATTCGCTTTTACTTAAAATCTTTTTGGCATCTTTTTTTGGAAGAAATAGAAGGTTCACCCTAATACCGTGTTCTTAATATCTTACAACTCTAATACCTTTGATTCAACACCAATATTTTATTTTAGATTTACTCTTTTTTCTTTTATATATTTGCATATTTTACTTCCCCTTTAACCTATCTTGTTGGGGGGATGCGCTTCACACAATTTTGATAATGTAAACTTTAATTTTTCTTTTTGGGTTTCTTACCATTCTTTTCACAATTTTATAACCCAACAGTAATGTAAACTTTAATAATTTTTTTCTATAGTTCTATAATAAAATCAAGCAGAAAACAGCATCTTTTATAAACTGATTAAGCACTCTTTGATGTCAAAAGCACACTTACCAGATACTGCTCTAATCTTCGAGTAACAAATGCATATACCTGAAAGAAGATTACAATCATCACATTCAATTGGCATATATATAGCAAACAGTCAAAGGTGCAAGTAAGGTAATCCAATATCAACTGCCACCGCTATACATATTGCATGTTTCTTTCATTAACAGTGCGGTTTTATGGAAGTCTGGAGGAACGAACGTTGTGAAGAATGCTACAATCTTGTGTTCTTAGAAGTTGCAGTCACTAGTCAGAGAAGAATGCTAGGGCATTTGCAGTTAAGGGCAGAGGATGCTGAGAAAAAGAGCTTCAGCTTTCTTGTTTTTCATGACCTGAAGACTGGAATATTTTAAGAACCACTTCTTGTGTGCCTCTTCTCTCTTGAAGAAAACTTCCAACAAAACTTTATTAATCCATTGCAAGAATCGAATTTTTTAATCTTCTTTTTCTTCTTTTTTATCAGTTGGTTGCATGTGAGTTCCATTCTTTTTTTTTCCCCCCTTATATGAAAGTTACAACTTGAACAAGAGAGGCAAAGCATCATGGCCAAGACAATAGACTTGGCAGCAGTGAAAACAAAATAGAAACAAAGTTTTCATAGTAATTCACGAGCAATTTTTTCTTACATCATCTATCACATGGCCATCCACTTCAAAAGGTTGGACATCAGCTGCAACTCTTAAAGCTTGAACCAAATCTAAATTTTTATCCTTTTCCACCAATATTTGGACCTAAACAAAGAACGCAGCATTAGAAAAAAAAAAAAAAAAAAAAAAAAAAAATCATCTATCACATGGCCATCCACTTTCAAAAAGGTTGGACAATCAGCTGCAAACTCTTAAAGCTTTTGAACAAATCTAAATTTTTTATCCTTTTCACCAATATTTGGACCTAAACAAAGAACGCAGCATTAGAAAAAAAAAAAAAAAAAAAAAAAAAAAAGGCCACTTGTTGATCCTAAAAAGCTGCATTGGACTGATGATCAATTAACTTACTAGACCATAAGAAATTCTTCGCTAGTCCCAAATGGATCAAAAAAAAAAAAAAAAAAAAAAAAAAAAAGCACTTGTTGATCCTAAAAGCTGCATGACTGATGATCAATTAACTTACTAGACCATAAGAAATTCTTCGCAGTCCAAATGGATCATTAGTGGAACTAGGCTGACAACCAGCAGCAAATAAGCCAACGAGGCTGTCTAATCTGAAGATAACATTCAAATGAATACCCCACAAAAGAGATCGTTATAGTTTGCAAGAGAACTGTATTTCAGATAACTAATGTCCTCACACACACTCCCAACATGCTTATGTGCATATCTGGGCATTAGGTTAGATGTTAATGTACATATTTCAGTTCTTAAGCTATTAGAGTCATTCATAATGAATTTAGCAATAAGAGGATTATATTAAGTTTTTTAGTGTGATTCATATGCGCATATCGTGTGAAAGTAAACTGGCTAGAAATAATATTTGACAATTATATTTAGTTTTTTAGTTGTACATAAGAGGATAATTATACTTGCATAAGCTTTCCACCTCTCCCAGCTGTTTGCTAATGACTTTACCAATCAATGGCAGAAAAAATGTCTATTTACAAGAAAAACACCAGTCCAGAATAGCATGGAGGCCTAATATAAAAATACTTAAATAATTCGCTATAGAAAAGATACAGAAGCAATGTTGTCAGTCATGACTTTAATTTCACCTGTCAGCAACTGCCAAAACCATTCCAACATCAGTTTTTGGAAGTACATCTCCAGAAAATCTGGGAAGCATGATTTCTAACAAGGACTCTGCAATCTGCAACAACAATAAGCACAAAAAAAAAAAAAAAGGAAACACACATGGTTAAACTTCAAGAAGAATACAGCAGACAAATGGTTAACGTTTCCCACAAACTTTGGGGAGGATTAGATGTAAGCAACTTCCTCTCACACAGCTAGAAGACTGTTTCTAACAATAAATAGAAGCAGCAGATACATTAAGAGGGAATTCAAGGACCTGCTCTGAGTAGCCATCTCTAAGAGCATAATGGCGTGCCATTATCCCAGAGAGGGAAGTGAATTCTGTGACAACTGCTGTAGCCAGATCTGACATAGCAAGCGATGCAGCATCGCGGACAATCTGAAGCATATCTTCCTTGATACCCAACTGTAAACTCAGTTTGGTCACCATGTTTTCAACGCGCATCATCTTGTCAAACATTGTTCCGAGCTTGTCCTGTTTTATCAAACACAAACACAAAAGCTATTAGAGATTTTATAGTGTCCATTTGTCAGAAAATGCCCGTTTATTGCATTTGAGCTGCTTTTGGCAAATATTTAAGTCCAAGCAAATGACAATTTTGGAAAAGCTAGATTTTTTGGCTTTTCGCAAACCATAATTTTTTTAAGCAGTTAAAAGAAAAAGGTAAAAAAAAAAAAACAATATTATGATGATATTATCAGAACAAGATAGAAATGTTTAAACAATCTTATAAAAAATTATCCTATTGACATTTTCTTTAAAAAATATATAAACTTCAAAATGCAAAATAATGTTTACATTCTGAGCTTCACAATTTGAAAGAGAGGATTTAGAAATTCCAGGATTCTTAATATCCATAACTCTTTCCTTTACATGCAACATAAATAACTTACATGAAAAAGAATCCCTTTTAGTTGACTCCGGAATTCTGAAAAGTTTTTACGTGTGTCCATCTCATAGAAAAATTTTGCATCTTCGTAACGAGCTCTGCACAGATAAAATGGCAAGTCTCTTGCAATACAAATTATATACAACAATTAACTAAAGCATATATAAGGAAAATTCTCAGTCAAATAAGGCTAAGGTGCTTAGAAATCCACAATGGTGTGTCCTTACCCTTGGAAAAGAAATACCTAGTCATTAGAGAGACCCATAATTACCTGAGCACGGCTTCATTCCCTTTGCTTACAATGCTTTCATCAATTGCTCCATTAGCCACCTACAGGGAAAATAATGTCACCTAATGATGTGTAAGGAACAACAAAGTTGAAAATTCGTAACTGGTAAGCACATCTCACGGCAATAAAGTGTGGCAGAAGCTTTCCACTACCATCAATTACAGCAAAATACTTTTGGTGCTTCTGCATGACCTGCAAAACACCGTGCATAGTTACAACTCGTTGCACACTTAATCGAAGCATGAAACATCTTTACATCATATTTACCGTTTGCACACTGCAATAGAACCCAAACTCAGAAATCATGGCTTGTGGAAGCAAGACATGACCAAGTTGTTGCATTTGGCTCACAAGGCTAAAATTGAACTCATCAATTCTCCTTGCAATTAACATTGCCAGCTTTAATAATGGTATGCTTGCTTTAATTTTATCATCAATTCAGAAATGCAAAGATACTTTACTGGACTTTTTTCTTCTTCCTGGGATCAGGGTCTATTCATCTAAGACCTCCACAATTAATCCCACAAGTTTTAATACTAAATATTGATAGTGCCTCTGACACAATGTCATAGTTAAAATCCAGTTTAGAAAAAATTGCTGCTTGGAAAGTCATCGAAAACACAAAACTTTGTTTTGTGAATCCCACAAAAAATATAGGAATAACAAATAAGGAAGCTCCGAAATGCTTGCTTATCAGTTGGAATATGATGTTAGATCTTCAATGATCTCAGTTTGCAGTTTATCAATACAAACAATGCATACACCAAATTAGCATTGAATCTTCACTTATTAAACAAGATTACATTACAGAGCACCACAAAGAGCCAAAAATGACAATTGCAATCAAGCCTTTGAGGTCAAACAGCATACCATTGTTAGAAGATCATCTGGGAGCTCTAAGAAGGACTCTCTAAACTTCCCAAGTACTGGAACTGGTGCCTCAACAAGATTTACAACCTAAAGCAATTATGCAGAGAGTTTAAATGCATGCTTATTCTTAACAAATTCCAAGTAAAGAGAAAACAGTTACCTCATTAAGTAAGCTTTCTTTAATAAGTACATGTCCATTGACACTTTTTGCTAGTTCTTTGGAGCGCTCCACTATTCTTTTCTTTCGTTCCTGAGAGGAAATTAAATTTTTGCTCCAGTTAGGTACTTAGTATAAAACTATTATTAAAGCAGGAGGAAAAACAAAATAAGATGTAACACATCAATTCTGATACCTCTATTTCAATATGAATTCCAGCATTTTGCATTATACTCGTATAAGATTCTGCACTTTCAACCTGTGAAAATTTTGCAGTCATGAATGAAACACTACAGTAAAAGATATTATACATATTAGTGGATAACCAAGATAATGCATATACAATTAAACGTAAAAAATTTGACAGAGGTCTAAAAAATATTCATTCATCTCTTCCGTGGGAAATGATATACCAACGGAACATTGGAAAACCTCCTCCAAAATACCTCTCAAGGACACCCCATTGCTTCTAGGAAGCAACAATGTAAACTTTTTAACATAATAATAAATGATTACTATATATATATATATTAATATATATTTCTCAAGGACACCCATTGCTTCTAGGAAAGCAAACAATGTTAAACTTTTTTAACATAATTTAATAAATGTTTACTATATAATATTATATTATATTATATATATATATATATATATATATATATATATATTGCAAGTCAAACTAATGAGAGATGAACTTTTTATTATGGAGGTACTTCTCATACAAACCTGAATAGTAGCTGAAGGGGTATTGCGAAGGCCATAAGATATGTTTCCACTACATTAGCAACAGCAAATTTTTAATTAAAGGATGCACCTTTTACATAAAAAGAGTTGAAGCAGATAAAGATAATTAGATGCATAAAGTTTATGGATCACTCTTCTCAAGCAGAAGTATTGAGTATTGATTGCTTTGACCCTTCCAGGAAAGGTGCTTTAAGAATTTGTTCCAGGTGACTTGTTTATGCAGAATATCACAATTATTACAACTACAAAGGTGTCCCATTCATGAGCCAATACAGGGAAGTTAGTACTTCTGTCATTTCTCATGTATTGATTATCACATTTGTGGATGTCATAAAGTGATGTCATGTTCATAGCCCAAATAGGCAAGCAGTTGAAAACACCAATTGAAAACAAGATACCTTACTCTAAGAAAACAGCTTGGTATTTATGGATAATGAGATTCATAATGTGCTATTATAAGCTTTGAAAATGTTAATGTAGCTTAGTCCTTTCCTACCAATTACAAATAAGATTGTTCCTAGTTTTGGATTTAGATTGGGATTTGGCTTTCGGCAGTCCTGGCTTCTCAACTTATAAACTGCCAATTAGCTGCTCATTCTACACGACAAAGGTTTAAGACACAGAAGAAATAGGCAGTAAAAAAACTTTAACATTTGGTGAGACAAAAACAAATCCAGCTAATCCAGTTACTATATGATGTTCAAAAAAAATGTTAACACCACACTAATTTCCACTTGAAAAATAAAGATTCTACTCCAGGCGGGTCATTATCTCAATAATTTGTACAGCATTACCCCAGCCGAAGTTAAGCCAGTTTATTGGACATGCAACTATGAAAGCAGATCGGAGAGAGAGAGAGAGAGAGAGAGAGAGAGAGAGATGAACATCAGTAATTATAAATACCTTAAAACTCCAGCAAACAAAAATGGAACAACTACATCTCCATGTAAGGCCATAATCCAACGGATTGGCCTGCTGAACATAACCTATATGGCAATAAAAGTTCAACATATTGGAAAAATAAGTAAATACATTGCAAACTGCAAGGTGTATTTTCACAGCTATATTCTTCCCAAAAAAATTTCATAAAGAATTGAAGACCTCTGAATAGAAATCAACCATGCATACCTGAGAGTTCCAGCGCATGGACTTTGGGAATGATATTTTACTGATGGTAACTGGCAAATCTTCAGATAAAATCTAACACAACATAAGAAATAACATTAGTGCAAAGAAAGGGAGAAATTGTAAACCAAATGAGAGTAACATGTGGATTAGCCTGACTCTTATATGTATTTTTAATTTCTCTCTTCTTCCGAATTAGCTTGTATCTAGTTTCAAAAATCTTCAGAAAGAATTGTAATGCCATAAAAATATTCAACTCCATCCTCTCCCACAGAACCTCCCCTTAACTCTTATCTGTACTTTTAAGGAATCTGAATTGTTCATAACAAAAAGGTTCAGAAAATATAAACAGCAATAGACCCATGCCAAACAAAAGGGATAAAAGTTTTCAAAAACCAACCATCTCATTCTCTATATGAGAGTACTATACGCAAAATCCAACACATGCTAAGACCCACTCAGACAACTCAAAAAAGAGATCATATTTAGAACCTCTAAAGCAAGTCGAGCAGCCTCTGTCACACGGACATAAACATATTCTGTTTTCCCTGCAAAGAAAAGAAATTGGACCATTTGAGTGACTTTTGTCTAGAATGGACACTAAATTTTCTGTCCCATTAAACCAATTCCTTTCTTTCGAAATAATCCCCCCACCCCCAACCCCCTATGGACACTTAAATTTTCTGTCCAATTAAACCAAAATTCCTTCTCTTTCGAAAATAATCCCCCCACCCCCAACCCCCTCCCCCCCCCCCCCCCCCCCCCCCCCCCCCCCCCCCCCCAAAAAAAAAAAAAAAAAAAAAAAAAGAAAAAAGGAAAAAGAAAGGAAAGAAACAAATTCCACTAGGGAAATTTCCTGAAGTTCTTTTGTTCCCTTTTGAAACAGCTCTGTATTCCTTTTCTAAACACACTGACATCCTGGATATATGGAAAAAAAAGAAAAAGGAAAAGAAAGAAAGAACAAATTCCACTAGGAAATTTCCTGAAGTCTTTTGTTCCCTTTGAAACAGCTCTGTATTCCTTTCTAAACACACTGACATCTGATATATGGAAAAAAAAATAAAAATTCAAGCTATGGATGCAAAAATCAACAAACATGGACATCATTAAGAAGAGCACAACAATGAACTAATGAATGGTAGGTGAGTGATGTGATTGACTACACTATGAGAGGATAAAATATAAGAAACATTTTCAAGTTAATCAAACAAAATTAGAACAGAGAAAACACAGCTTATTGGGAAAGAGTAGGATGACTGAACAGCGTCCAATAACATGGTACAGAGTTGTCAAATATAACATGGCACAAAGTACAAACTAAGCCCACAAAATCCAAACAGTGAAACTGCACAGCACAATGCAAACCTGTCAAAAGCAAATATGGAGAAATTTTTGGATTCGAACTAATATTTATGCATGTACTTAGGCAGACTCACCATCGACCTTTCTAAATATCGAGTCCAATGGTACATTGTACCTACGGCAAAAGCCCTCAGCAGCCTGACATGAAATAACAAGCTAAATGTTATTCGGCTAGTCACAATGAATAAAAAATATACAACCTATTTCATTGAAGGAAAAGGAAAAGAAAATTCAAAAAAAGAAGCATTATAATTATAATGAGAATGCTACATTCCAAAAGCTTATTTCCTCTTGTGTTTTCTATAGGTAACAAATTTATTAACAGACAAGAAAAGCACACAACACGAATACAGATTAGCTTCAAATCTACATGGTAAAATATAGCAAATAGGAAAAACCTTAGTAGGATTTCCTTGTTCATCAAAAGCCTTCAGGACAGGAGGCCCTCGAACTTCAACTTCATTCCCTGCTTGCTTAGTGCAAAGATTCTCAACACAAACCTGGAAATGCAAGACCAGCTAATGTTATAAACATTCAGATTTCCACCAAATGAGAAGGACAGATAAAGTAAAAGAATTTTGTACACAAATTCTCAATTTTTCAACAGGTGCTACCATAGCGAAACAGCTTTATATAACCCACAAGTAACTAACTGAAAAACAATTCTTCACAGAAAAGTTTGCATAGGTAATGGTAAGGAATAAGGTTCCCATGTGGCAAAGTCTATGAGAACATATGAAGCATCATTCTACATGATTAGCTAAGTAGGTTAAAATCAAAACTAAACTCTCTTTTCCATAAGAATACATAGCAAGGAATAATTGTGTTATATATCATATGGCTGGTGAATCGCATTACTATGAATATTTAGTGATACAGCAAACTACTTGATACTAAGTGCATAGCTCCAAGTTGGACACTAACTTAATACCATAATAGCATACAAGAATACCCAATTATCATAGCCAGGAACACCATCCGCATAAAAGATCTAGCAATTGTCAACAGGACACAAAGAGAGGTAGCAACAATAGTTATACCACTAATCGGCGAGGAGTGCCAAAAGCTTGCACTTTACCATGGCTCAATCTTTGTTTTTCTAGTAATTGTAACACCAAATCTTTAAGCTGTAATAAGCAGCAAGCAGAGTTAGCAAACGACCATTAGATTAGAAGTTTATAACCATTGATTAGTACAGCAGGCCATGCTACATATTGAATAAAGTATCAAGCAAAAAATAAAGATTTGAGTACAAACCAAGGAAATAGTTTAGAACAAAAAATAGCAAATGCATTTAATCAAGAATGACGAGAAAAAGCCATAAAGCATAGATTGGAGAAAGTAACATGTCACGTGCTTCCAATGGAACCATATCATACTTGCTGACTCGCATGATCTACATCATGGGGAGGCATTTCTTCCGTTCCAATTTCAAGAACAAATGATCTTGGGTTGTCATGCACCTGTTATATAAATAAGTAATTAAGAATTTTCATAAAATTTAAAGTTTTGAAAAACCATATATTCACGAGGAAATAGAAGCACGATAGTTTTATCTGCAAGGAATTCATAATAATACTATGCTAGAAAATATTAACCCGTAGGGATAAGGGAAAGAAATGCAGATCCGTTTTCGCTGGTACAGGTCTGTGTGTCACTAGGGTGGATGGTGAACAAACCTTTTTGACTGCTGCCTCCAAAATGTCTTTAGGACATACAAGATGATTGGTTCCAGAAACAGTACCCAGTGGATGTCCAAGAGACTCTCTTGTCTTTAACCAGAGTTGGGCACATTGTCGAGCTAAACTGATGACAATCAAAGAGAAACAAGCAAGCACCAAGATGGTACTGGTTTATAAACAGTTTTGTGCCAAACAAAATATTTTCTACAATTGTTGCAGAGTCAATTTTATTTTTTATATTTATTTTTACGTTTTTTGAAAAATTATATGTCAGTTTAAAATGTTAATATCAAAATGCCAGAATATGACAATCTAAATGACCAGCATTAGATTTTAGGCATTTAGAGTACAAATAAAATTTTCTCATCTTCGTTTTAATTTTTCATATAAAAAGATTACTGCTCTTTCTAATAAAGGGAAGTTTCTAACTGGCACAGTGGAATAATTTGGAAAGGTAAGCTCACCTACGCATTCGACCAAAATAACGAGCACGCTCAGTTACCCCAACAAAACCTCTAGCATCTAAGATGTTGAAAGCATGAGATGTCTTCAGAAGCTGATCATACCTAGCATGTTGAGCAACATCAACTTTAAGAAAACACAGAATATAATCTGAATAATACAGAACGAAAACAAACTAAAGGTTCTCAAACATACGCAGGGATGGCAAGGCCTGAAGCAAGCAAGGAACGTGCTTCTTCCTCAAAAAAGTCGAAGTGCTTTTGAAGATGATGAACACTAGCGTGTTCTAAATAATATGCACTCATTTCCTTCCTGAAACAGAACTGTAATATATTCATGGTTTGCGCTTTTTATGTACCTAGATACGGGAAAACGCATTAAAGCAGCAGCCAGGGGCGGAACTAGTGGAGCCTTGAGGGGGCACAGCACACCCAAGAAAATTTTTTTTTATATAAAAAAAAGGTTGCTTACGAAAAATTACATTTAGATCCCTAAAAATATATAAAATTATATTCTGCGCCCCCAAAGTTTCAAAAAAAAAAAAAAAATCGCACCCCCAAACAATTTTTTCTGGTGTCACCCCTGGCAGCAGCACATTCTGAAAAGAATAATATGTACAACATGCAATCCAAGTGAAAATGAGGTTTATGAGAAAAAAAAAAGTTCATTTACTCATTTTCTAGGAACAACTCTCCGTATGTAATTCCATCAGCATACTGAATTTTCTTAAAATGATCAACTCCCTGCCAATTAATGGTGAAGTTCAGCTAAGGTTACAAATCTACAAAAATAAAGAAAGAAGGAGGACATAAAGGACAGAAAGTTGACCTGAAGCAACATTAGTATGCGCTCAAGGCCATAAGTGATTTCAACAGATATTGGTGACAATTGAAGACTTCCAGCCTAATGAGAGAGAGAGAGAGAGAGAGAGAGAACACCAAAATATAAAAGGGAAGCAGCACAAAAACTCCATAAATCATGGAAAAGATTAAGTTCTACATCAACCCAGAAAACTAATCATCCCGAACCTAGATTCAAACTCACTGGGAAAAATATCACACCAAGTTACCTATAGAGTATTAAATCCCAAAACAGAAACATAACTCAAAAAAAGGAAAAAACCAAAATCTTTAATGAACTGCAAATGCAGTGAGAACCTGCTGAAAGTAGGTGAACTGAGTGATCTCCATCCCGTCCATCCAGATTTCCCAGCCTAAACCCCAAGCACCAAGAACCTAAAAGCATTCAATGTGAAAAAAAGTCAATTTCCATGTCACCAAATGGCAATAAACAAGATTAAATAAAAATAATAAAATATGCAATTGTCTATTTGAAAGATGATATTACTGGGCTCTCCCAATTGTCCTCCACAAATCGTATATCATGTTCACTAACATCAATACCTGTCATAAACAAATGATGAAGCCTCTATCAAAAGAAAACAGGGAAAAGAAGGCTAACAGAAGAATGAAGATGAAATTCCACAATGAACAGCATTGTACGTGATCCACAGAACCCTGCTATTTGTTATGACATGTTGCAACTCCTAGTTCATCCAAGTAAACATAACCTATGATCTATGCGATACAACATAGAGTAACACAGAGTAAAGATATATAAAATTCAATTCCAAAAGAAACTCCCATTAATCAACTCCAATTTAACCTCGCTTTAACCTGAAATTGTGTGTGGCGTTGAAGCCTGTTTGGGTTTTCCCCATAACGACTATCATCTGGGCGGATACTAGGCTCCACATACCTGACATCAGAAACTCTCAAATAAGCAGTTACAAAGCGAGCTTCACAAAACTATCTTCACCAATCAATACAGTAGACCAGAAAACAAATAGAATTAATTCAAATTCAGAGAATTGTAGACAAATCAATTACATAATTCAACAATAATTTTTGACAGAGCAACAGATGAGCCAGGCACCAAAACTAAACGGAGTTATTTGTGTGCAGTAAACCAACACCCCTTGGCAAGTATTTACTCGCTTTAAGTTACTGTACCAAGCAACTTTATGTCATTTACTGATGAAAAAAGGGGAAAAAAAAGGATGCAGGAAACTTCAAATAAGCTTGCATCTCAAGTATACTTACGCAACATTCCATGGTTCTGGACCGAGAACCCTTAAGAAGGTCAGAGGATTCATAGTGCCAGCTCCAACCTGCTCGACATAGCCAGAGACTCAAACAGCGCACAAGTAATTTGCATCCAATAGGTAAGAAAGGAAGAAATAGACATTATCTAGTGGAAGCAGTCCTTGAACGTTTACCTCTGTGTTGCTGCACTGCATTACCGCACAACCAACCGAAGCCCAATATTCCTACAAAATTTATGCAATGAAAAAAAAAAAAAAAGGAAATGGGGAGTAGTGGTTTCCTAATTAACTGAAGCAATACTAGGAATTTGACCTGAAGTCTCTGAATGGCTTGTTGAAACGTGGGGACGGAAGCTTTTTGAGGCTCATTGTTAGGGCCAGCTGACGAATGTTGTTGAACTGGAGAGGTGCTGATTGCAGAGACAGTGGTTCTGATGAACTGGCGGCGATTCAAGCCTAAGCAGCTCGGGCTTGACCTGCCGGGAAGAGGGAGGAAGCAGAAACTACCGGTTTTGGGTTTTAGAAAGGAGACAACTAGAGGGAGAGCAAGGATTGCCATGGCAGCCCCTCTTCCGTCAGAGGTTTCCAAGTACCTTAGCCACTTTTTTTTGTATCTATATAACTATAGAGGGACGGCCAAATTTTGGAGCATAGTCTACCAATTATTTACCAAAATTTGTATTCTAGAGTCAACTGAAACTAAATTTTATTCAAATAAAAAAATAAAGAAAAAGAGTTGCAAGTTTATATGCATAAAAGCTCAATATGTCATGTTTTTTACTTATATATGTGTGTATTTGTATTCCTGAGACACAGAGGTCAACTGAAACTAAATTTTATTTCAAATAAAAAAAATAAAGAAAAAGAGTTGCAAGTTTATAATGCAAAAGCTCCAATATTCATGTTTTTTTACTTATATATGTGTGTATATATATTAATATATATAAATAATTCTCTTTGTGATTCATTTTTATTTCAGAGTCCCATCCAAATGAAAATACCAAATAAAAAAATCTCCATAAAAAGATCCCAAATTATTTCTCATTTTTGTTAATAGATATTTAATTAGTACGAGGAAAGATTGAAATTGTTATATAAAATCAAAATCTTTTTAAAGGATTTTATGCTCATTTAATATCCTTCCAATTTTGCTGTTATTATTCTTAGTTCTTAAATTTAAAGTTTCTTTTACTTTTATTTATAAAAAAAATAAAATTTTATTTTTTGAAATAAAAATTGACCAAAAATCAAATTATCATCTTAAATTTTCTCATAAATTTAAAATTGAGTTACCCAGGATACTTTTTTTTTTTTTATTTGACCACATCCAATGAAATAATAAAAAATAGAAAAAGAAAATTATTTTATTTTATGTAATAATTTAATTAGTCCAAAAATGAAAATTGTTATAAAAGCAAACTTTTAAGGATTTTTGTCTTTAATTTCAATTTTCGTTATTATTGTTTTAATTTAAAGTTTCTTTTACTTTTTATTTAAAAAAAATAAAATTTATTTATTTGAATAAAATATTGACCCAAAAATCAAATTATCATCTTAATTTTCTCATAAATTTAAAATTAGAGTTAACCGGATACAATACAATTATTATAGTTAGGGAGTAATATGGAGTAATTATCTTTCAAAATCTATTTTACAATGCAATTAATCGCAAACTTGCATAGGACTGTTCATTTAAAAATAGTGTAACTGTAACATGTTCCAAAAGTATTGTTAATATATATATATAGTAGCTATGCAATATTATTAAAATTCTTAATTTTAAAAACTATGATGGTAGCTAAATGGATAGTGCTTTAATTGGTTTTCTCATTTTGTACGAGGAGTAAAAAGTTTTAAATTTGAATCATTTTGACCATTTTGTATTTTCATTAATTTAATGAATCAAGAAGAAAATTACTCTCTATTGTGTAGTCAGCAGTGTAATTTTGAACCTTAAACTGTTAGATTTTAGAGTCCGCATAATTATTGGATCATTATTTTTTAGTAACGTAGTTGTTTTATAATATTGTAGCATAGATTAAAAAGAAAAAGAGAAAATTTCAGATATAAAAAACACCGTAACAGAACGGTGCCGGATAGACTGTTTATCAGTATCGCGCTTCCTGTGATTAGTCACTAAACACGCGCCACACATCGCTTTGCAAGAAATACTAGATTAAGTTTTAGCGATGAATTAATTTTCCTTTGGGCGTCTCTATATCGATACGGAGAAGTCTAAAACGGCGGGAAAAAATGGCCCAAGTGGAAGAGATATTGATCGAAGTGGAAGCGGTGCAAGCAGTGTACGGAGACGATTGTGTGGTTGTTGATTCATTCCCTCCCTATCTTCACGTCCACGTCAAGCCCCGAACTGCCGATGTCTCTTCTCAACAGGTCTCTCTCTTTTCCTCTTGATTTTAATTTCTAGGGTTCGGACGATGGCATAGAAAAGTTTTGTCTTTTAGCCTGTCTGTATCCTCTTGTAAATGGAAGTTCCTTATATACGTTCATTTTACAACGTAATCAAAAGATGTTAAGAGCTAGGTTTCCTACAAACAAGCAATTGCTGGCACTCTCTCCACAACTGTGCAATTATTCTCGATTTCATTTCCATCTCTCAGTCTGTCTCTATATTACAATATATAATTGAATCATTCTATTTCTGCAGTTTGTGGAAGCAGTTATTGGGATTCGAGCAGGTCCCCAGGTAGAATTTTTTACGGCACTTATTAGATATTAATGCGATGCTTATATGTTTCTTTTGCAATTAATCGGCTCTAGATTCTCCCTTACTTGGGCAAATGCTTGTGAATGCATTGCTAGGTCGCTCATACTTACCAGAAATTCAGAATAATATTGTATGGGCATTTAGGTTTTATTTGTTTACATACTAACTATTGTCTAATTGTTTGTGCTAGTATCCAGAGAAACCACCCTATATAGATCTCATTGAGTCTAAGGGACTCGATGAACAAAGGCAGAAGCATCTAGTAACCAGCATACGAAACAGAGCATGCGAGCTCTCCTCATGTTTGATGCTTGTAGCACTTTGCGAGGTAATTATTGCTATATTTTATTTGCACTGGTGTCATTACCTCACAGTGTCACCCGATAGAGAAAATTGCATTACAAACATGATAACTGGTATCCATTGCATATGCCATATGGATAGGTGGTTGTTTTAAGTATACAGTAGTTATGTGACTCTAATACCTGTAGGCAGATATATAGTTATGTGACTCTAATACCTGTAGGCAGATATATAGGGTTTAGCGCTGTTATATTTTTCTTATTCTTTTAGAAAATTAGGATTAATGTTAGTTTTTTGGTACTTCATATAATATTTTCTTATGATTTGTGTAGTCTCTTTTCTCATATATATATATTAAAAAACTCATCCTCTCTAAATAATAAAGTTTTGCATAAATATATTTTCAGAATGTCTTTTCCTTTATTGATAATGCCAAGATGTACTAGATAATACTTGTTTTTTCCTTGATTGATATATGTAGTTGCAAAAATTGATTAAAATGTATTTCCAGGAAGCAGTGGAGGAGCTCTCTGTTATGAATCACCCTGAAGGTAATTGTCCATTGTGTTTGTGCCCTTTGGTCCTCGAAGATGAACAGAATGAAGCCTTACCATTTATGAAGCTGATGTCTTGTTTCCATTGCTTTCACAGGTAGGTTCTTGATTCTTTTGTTCTAGCTAATATTAGGCATATTTGGTGCATGCTCTTTTACCCTTCCCTTTTTCCATTTTTCTCCTCTAAATTATAGTAGTCAACATGTTATAATATCCTTTCTGCTCCCCTCCCTTTAAATTATGACAGTGAATGCATTATAAGGTGGTGGAATTGGCTCCAAAAAGAGAGAGAGAGCAACACTAATACCTCATCTACCTCAGCTCTTCATTGCATCAGAGATGGGGAAAATGAGAATGGTATGTTTGGGTCAGAATTTAAGGTGGAAAGGTAGTGTCCATGCTTAAGTAGAGTTTCATGGGAGAATTTGTAGAACAAAAACATTTACTTCAGCATAAGGGGATCGTTCAATTTTATCAGAGTGCAGGGCTTTGAACTTTTAATGAATGTAAATGAAATAAGAAGTAAACATTTGTCAAATGTGAGTGTTTTCTTAGTACTTGATGCCAATGTATGTTGTAATTTGACTTGTGGTCTCACCAACTGCATTTTGCACAATTGAATGATTTGGCTGGCTAGTTGATAGGACATCTAAAAATTCAAGATTATATGCTTCATATTGATTATACACTGGTATGCTTGTGGCCCAAAATCACGTGTGTGATACTATTGATTGATTTGTAGGGTTACAAATTATCAGCTGTTTTTGCAAGGACATTTTAGGTTGTTATGAGATGCTCTTTTATGGTTGAAAGCTGATCATAAATATGTGGAATTACGATAGCCTGCCTGCAAAAAGAAAAAGGGAAAAAAGAAAGAAAATTGACATTGTTATGGCTTTTTTCATCTAAACATATTCTTATAGATATTTCTATTATCAAGATATTAATTTTTTGCAATGGACTGGTGTTATTAGACATGCAAGGCATAAATGAAGAAAGTATGGGAAATTGTCCAGTTTGCCGTAAGGTTTTCCATACCAAGGATTTTGAACATGTTCTTGGCTTGGTTGGAGCGCATCGCACTGAGTTGGTATGCTATCTATAATCATAAATAGTAATTTTCATTCATATTTCTTTTTATTAAGGTTTGCCATTCCCCTTTAAACTGGGGCCAAATGAGGTGTGCATATGTGTGTTTTTTGCTGTTCAGTCTTGGATATTTATAGTTAACTTGAATATTTTTGTTGTCTCAGAGCTCTGACAGAACAGAAGTCGAAGATGAGAAGCTACTCCAGTCTGATTCAGAGAACATTAGAAGACAGAAGTTTGAGGCCGTACTTAAACTACAAGAAGAAAACAGTGGCCTAATTGAACCGAAAAAAAATCTAGTTGTTTTACCTGGTATGTATCTTCCTCAGTCAGTCAGGCAGCCTACCCAGGCATTGGAGAAAGAAAACGCTGAGGAACAGCAGAGAGACTCAACAGCTGGCTCAACAGAAACAAATTCTGGGGTCTTGTCAAATAGACCTAGCTCCAGTGAGCACAGGAACACGGGGAGGAGGAAGCAGAGGATTCAAAACTCAAGAAAACAAGTAAGACAATGGGTAAGAAAAGGTGATGGTGCTTCAAATAACTAGATGGTACAGGAATTTTTTTCAAGATATATTTTCCTTTTGCTAAATAACCAAATACATTAGTTTCATGTAAAAGTCCATAGGCAATATGTGAGGATTGCGGAAATCTTGTTCTGTCTATTATTGTTGCGATGAAAATCTGTAGACTCATTTCCTATCTTCATACGGCTTTTGTATTCTGAAATCTTTCTACTCAAAAATATTCTTCACACTGACGTATGGATACTGGGTTTATTAGATATTGAAATAAGTGCTGAATTTTCTTCTCCAAGTTCAGGGCACCTCACTCGCTCTTATGGCAGTGAGGTAGTGAGACGGACATCATGTGCACTGGGTTGGCCTTTCTAGTGACCATTGACCATGGCATTCAGCTCATTGATTCAATATTGCAATGGCCCTCTGGGCCACAAATAATCCAGAGAACTCACCTGCACTATAATGAAAATGCATTCAAATGACGTTTTGTATTGTGTTTGGTAGTGAGAGGAAAGCGGGTACATAATGCAAGTAAAATGCAAAAGAATAATATCCAGTATACCCCTCAGGCTGTAGAGCGTAGAGTTAGGTTTTTGGCTTTCTGATAATCAAATTTGTATTAAGTTTTTGGCTTTCTGATAATTAAATTTGTATTCTCACATTTACTGGAGTCGGCGGGAATTAGGATCACTTACCACTTCAAATAACAAATGATCTCTATTTTTTAATGCAAAAAAAAAAAAATATGTACTAGGTAATGCTTGGATTAAGCATACTTAACAATCGCAAATGCTATTTACAAATACCCATTGAAAGGCAGTCTGACAAAAAAAGAATATAAACCCATGTTTGACTAGAACTTGCAATTTATTGGAGTATTTCATTTGTTGGCCAAGCTTAGATGGTGGGCACCAGGCTATAGTACAATGATTGTGTCTAATAATGATTTGATAACGAGGCAACTGGCATTTACCATTCGGGTTGATACTAATTGTCTCATCATAATAAAGAAACATACTCAAAACCTTACAAACTCTATTGGCTGATAAATTTTAGTGGGCACTTATAATTTGTTTTTGTCCTGCATGTACATATTCAACGGCTCAGAAATAAAAAAATGGCATAACAACAGTGACAAAATGTATTTAGTGTGATATAGAAAGAAATAGTATCATTTAATCATCGTAAACAAAAAAAAAAAACAAACTCATTAATGATAAGCGAATATGGAAATTGCCATCTTTCATAAGACATGGACATCTTCGATACAACTTTTTATACCCTTTTTGACCCTCTTTCTTTTTAAAGTTATACAAGTGAATCATGCTAATCACGTAATTTCATCAAATTGTTCATAATATTTTCAACTGGTCCAGTGCGGTGACTTATCCATAATATACACATGAAGATATTTTAGAGAATTTCATTCACCACTGAGAAAGTTGTGTTAAATACAAGTTGGGTAAATATATTTTTCAACTAAAAATATATTTTATTCCCCTACTATTGGTAAAATAAATAGAAAAAATGCAAAATCACTCTTTTGCAACTAAAGAGCTCCACTAACTGGGCGGCCTGTCAATCTCTAGCAGAATGATAAAATAATATCCAAATCCAAAGACATAGTTATATATAACCTCATCCCTCCAAACAAAGGCACCAATCATGCAATGAAAAAGGCAATTTCTTTAATTTTATAATCACTTTTCTGCTTGTTATGATTTGTCTCCGACCCGCAATCTTAATCATGGTATGGTTTAAGATCATACTTCTTTGTCTATTTCTTAAATGAAACTTCAAAGTTGCGACCAACCCTCCGAATACATTAAATATTATACTATATAATTTCTCAATCTCATGCTTCTATGCCGACAAATCTTTCTATTATTATTATATTGGTGTTACCGACAAAACCATCACTAGAATATCATTAGAAGACCCTTTTGGTTATCAATACAAAAAGCAAGAACTTTCCAGTTTGATTGGGAAGCTTTTTCCATTTTATACGCGGGTCAGCATCTAGATCTAAAGATTTCTGAAAATAAAGTTCCAGTCTTTTAATGGTTGGATTTTCACTTATCAAGATTTCAAATTTCTTGATTTGTATATCAAAAATTTCTTCGTCGACTTCTTCTTCTTAGCTATAAGTAATGTCTGACTCTAATGACAGGATGATAATCTCGATTTCGGATTTGAGCTCCATATACCAGATAAAATTTAAAAGGAAAAAAAAAATTATAATTGTAATGCATTCAATTGTAGTTTTTTAATTGGGGGAAAGGGTGAGGTGAAATTATTTTCCCCTCCAGTACATTGAGTTGTCCAAAACAGACCGGTAGTTCATCGTTTCATCTAAAACCCCTTCCTTCTCCTGTCTTTCTTTTCCTAACTGCAATATGTCTCTATCATGCTATATTAGGAGTAGGACCCAGTTTTCTTAAAAAATAAAAAATAAATAAAAGTAGGACCAAGCCAGTGAAATTTATATTTATTTTATTTTTTTCTACTGTAATTTAAACCTGAATATATGTAATATACGTACACTTACTATTAAATTATGTACACTTACTGTGATTTTATGATAAAGTGTTTCAAGATTAATACTGTGTTTGAATAGTTGCGGGGCTCGTCCTTTGTGCTTTCTTCTGAAAACAATTGAATGAGCAGTCTGGATTTTCTCGTTTTGACCCCCAAGATACTAGAAAAATGGTGACCTTTCACTGAGCTTTTTACCCTTTTCTTTTTTATTTTTTATTTTTTATTTTGTCACACCCTTTTCTCTTTTCTGCTTCACTAACCTTATACAGCAATTGCTATTACCCAACATCTCAACGTAATTTCCAATTCACTTTTCCTTTCAAGCAAAAGAGAGAAAATATCTACGTACCTCTCAAACTACATGCTTTCATTGGCTACATTGACGACACATCAAAATAAATATACACTCTCGGACATGAATTAGATAGTTCGGAAAACATATCACGGTATTTTTTTTATTTTTTGCCATTTCCATCTCCGAGCATTTAAAATTTTTCCATTTATAAAAAAAAAAAAAAAAAAACACATCAAAATAAATAATACACTTCTCGGACAATGATTAGATAGTTCGAAAAACATATCACGGTGTATTTTTTTTATTTTTTTGCCATTTCCCATCTGCTCCGACAATTTAAAATTTTTCAATTTAATAAAAAAAAAAAAAAAAAAAAATGAGAGCAGTTTATAGAATATTTTAATTGCTTGAAGCGATAAATTTGGTTCCAAAAAAAAAAAAAAAAAAAATGAGAGCAGTTATAGATATTTTAATTGCTTAGCGATAAATTTGGTCCACGTCAGGTGAGAGAAACAGATCTTGAATTGAAAACTTATTATAGTAATAATAATTTTGATAGGCTATTAAGCTTCTACGTCTCCACAGATAAGCCCAGTTGTCCATTTATATATATATATATATAAAGTGGGTACATAGAGAGAGAGTTAAATCTCAACTCACCTACTTAGCAACCAAACTGTCTCTTCAGTGATAGTATTTTTGCCATCTTTGGCTGGGAGACATGATACTTCTATATCACACATCTCCCATCTTCTCCTTGTAAAATAAAAATGTTCTTGCTTTTAATAATTCTGACTCTTAACGGTATTCATCTTCTCACACATCAACAAGGAACATAATTTTGTCTCTTTTTCCAGATATTTATCATTAATATCAACCACCTTATGTATATACAAAATCACTGATTGTTATATGAATTCCATTTTATATTAATTGCAGACGAGAGCTACAATCCCTCCCTTCAAACTTTTCAAATAATGGGATTACTCTTTTTTTTTTTTGCAAGTTGTCATTTCTTTAATTTCGATTTCATAATAAGGTACTACAATAATATCTGAATCTATAATCTAATTTTATAATCGCAGTTTGTTGTTTTCCATTAAAGACGATTCAGTAAAGTGCACTATAACTTTGGATATTTTCCATTACGATTGGAAAAGTGAAGGACAATTATCTTATCTCAGAAACCGCGTAGATTAAGAAGCATATCATATGAAAATATATTTATTTTACCAATAAAGGGTTAATTGGAATGGCAAGCAATATCAATATATTATACAAGTTCAATCTCGATAAAATGCACCGGTGATAAGGTAAAATAATTTTTACATTCTACGGCTCAAAATGGATTAAACCTCCTAATTATATAATTATATATATCAAGTTAACGTATTGCCAAACCATTAATTTAGCTTCTCCAGGTATTATCGCCAGGCCTTATATACTATAAATTCTTTTACATTAAAAAATAATAATAAAGCAGAATGCCACCTGAGAACTACTGTATTATTCTTTTCAAATTCCATAATAACTCAATTAAACTGTCTTTACATTACATCTCCAAAAATCTGCTGCTGGCAAGCTTTATCTTTTCAATCTAGTTCTGGGTGTATGAGTCGGATAAGGGTATGAAACAGAAAAATAGAAACACATTCTATCTTATTTTGGCCTTCCAGGAAATTTTTGATTGGTTGAGAATATCAGTCCAAAAAAGAATTTTTCTTGTACTACATCAGCACCCAGCAGAAAGTAGCTGCTCAATTTCCTTTTTAAGTTATATATATATATAAATCACAAGAATCTCAAAGATCTAACCGTCCAAGTCTAATAAGTTAATAATTAGGTATACTTAGTTCTCAAAGTAGTTTAGGTGGAATCAATTACAGCCTGACGTGTTTACCGAAGACCAACCTGATGGAAAAGATAGCCGGGTTACAGTTTCCTAGTAAGCTATCAAAAACAATTATACATGCCACAAGTCTTTCATAATCTACCAAAATGGTTGGTGGAAATTCAATTAATCCTGAAAATTGCCTGTAAAAGTCGTCACAAAGCTTTTAACATTTTAACTGTGTTTTTTAGATGAACTATATCAAAATTTTATATTTATTAATTCTATCGCTCGATTGGTAACATAATATAATAACTTTAAGATCTCTATTAGAGATTAAGAGAGCTTTTTATCAAATATTAAACGCTCTAACATTCAATATTTCATATAGGTTAAATTAAATTTTTTTTTATAATTATAACAATTGTTTTTTCTCCGATTTCAACTAATTAAACAATTAATATTCTTTTTTGTAATTTTAAATTAAGCAACTATATATTCTACTCAACACTTATAATCTAAATTGCTATTATAAACAACTACTAACTAAAAATTAATAAAGAAAAACTAACCGCTAATAGAATAGTTAATCGCGGTTAATACACCAAACATCACTGAACAAGGCCTTTGAAGTATAGCACACTGACCAACAAACAGGAAGAGAGTGCTTAGGTCTTATTCCAAGTTGATTATTTTCTTAAAATAAGTAAATAAACCTAAACAATAAAAGGAAGATCACACACATGAATTCCCATTCGCAATAAGGAAATCAAACATGCATAATATAATAGCTAAGTGTTGGACATCGCAAGTGGGATTTCCACCGGTTGAATTGACTGTATGATGATAAATAAGTGTCTAAGAACACATGAATTAACCCAAAACACAAAAGCCAAAGAAAGTGATGATATGAAAACCTAAATTGCTTGCCAAATTAGTAAAATATGAAAACAAAAGAAAAGGCAAGAAAGCACAAAAAAACGGCAGCTATATTCGAATTCTAAAAAGGGCATTAAGAGATTCAAACGTGCAATTAGATAATTCAATTCTCAACCATGAGATTAATGTGGTCAGTAACCAGTTCTGTTTAACGTTAAATAACAAACTAAATTTATAGAAAAACATGTTTTGCTACCTTGTTTATCCAAACAGGTGTCGTGGTCACATGGCTATTAATACACGCTTGTCATTGTTTCTAACTTTCTATCCTATTTCGGACCGGTTAAAGCCGAGTCGATTCAATAATATAATTTCAGCTCGATTACTCGGTTCACACGTGCTAGGGGTTACGAAACTGAGATTTCAGATTTGTCGTTACTTTGGACTTTAGTGAGAAGTATTATAGCTCGGTTGCAACTGAACCAATAGATGCGTTTTGATATCTCGTCCCTCCTAATCTCTGTCCTTTATCATTTATTTAATGGGTCCCATCAGGGCTGACCCAGCCCTAGGTTGGACTGTTGGAGGGGCTACCGCGAAAATTATAAAATTATAAAAAATTATTTTTGGCTCCTCGAAAAAGTTAAAAAAATTGTATTCACCCCTAATTTTGTTTTTTAGTTTCGTCCCTAGGTTCCATTGTAGTTTTTCAGTTGCTATTTTTCTCAAGGTCATACAATTTTGTGTGTCCACTTGGCCTTTTCTATAACTCGATCGGGGTTTTCATGAATGTGGCTAGTCTGAACCAGCGGTTTAATTTGAATCAAGATTGAAATTAGTCCATTCATTAATTCAAGTCAATTATGAACTCATCACTTCTGATTTCAATGCGATTTTGACCCTAATCACAACAACTACTTTTTTTAAAATTTTTTATATTAAAATTGGTCAATAGTATCCATTGAGTTGATTCTAATCTCAACAATTGGAGGACAACCACCGGAACCAAATCTATAAATTTACAATTTCAATGTGATTCAAATCTAATACAACTGAATCGGTTGTGAAATAATCTTTAAGTGTACCGGTTCTAGTCTGGTTTTAATATAGACCGGATCGATGCCGGCTCTCTTGTCAGCGAAAACCAGAGCGCGCGCAATTATTTAAATATTGTTATTGTTTTCACAAACTGTATTTTTCGGTCCAGGCCCTACCTACTAATCCATTTTACTATCTCTCTCTCCCTACTTTTTTTCATGTCAAGGAATAATTATTCCATGGCCCTACCTACTTGCCATTTTAACTAATCTTCACTCCCCTACCTTTTTTTCCATGTCAGGAGATAATTAATATTATATATAATATATATTATATAATATATAAACTTTCTCCATTTCTCTCTCTCCCCCATCATCAAAAGCGTCACACTTTCTTTCTCCATTTAATGAGCTTCCTCTCGCTCTTAACTCTTCACTTTCTCTGTCTCACCTTTCTCGTCATTAAAAGCGCCAGCTCCGATTTCTCTCTCTACGTACAATTTTTGGCTCTATAAAAACCCCCGCCTTCAAAGCTCTCTGGACGCAACAATCACAATCATTCTCTATTTCGTCTCCTTATCAACCATTCCCACTTAAAAAAAAAACGGAAGTAAGTGCAGGTTAAGAGCGGAATCTACGTTAGAGATTATATTCTTGAAAATGAGACTCTCTCTTGGACCTGCACTACCATACACTCTCCCCTCAAGACACTTCAGAATAGAGTGCTGTACACTCACTCAACCATTAAGAATCAACAGAAAGTCTATAGAAAACAAACATCCCAAGAAATGGGAACGCCTGCTGGACCCGGTTGACAGCGACCCATTCTCATACTTGTCTGCCGCATCTAGACCGGTTAAACTAGCTGATAAATGGATGGATTATCAAGGTATCCAGAACTGGGAAGGTATGCTTGACCCGCTTGATGATAATCTGCGTGGCGAAATTCTCCGATACGGAGGATTTGTTGACGCTGCATATAAATCCTTTGACTTTGATCCTTCATCATCCACCTACGCCACCTGCCGGTTTCCGAAAAACACATTGCTCGATCGGTCGGGTTTACCAGAAACAGGTTACCGGCCAACTAAAAACCTCCGTGCTACATCTGGTGTCCAACTGCCACGTTGGATAGAAAAGGCGCCAAGCTGGGTGGCAACTCAGTCCAGTTGGATTGGCTACGTGGCAGTATGTCAGGACAAGGAGGAGATTGCTAGACTAGGACGAAGGGACGTGGTAATTGCTTATAGAGGTACTGCCACTTGCCTGGAGTGGTTAGAGAATCTACGCGCCACTCTGGCTCATTTACCCGATGCAGACTCTGACAAGAGTACTGCAAGATACGCACCCATGGTGGAGAGTGGATTTTTAAGTCTTTACACTTCTAGACCCACAGTGGGCCCAAGTCTACAAGAGATGGTCCGTGAAGAGATCCACCGGCTTCTTGAATCGTACGGAGACGAGCCACTTAGCTTGACAATCACAGGCCACAGCCTCGGAGCTGCTCTCGCTATTCTCACTGCCTATGACATCAAAACCACATTCAAACGGGCACCGCTGGTCACCGTCATCTCTTTCGGCGGTCCCCGTGTCGGAAACAGGAGCTTTCGCCAACATTTGGAAAAACAAGGCACTAAAGTATTACGTATAGTAAACTCCGATGATCTGATAACAAAAGTACCTGGTTTCGTCATCGACGGAGAAAACGACCAAAAAATGAACGTGGCTGGCCTCCCTAGCTGGCTCCAAAAGCAGGTGGAGCAGATGCAACTGGTTTACGCCGACGTCGGAAGAGAACTAAGACTGAGCAGCAAGGACTCTCCATACATGAATGGCGTGAACGTAGCTCGGTGTCACGAACTTAAGACTTACTTGCACTTGGTAAACGGATTCGTGAGCTCCAGCTGTCCATTTAGAGCGACGGCCAGGAGGGTTTTGGTTAACCAGAGTAGATAATGAAAAGCAGTAGATAGGGTTTTAGAATCAAAGACCCACATAGAAAATGACAAACGATGTCCTTACATCAAACTGTTGTAAGGACAATATAACCTTTTTAATTTGTACATAGATATGTGATTCTTTATTAAGAAAAACTATACCAAGTCTATATTCTACTTTCAGCAGAGACTAACATGCGCAGTGGATAATCCATCAATTTTTTTACCCGCATTTCACTGCAAAACTATAAGAACATACTGTACTATCACATGGCTTTGAGTGCGCCGTCCATATATGTGATTCTTTATTAAGAAAAACTATACCAAGTCTATATTCTACTTTCAGCAGAGACTAACATGCGCAGTGGATAATCCATCAATTTTTTTACCCGCATTTCACTGCAAAACTATAAGAACATACTGTACTATCACATGGCTTTGAGTGCGCCGTCCATACCGAACTCGCCAAGGACAGATCGACTTCTTTTGAAAATTTACAACTGGTTAAATTGTCACTAATAATTGAATTGAACGCTGTTAAAAACTTTAGTTTCAAGAAAGAAATTTTCGAACATAATATGTTATTATAATCGTACTTGTTGTACTTGGGTGGCGGAATGGTGGTGCCAAGTGCCGACTGCGTGGGTTGAACTTTTCGCTCACGGTTGTCCTCTTGATCTTCTCTGTTCACCCACCCACTGCATTTCATCTGTACTGTAATATTGCAACATTTTTATCAATCCTCTTACGGTGTTATACGCATATAAATATACGGTCAATTATCATATTATTTACGTATTTAGATCAAACTATTTAATAAAATCTGATTTCTTCCTTCAAGAACAAAATTAGAATAACACGTGTTTAACGAGTTGACTAATAATCAAAAAATTATCTAGTCAAACAACATTAAAATATAAACACTGCTTAATAGATTTTGAAACATAGATATTATATAACTTGTAAATTTCACTAAATTATGAAGACTAACTAATAATTCACCTTTTAATTATGAGTCTGCCGATACAAAATTACAATGCTAAATGTTGGTTTTGGCTACTGATCTCTATTATTTACTAGCATTTAGAGTTTAAAAAAATGTATTATGAAAGGTTAATAACTAAAGGCATTCATAATCTAATAATGATAATCACAATGCACATTAGAAAAGTATATGGTTGCACCATTTATATGATTTAAATTTTTAGCGATCGCAATATGTATAGAGAATGGAAGGAAAGAAGTGAATGATTGGTTAAGAAGTTGGAACTCATAAATAAAAATTTGAATAATTAAAATTACATAGAGTTGGACCAAATATTGCTAAAATATTAGTGGTAAACAATTAGTTAAGCCGTTTTTTAACAACATGGTATTAGTTCCGTCAACATTGGATATTAGGTTACAGCTGTGAGACGAGTCTCCCATGCGTGACTTTAAATTCACCGGTTTGACATTCCACCGTCCAGAATACTGAAAAAGCAAATCGATTTTCCTATTGGAAAAAAGAAAAAGATTATGACGTTGTTGCAGGAGATGGCGGAAGCTGGACCTAAAGGCCTCTCGACGGTTGTTATACAAGTCGCATTAGCTAGTTTCAACAACCGACTTGCAAAGGGATGACGTGGCCTACTTCAGAGTTCAAACTAATTAAAACACATAAAATATAAGAAAAAGTCTATAAGTGACTATTTTACTATTGACTATTGTGGTTACCGTATGGAAGTCCACGCGTGTTTTAGGTGTAAATGCGAGCTAATTAAGTAAATGTCTGTACCCATATTTGAAACTAATTACTGTATTAGGTGCTTTTTTCCAAAAAGTTCCGCTCGAGACTTCTATTAATTATCACTTGCCGATTAAAAAATTTATTAAATATTTATAAACTAACCGTTGAGTATGAAAATTTTCAACCGATCCATACGGCTGAACCAAAGTTCTCTCTTAATATTAGCATCAGGTGCTTTCTTCTAATTAATGCTTCTAATAAAGTGTATTTATAAAGCTCGTTACGTAATGTAAAATATGACTGGTATAGATCTCTTCAAAAAAAAAAATAAAAATGACTGGTATAGATATTATGATAACGTGATCCATTCAATCAAGTCAATATATATAACAAAGCAATTTTAACATATATAGCAAATACGATTATTCGACACCACAAATAGGTAGTCGTATCTAAAAGTAGGGAATCATTGACGCAATGAAAGTTCAGTAGAATCAATTAACCATCGACACAATCGTTTTTGAAAATGATGGCGGAAAGCATAGACTGGTTACACTCTATACTACGGTACAACACTAGCATTTTCATCGTTGATTTGAGATGTTCCCATGATCCGTGGTGATCCTTCCTATTCTGTTCAAAGACGGATCAGGTCTAACTCTAAGCATGAAGTTTGCAGGCTGGCAGCCCCAACATTGAGCAGGGTGCCTAACTCCATCCCAAAAGCCAATTGAAGGGGACGAAAATTGTTCCATTTTGAATGATGACCTTATTCCAAATCAATATGAATAGCACACCCATATTTTTGCCATGCAAAATACTATTTTTATTTCTAAACTGATTGCAACACTAATCATGTACTAACACCTCTTTAGTATTCCCTTCATTTTGAAATTAGTAAGGGACAAGATTCTGAATCTCCTTCTAAAAACCCAATCAATGATGCTATATTTTTATAAAAGAGCGGTACAAGTCCTTAATTGAATGTTGTTTATTGGACTTTTTTTTTTTTAGTTTTGGAACTAATATTTTGATGCACATATTTCATTAGATTCATTAGTCATTGAGAATTAAAGTTATGCTTTTGCTTTATTAATTTTGTTAGAATAGCTTCTCATCAATTGCATAAAGCCCGTGGTAGCAACCGCACTGGGAAAGTATATCGAAAATATAATTCTTTTCTATTAATATTTAATTAGTATTAGTTAGCGATCTCGGCTTAGTGAATTTTTTTTCCATGATAAATGGTACACTTCGTCTTTATGGACCAAAAAGAAAGGGACTTAGCAACAAAAAAAATTGTACGAGGATAAAAACAAGGAGAACAATCTCAATTAAATATTCAACATGGATTTTAGCAATACAATGTAATTGGACCTCACTTTCTGCGTGTCTTAGTTATTTTCCCCCTTTTCCTTATGAAAAAAATGATGATCAATATTTAACACATGAATGGAATCTGAAGATTAGGGATGATGACGATGGAGAGAGTAGGGATGGTCCCGTCCGGAGAGGGGGGGGGGGGGGAATGGAATCTTGAAGATTAGGGATGAAATGACGTATGGAGAGAGTAGGATTGGTCCCGTCCGAGAGAGGGGGGCGGGGGGGTTGCCTGTGATGTCCAACATCACCTAGGCATGGCCACCGGCGGTTCTACCCGGAAACCGAACCGTAACTGTAAACAAATTTAGAAACCGGGCCGAAACCGGCGGTTCATAATTTTGAAATCCGGACCGGCGTATCAAGGGCCGGTTGGTTGATGTGGATTGTTAAATATGATCCGAAACCGGCGGTGAAACCGGCGGTTCCGGTCCGGTTCGCAACCGGATACACAAAAATTGTAGCTTAAAATTTTTATAAAAATTTATATCAATTGATTTGATTTGTAGTGATTTGATTTATGGTGAAGTGAGAAACGTAAAATGGTATCTAAGTTTATATAAATAGTTGTGAAAAGTAAATACATCATTTTGACTTAATTTAATATAAACAATGGTACATGAATAGTTTTGACTTTATATAAAAAATATAATATTCAGTGTACAAAAAAGGAAGTGTACAGATAGTTTTTGATTATGAATAGGTGTTTTTATTTATTTTGGGTAAAATTTTATTCATTTTTATCAATCTTATTTATTTATATTTACTGTAATTCTAATTATATAAGGGCGAATTTGGACTAAATATAATGAGAAACAATGTATAATATGATGAGTTGATGATATTTGTTATTTCACAATTCATTATATCCTAATATGCTTTCTCTTATTCTCTCCAATCAATTCTCTCCAAATTTCCCATAGATTTTATTTATTTTTATTGCTATTATTTTCCTTAATATTGATATTTATCTATTGTTTATTTTTTATTTTCTTACATCCAATTCCAAATTCTTTCTCTAATCTCAATTTTCCATTCATTAAAATTTACTTCTCATTTGATTTTTTAATAATTTTCTTAGTACTTTGAAAAAATTAATAAATTTCCAAACTCATTCCCATTAATTTATATTCCAGTTTATAGTTTTTTATATTAGAATTAGCACATTGTAAATTTAATGTAATAATAGTTCTAAGGTTAGGTTTAATTAGAATGTTTTGTCTTTTAAATTTATAACAATTCATTTAGTTATAATTTAAAACATTTTAAAATTATTTATTTATTTTCATGAATTTCGGAATCAAAATTTTTATATATTTTTTTTTAAAAAATTTGCGTAATGCGGAAACGAATCGGAACCTGTAATTTGAATCCCGTCGGTTCGCCGAAACCTGTGCTGAATCCATGCCGGATACGGAGATTCAAGGGTTGGTGCCGGTTCAAAATTTTTAAACACTTCGAACCGGCGCGCGGTTCATGATACCGGAACCGGCGTTTCAATTGACCGGCAGCCTAACATCACCTCATGTCTTCGACTATCATAATTACTAGTAACGGTGCATAATGTAGATCCATCGGCCTTGTTTTGTTTCTTTCTTTCTTCTTTTTATTTATATTTATTTTATATTAATAAACAAATTAAAATTTAGTTATTTAGTTAGGTTCAAAATTTTAAACATCTCGAACCGGCGGTTCAGTGAACCGGAACCGGCGTTTCACTGAACCGGCCATGCCTAACATCACCTCATGTCTTCGACTATCATTTACTAGTAACGGTTGCATATGTATGATCCATCGCCTTTTTGTTTCTTTCTTTCTTCTTTTTATTTATTTATTTTATATTAATAAACAAAATTAAATTTAGTTATTAGTTATCAGTTAACAATAATTATTAGATGCAATATTTTGTTAATGACGTTAAAAATGTTTGTGGTCGAATAATTATAAGCCTTTGGTTGCGAAAATTGCTCACGTCGTGCCAATTAATGTTGCGAGTACAACATAACATTACTTACATACAAAAGTCCTTTTTGTTTCCTGCTATAATACATCTTTCTAAGCAACTATTATTTTTGCATAAATATTTTTTAGACTATGTTTTCTTTACAATAACTGATTTCCTTTTATTGTTGAAGCTTTGTTTTTTTATTCTAAGTTATGAAACATCATCAGTATTCTTTTTTTTTTTTTTTTTAAAAAAATTTATTATCTACTCGTCTGAAGCTATTTATTTTCTAAAGAATAAATTTTTTAAAATTATTAAAATCCATTGTACTCCTCTTTCATCAAGGCAATGATAATCCAATTCTAGCGCAATACGGTACACCAAACATGAAGCATGCAATGGCAGATCATGAGAAAGGAAACTTAAGAATAAACAACGGACAGGAACCCACCGACCATCACCTACTTCACAGTATATACACAGAGAGAGAGAGAGAGAGAGAGAGGCAAAAAGGAAAAGCGAAGTGATGGGTATCGAAAATTCGAAATGGAAAGAAACGGGAATCCAGGTTACCTGGAGATTTGGTTTGGAAGTGGATAGGAAACAGACCAATGAAGATGCTCCACATCCTTGAGAGGCAATTCCAAACATTGTGTTTCCTGCCAGAAAACTGGCAAATTGCGGCTTCAAAACCAGAATGGGTAGCAAATTAGTCTTCGGTCTTCACCATCACTACCAAACTTAAGACCCAGAATTTCGGTTTACAAGTCAAAATCAAATCTTGCAGAAGTGGATAGTAAAACTATACGACGACATTAAAAATCAGGCGTTCATACTTCCATATCCTTACCTAACTTTTCTTTGCTCGTTCCACAAAACTAATTAGCGTAATATTCTTCCATAAATTTAATCTTAAGTTTGGAAAAAACGAATCAAACTAGTAGTATCCTTTTATACCTGAAGTAGTATCATTTTATGCATTAAAGTAGTCAAGCAACCAAAGCCATATGTTAAAGACATTAACCCTTAACAATATCAGAATTACATTTTCCATTGAAGGGGAAAAAAAAAAGAAAAAAAAAAAAGGAAGGTCCTTCACAATCCCCGTCTAGGACTGTGATGAGATGGCCCTTCTTCAAGTGCATCGAGTCAGTGACCAATGAGATAAAGTTATTTTGTGTTAACATATACTAACACAGACACATGCACTTAGCTGTGACTCACCAACAGGTCAGCTTATCTTCTTCATATTAGAAGAAAAAGACAAGAGTATTCAAAATTCAACATGTGATTCATGTGTTATAAGTTATAACCTCGTCTCTTTGAAGTTTATTTTTCTGTGACCCACCACTGTACTATCCAAATCCTGATAAAACATGTGCCAAAACTAGCTACTGAAGAATTAAGCCAAACCAATCTCTGCGCACAGAGATCGGTATCAAAGGAAATTTTTGCGACAATTACAGCGCCAATGCAATGCATATGAGATCCTTTTCCAGCTGATTTTTTTTATGACACTGACAATGCCAAACCTCATATGCAGGGGCGAACATTCGGTTAACCAAACCGAACCAAATCAAATTAGCTCGGTTTCAATTTAAAGTCTTTCTTATTTAAATTTGACTGTTTTTAACATCTTTTTTTTTTACCATTTAGATAATACTTTTAGAAAATTAAGACATATTTATCTTAATTAATTGAACAATAAATAAAAGGTAATTTAGTCAATTGTTTTCTTTATTCTTGTATAATATTAAAAACTGTCAAATTTAATATTGAAGGGTAGGAAGCAAATCTTACATTACTTAATAATGAAATAACAAAAACACTACATAAAATGAAATCGGAAAGCCCAAAAGTATGAGAATCCGTAGAAAGGACATTAGGACAGGCAAAAAGAATTAGACAAACAACACAAAGTTCTTGAATTATATATATTTTACTAATCAACACTCAAAAACCAAATTAATATTCGTTGTCATATTCAGGATTTGCAACATCAGAATGCAAAAATTTCAACCAATACCAACTGGGAACAAAAAGTTCTACAAATAAAATATATGTGCGGTCTTTTTTATTTACTTTCCCAAACAAATATATATATCTTTGACAAACCATACCCATTTTTGACAAACAAATATATGCAAAATAAATAATGGCATGAGATATATACTCACTCGTTATCACCGTCCAAATGATCATATATTTCTTCATCAACTGTTCCATTGCCAGAAGCCGCAGCAAGAACAGCAACTCCACGTGCCACAATCCAAGATAACAACTGATGGAGAATGAAACAAACAAACGAAATTATTCCACCACCCCCAAGAAAATTTATCATAATATATAATCTTTGACAAGCGAAACCCATTTTGCCATTGAAAAAAAAGCTAGGAAACAAGGTGGGTTTAGCCTAGATTGGATAGTGCAAAAGTGAATTAAAATGCAGATATTATTTAAGAATCGTGACTCGCTCCCTTTCCTTCACTAGTTGAGGAAATTTTACAGTGTATTTTTGAATATAATACTGTAGCATGCATGCATATTTAATAAGCACGATAATCTCTATCTTGAAGGCTGAGTAAATATATTTTCTTCAGGTCTAGGTATTCTTTTGCTTCAACTTTCACGTTAATTGATGGACCATTAGTGTTTGACAGGGAAGAAACGACGTCTAAAAGTTATTGTGACAGAGATTGTGCAGCTAAATCTATTGTATTACTTTAAGAACTCAAAACAAACCAAAAGAAGAAAATTATTAGAAAAAAAAAAAAAGAATATTCTGATGAGTTCTAACTATTATGATAGACCCAATGATTAGAAACGGAAAACATTTCTGGCATTTGTGCGAGGCTCAATCACAGTGCAATTATAATAATAGGACAGTAATGCCCTTTCAAAAATTTAAAATTTGATAAAAAACACAACAACATGAATATCGAAGAATATTTTCTAATATAAATAATGATGTGGCCAAAAAGTTGTACAAAGCGGTGCCAAAGCTCTTACCCTTTTGTTGCCACCTGCTTCAAACGGCTACGTGTAGCTGCATCCGGCTCTTCAAGAATCAAGAGCCATGCTTTCCTTTATCAACCAAAAAATTTTAAAAATTAAAAATAAAAAAAAAGGAAAATAAAAGAATTTCATCCTTCCTGAAGCAATCTTTCTGGTAGGGTGTCTGATCGGCTTGTCGGCATTGACAAAAAGGCAGGGAAGCACTGATCATCGCTAATATATTACAGTGGAAGGTAATAAAAGAGCAGGAAGGAAACATAAGTGTCAAGGAAAGAGAGGTTCTCAAAACTACAAACCGTAGCTACTGTAAAAAAAAAAAAAAAATCCATTTCCACAAATCGCAAGGCATAGGCATATGTTGTTTTTGCAACTTGCAAGTGCATGTGATACTCGATTTCGGCTATTAATTATTAATTAGTTTTTCATGAGAAAAAAAAAAAGTTACTTACTACATATTTCAAGGAGTAGGAGAATCTTGATGAGTACCAAATACATCACATCATAATATGCTAAAACCCTAATGGTCAGATCTTTTCTTATAAATTCATAGTTTGCACTAATCGTTTTTTTTTTATAAGATAATTTTAGGGTTTTAAAATTGGAAAACAAATTTCATCAAACAAATAGAAAAAGCATTTGGATGTTAGAGAAACTTACCTGCAGCTTGTCGTTTGTACTTAGCCTAGGGTTCAACACCCCTTTTCCCCGTTTCTATCTTCTTTTAGGTTTTTAGTCCATAGACCTGTTTAAGCACTAAACGGCTGCGTAGAAAGAACCCTGTCGCTGACCCTTTTGTGTTCAGCTAGGATTTTTGTTCAACTAGGGCCCATCTCACTTGGTCCTTTCGATTTGGGCCTATCAATTAAGCCCAAATTCACTTTAGCAATTTTTCTTATTTTTTGTTTTTTTTTTATTTTTTTTTTAATTTTTATTTTTATTTTTATTTTTGTGTCTTCATCAACACAAATATATCCATTGAACCTCTCAAACGGCAAAAAGAAAATAACCATGAGATAAATGTTTTTCAGTATTGGGGCAATGAATGGTAAATATTGTTGGAAGGAGGGGAAAATGGGGAAATAGATTGAATCTGGACTGTAAGGGTCAATTGCATAATCATACATGGTGAAAACGACGTCATTTTTCGCATGCGAAAGTGGGGTATATGGCCCATCTAAACCGCCCAATATATTTATCAGTCAAAATTGTTGCATTCAAATGGTCAAGCCCAGTTTTGGTAAATGATTTGATTCTCTGTTCTTAATTAATTATAATTGCCACCATTGCTTCTATGCCTAATAATCAACTTAACGGCTAAACTCAATGTTTATTACATTACCAAACCTAATCTTAGTCGTAGGTTAGGTATCTTTCCTCCTAATCAGTTAGTTAAAACGTGATTTTTCAGGTTAATAAAAATAAAATTCAATGAATAAATTTTCATTATGACTAATCAATCAAAATCTGAATCTTTTGCTTCTTTTCTTCAGTATTCACTCATTCATTGAAAACATGGGCAGCGAAACTATTTTTATTCTTGTCAATCTGGCGACAAGAACTGATAGTAGTTCGCGATAAGGGAATTTTTTGATTTCTTCGTAAGTTAGAATCATAACTAGCACAAAAATGTAATTTTATGACATGGAAAAAAAAAAAAAAAACTAAAACCAACATTATCGGTCGATTATTTATGGTTTAAGATTTTTTTTTAAAAAAAAAAAATATTTGCACACCTTTTTTATGCTCTAGTCATGATACTCAAATAAAATTTTTCCAATTATAATAATTAGAAGTGAGCACATTTGAATTTGAAAATTTTTCAGAGCAAACTAAATCATTTAATCAATAAAATCAAATCAGATCGAAGTACACTAAAGCAACTTTTGAAATCGAATTAGATATTGGACCGACTTGATTAAGTAGTGATTGAACTGATTAACTTGGTTGAATCGGAATTTTTTTTATTATTTTTAATAATTATTTATATGTTTTTTTCGAAGTTAAAATTATTCTTACATTGATTTAACTGATTGATTGAACCGATAAATTTGATCCGCTTGTAAAACATTGATTTTGCTCCACCTTTGTCCAAAATGGATTGTAAGGACGAGTTTTGAAGTAGACTTTCCCTGGAGGACCAAGTACACATAATTGCGCTTTTAAATTCATTTTTTATGTATGATATATAGATAGGTCCTTATCAATATAGTGACAATCTAATAAAACCAAAAAAGGTAAAATAGAAAAAATTATCGCTTTACCTCCCAGTCACTCTGAGAAACGGGTTTTCTTTCTCCAGTTAGACAGGACGAGACAGTACAAAGGGAAACAAAATAAAGCACAGAAGCCCAGAAACACCCACTCTCCAAACATGGGTTCGAAACGACATTCTTGCCAACAAGGTTTCAGAATATTTAATTTCTTGCGAGAAAAAAGAAGTTACAAACAAATTCCTTGTATAAAGAGAATGTATCCTTTGTCCAAATACAGCTTCTCAAATAATGGCATCACCTTCAATTTGCTATACTAAAACCACTATAGTTGTGCGCTCCATTAGAATCAGATTTATCACGTGTCAAAATTCGACTGGTACAAGAAACTTAAAGACTTCTATTGAGTTAGAAAGGGATGGGAAAGGACAAAACTTTCTGGAATTACATTTTCTTGCAAAACCAAATTAGAAGCAGCTTTTGAAGATTAAAGAATATCTTTTGAAAATCAAAACCCATTTCTTTGCATCTCTTTTGGAGCTATAGTGGGAATTTTTTACGGCAAAGGCAAAACAGTTTCAGACAAAAAAAAAAAATGCACGAGGAACACATTACATGCCCACATTCATTTCAGTTCGATAAGAGCCTTATCACTATCACTTCTTATTTACTTTTTCTATTTTTTACCTTAGAAAAAACAGAAAGAAATCCTCAAACTGAGCCATTTTCATATCGAGTCCCAAAAGAAAAATCCATCAAAGCAATGATATCCTATGATAAATTGCTTGACGTAAAGATAACATATTTGTTTGGCTTGGCTTGGCTTATAATAATCAAATCAAAGCATACATTAAAAATTCCAAAAGATTTTTCTTTTTTTGATTGTTTGGTACTAAGCACTTGAGAAAAAGCAATATTTTATATATAAAAAGAAAGGTGGGTTTATCTCCTATATACTCCCTCATCGAAAATGATCGTCATCACTAATCAAAGAGGATTCATCAAACGTGTAAAGTTGTCGAGTCATTACTGGAAATTAACTGTTATAATTAGTAGATAAGAAAGGATCTTTACCCATCTTATCGGATATGTGATTTCATTAAACATACTAAGCTTGATTTGATATTCTGATCATTAATTATAAATAAAAAATAAAAATCCCCTTTATTTCCAGTCAGCCGTCATCCATTCTTTTATACGCTTTTGTAAATCTTATTATGTCACAAATGGAAAGGCCTACATAAATCAAACTCATTAGAAAGTTCTATGAAAGTAGAAAAAAAAGAGGCATTGCGTCTTGAAAGAAGGGTAACTAGTCATTAGCTTATATCCTCCAGGGGGGCCAGGTGCATGCTTTCTTAATAATAATTTGGCAGTCTGCATTTGTTTTTAATGCCAAATTCCAGCAATCCACTCTATATTTTGCTAATTTTTTAAATATACTTTTAGTGGAAGATTTCGTGTTTCTATTGTTTATAGAAGTTTAATTTATTAGGCTAAGAGATATAAGGTTTTCAACTTCAATTTTATTATACAATACGGATAGTTCTTCCCTTAAATCATGAAGTTGATGAAAATCTTTATAGTCGAGAAGTCTCAAACTCTAAACATCTCATTTCTACATTAGTGAGAAAATCAATCGGACCACACTTGGTTAGTATATATATTTATATATATCAAATAAAAACTTGTGATATGTCTATCACCATGATAAAGTCATAATAATATATTATTATTGTATGTTTATTTTATCATATATAAAATCTTATCCAGGTTTGGCTAGACAATGATGAGATTCAATTTCATTAGATGATATATATACATAGGATATTGTATAATCAGTTTGTTATCATTTTTTTAATATATATGGATTAGATTAACAACGAATTAAAAGTGGATATATCTTGCCAATCAGATGGTAGTCTGATTAGTCTTTTCATTTATATGAGAAGTGAGAGGTCTTGAGTTTAAATCCTTTTGATTATAAGTGTTTTCACCGATGAATTGAAAAAAATGGATATGCCTTGCTTTATGTATCTTTAATGAGTTTAATTAAAATCAGTGGACAAAAATTTGGACTGACATTGTTCAAGTGGCTTAAAAATAATATGACGGAGATGGAGGATGCACCTGGGCATGCAGAAACATATTCGAACTACAGGTTGCAATTTCTTTTTTCTCAAAGAAAGTGCAAATGCATTGAAATAAGACATTAGGAGATTTGCTTCATTTTCTTCGGTATTATCTTAAGTATTACATATTAAAACAAACTCAATTCGTAATTAAAATGTTAATTTGTCATTACGTACGGTACGTAACGTAGGCATACTTCCACATATATATATATTGAATATACTAATTTATATATTTATAATTATAATTAAACTCATTAAATTTCGACTGCGAGCCAAAAAGAAGCCAAGCCAAAATAAACAGAAAAACGAGCCGAGTTGTAAGGGACGCGGCCTGTGAAATGCGCGTGCCAGCTCGCGTCGTTATGTTGGTCGGAAAGATAAATTTTTATCGTTTCCAAAAATGTTTATGGTGCTGGGCCCACTTTTCAACGGAAAGCTTTGATGTCCAAAAGATCATTAAACAAGTCAACACAATAATAATAAAATATAGTGAAATGTAATTATGGAACGATAAGGATCTCTTCTCTTATAATATGAGTTATTGAATTTCAGCTATGTATATAATGCATTTTTTAAAATCTTTAGGGAATAATTTATTTTTTTATACCTAATCGATGTGAATTTAACATAAATAATTAAGAGATTTACTGTGTCATTTTATTATTGTCTGACCGTTATCTGAGGATTTTGTTTATATTCACCCGATCATTCCCAAATTAATCACCATGAACTTGGATATGTCAATGTAGGTCCCCCACCTAGCTCCCGTAGCCGTTTTTCCAGTTAGTTTAATGCAATCAGATCAGTCGTCATAATAATAATAATAAAAAAAAAAGGCAATCAATTGAAGATCGTCCAAAGTCCAAATCTTTTTCCTTTGTATAATGACCTCATCATCATCGATTACTCATCTATCTACAACTACTTCCCTTTTGCTAACTATTTACCACAATTATGCATTAACAGTACCGCGCCGTCCACTTTTTTTTTTTTTTTTTTTTCCAAGTTAGTCTTAAATGCAATCAGATCAGTCGTCATAATAATAATAATAAAAAAAAAAAGGCAATCAATTGAAAGGATCGTCGTCAAAGTCCACTTTTTCCTTTGTATATATGACGTCATCTAATCATCGGATTATCTCATTTCTATCTACAACTTACTTTGTTCCCTTCCCTTTTGCTAACTTTTACCACATTATGCAATTTAAGCGTACTGGCGCCGTCCATTTTTTTTTTTTTTTTTTTTTTTTTTTTCTATACTCTTTGCATATCCTGCTATCTATAAATGTCTAATCCTAGTCCCGCCAAATTAAGCAGCAAACCGGAAGCCTCCAATCCAAGATTACAATAAAAATGAGGCTTCCAGTTGGGGCAGCAAGACCAACCACTTTACCTTATTCTGCTTCAAAACACCTGGAACTCACTCTTCACTCTCCCGCTTACTATTCCCATCTATCTCCACCATTGCAAAACTATACCAAGCTTTCAATGCCTCGTTTCGACTATCCGGTCCATCTCATTTGCCATCTCGCAACTAATTATTCTGCTAAACTGGGTAAGAAATGGCAGGAATATCAAGGAATCAATAATTGGGAGGGCTTGCTTGACCCCCTTGATGATAAACTACGACGCGAGATTTTACGTTACGGTCAATTTGTTGAAGCAGCTTACCGTTCTTTTGACTTCGACCCTTCTTCACCTACTTATGCCACCT